CTTTACAAGAATATCATGGGGCACCTTGTCAAATGCCTTGCTGAAATCAAGGTAGGCTACATCCACTGCGTTCCCTTCATCTACCAGGCTTGTAATTCTGTCAAAAAACGAGATCAGGTTAGTCTGACATGACTTATTTTTCAGAAATCCATGCTGACTATTGGTGATCACAGCATTCCTTTCTAGGTGCTCACAGACTGTTTGCTTAATGATCTGCTCCAGAATCTTCCCTGGTATTGATGTCAGACTGACTGGGCGGTAATTATTTGGGTCCTCTCTTTTCCCCTTTTTGAAAATAGGGACAACATTTGCCCTCCTCCAGTCTGCCGGGACTTCGCCTGTTCTCCAGGAATTCTCAAAGATGACTGCCAGTGGTTCTGAGATCACATCTGCCAGTTCTTTTAATACTCTTGGATGCAGTTCATCTGGCCCTGGAGACTTGAATACATCTAGACTAGCCAAGTATTCTTGTACTATCTCCTTAGTTATTCTGGGCTGTGTTTCCTTTGCTGAATCATTTGCTCCAAATTCTTCAGGTCGGGCATTGTTTTCTTTATCGGAGAAGACTGAGGCAAAGAAGGCATTGAGGAGTTCAGCCCTTTCTGTGTCCCCTGTTTGCATTTCACCATCTTCTCCTCTGAGTGACCCCACTGTTTCTTTGTTCTTCCTTTTGCTACTGACATACCCATAAAATCCTTTTTTTGTTGCTTTTAACCTCTCTAGCAAGCCTGAGTTCATTCTGTGCTTTAGCTTTTCTGACTTTGTGTCTACACGTGCTGGCTATTTGTTTGAATTCCTCTTTGGTGGTTTCCCCCCCTTTTCCATTTTTTAATCTTAACTCAGTTAAAAGTTCTTTAGATAGCCACCCTGGCTTCTTTAGGCACCTTCCATGTTTCTGTCTCATTGGTATTGCCTGACGTTGTGCTTTTAGTATCTCCCTCTTAACAAACTCCCAGCCATCATGAACTCCCTTTCTTTTTAGTATTACTGTCCATGGGATCGCACCCAGCACTTCCCTAAGTTTTATGAAGTCAGCTTTCTTAAAGTCAAGAAATTGAGTCCTAGTATGCTTGGCTGCTCCTTTCCGCTGTATAGTAAACTTCAGAAGAGCATGATCACTCGCGCCTAATGATCCTTCCACTTCTACCCCACTAACCAGGTCATCAACATTGGTTAGGACCAGATCTAAAATGGCTGTTCCTCTTGTTGCTTCTCCCACTTTCTGGACAATGAAGTTGTCTGCAAGGCCAGTGAGGAATCTGTTTGACCTTATGCTCTTGGCTGAGTTTGACATCCAACAAATATCCGGGTAATTGAAGTCCCCCATTACTACTATCTCCCTTCCTTTTGCATGCTTGGCCATCTGTTCCAGGAAGGCATCATCTATGTCCTCCGTTTGGCTTGGGGATCTATAGTAAACTCCCACAATGAGGTCACTGTTATTCTTCTCTCCCTTAATTTTGACCCAAATGCTCTCACTTTGGCTTTGAGGTTCTAAATCTTGGATCTCTTCACAGGTATACACATCCCTGACATATAACGCCACTCCTCCTCCTTTCTTGTCTGGTCTGTTTCTCTGAAATAGATTGTATCCCCCCATTATTACATTCCAATCGTGGGACTTATCCCACCAGGTTTCATTTCTATATTACGCCCAACATCATACAGTTTTAATTTAAACAGGGCTGAAATCCTGCTCTCCTTAGCCCTTTGAGGAGGGGAAGGGAGGAGATGCAGGAGATGCCTCACCTCCCACCCAGCTGGGCGGGGCTCCTGGCAGTGCTGTGCGCACTCAGGTGGTAGCAGCCTCATTCAGCTTATAGTTCAGTCGTGTGCAATGTAAGTTTTATGTTTTGTCTTATTTTTAAATTAAAATATAAGTATGCTCTTTCAGTTATGCAAAACAGAGAAAGCATTGTCTTTAGGCATTGTGTATTTATCCAATACATCTTTTTTATATTGTATTGTATTTATTATTATTACTACTACTATTACATACCCAACCTTTTCCCCAGAACTGAGTTTCAAAGCGGCTTACAAAAACCAATATGAACATAGAAGCTAAAAAAGATATAAAATATAATAATTAAAAAGTAATTAAACTATAATGGAATTAAAACAATGGAAAAATCACGTTAAAACCCCTTTCCTTAAAAGGAGTAAGTTTCCAAAAGCCTGCTGGAACACAACAGTCTTCACCTGGCAGCAGAAGGACAAGAAGGATGGAGGCAAGCTAAGGTAGGTTAAACTAACCCCTTTCCAGCCCCAGGAGGAGCGTGGAGAGCCTTCGCACAACACACCGACGCACTGCAACCCACACACTTAACGTTTCATGACACACAGTTTGGAAAGCTCTGAGGTAGGGAGTCCCAAAGAAAAGTGTAAACCAACAGCACAGCAAACAGAGCCTCTCTGCCCTTACAGACGCGAGACGGACAACCATATCAGCAAGCCTGTGTTATTGCTTGTCTGCACCCAGTTAAACATGTAGACGTTACTTATACAAGAAGCAGCATACATGTGCTTGGCCAGAACCTCTCTTCAGCCCACCTGACAGGTGAGGGAATAGGTGCCAACTATCCAAGGCTGACAGATCACTGCCCTTTCTGGGCCCAGAGCCCAGCACCCCAGGGCCCACAGGGTTATCTTGACTACCATGGTGGCACTTGCAAACCTTCCAGAGCAGTCTCACCTTTGGTTCAACACACCACATCAAAGAGAGCCATAGTGCCACTCTATTCTGCTTTGGTTAGAGCCCATCTAGAGTCCAGAGACCAGTTATTGGGCACCACTGTTTAAGAAGGATATTGATAAGCTGGAAGGTGTGCGGAAGAGGATGGCCAAGATGATCAAGGATCTGGAAGCCAAGACTGATGAGGAACAGTTGGGGGAGCTGGGAATGTTTAACTGAGAGAAACAGTATAATAGCCATCTTCCAACATCTTCAGACAGTTTTCATACTTTTTTGGCAGGTGTGGATGCTTCCTCTTGGAACTGGCATCTTCCTTACAGCAGGCTGCCCATTCTGGGATTGGCACCAGTGTGGTCCGTCCCTGCTCACCTGCTTGGAGCATTTAATCTACTTCACCACGGATGAACAGGAGCTGCTCAAAGAAGAGAGAAACTAGTCTCTCTAGTATGATGGACTCAAGGGCATCCTGATCAAATTTGCAGATGACACCAAACTGGGAGGGGTGGCTAACACCCCAGAGGACAGGATCACACTTCAAAACGACCTTGACAGATTAGAGAACTGGGCCAAAACAAACAAGATGAATTTTAACAGGGAGAAATGTAAAGTATTGCACTTGGGCAAAAAAATGAGAGGCACAAATACAAGATGGGTGACACCTGGCTTGAGAGCAGTACATGTGAAAAGGATCTAGGAGTCTTGGTTGACCACAAACTTGACATGAGCCAACAGTGTGACGCGGCAGCTAAAAAGCCAATGCAATTCTGGGCTGCATCAATAGGAGTATAGCATCTAGATCAAGGGAAGTAATAGTGCCACTGTATTCTGCCCTGGTCAGACCTCACCTGGAGTACTGTGTCCAGTTCTGGGCACCACAGTTCAAGAAGGACACTGACAAACTGGAACGTGTCCAGAGGAGGGCAACCAAAATGGTCAAAGGCCTGGAAACGATGCCTTATGAGGAACGGCTAAGGGAGCTGGGCATGTTTAGTCTGGAGAAGAGGAGGTTAAGGGGTGATATGATAGCCATGTTCCAATATATAAAAGGATGTCACATAGAGGAGGGAGAAAGGTTGTTTTCTGCTGCTCCAGAGAAGCGGACACGGAGCAATGGATCCAAACTACAAGAAAGAAGATTCCACCTAAACATTAGGAAGAACTTCCTGACAGTAAGAGCTGTTCGACAGTGGAATTTGCTGCCAAGGAGTGTGGTGGAGTCTCCTTCTTTGGAGGTCTTTAAGCAGAGGCTTGACAACCATATGTCAGGAGTGCTCTGATGGTGTTTCCTGCTTGGCAGGGGGTTGGACTCGATGGCCCTTGTGGTCTCTTCCAACTCTATGATTCTAGTCTGCTGGCCTGGTCATCCTGCCCGAATGACCTTACACTTGCTGCCATGTGGATGCAGTTGGTCCATCCACTTCCCCAGCTCCCCAGCAGCTGCACCAGCCCGAACCCCCAGCAACCTACATGGAGGCTCCCTGCGCCTCCCGATGCTCCCCAAGTGTCTGGGGGAAAGTGCTCCAGACGGAAACCCAAGTGCCGTTTCCCACGGCGCAGAACTCCTGTGTGGAAAGCAGCACGTAGGTTTCGGTCTTAAGAGCGCATTTATTCAAATCCAACCCGGTTGCGCTCAATGAGATTTTACTTCTGAGTAACACAGTGTAACTGTACTGAAGACCAGAGGTCCTTTCCAAGTAAGGATCGCTGTGATAAGGGGTGCAAGATGGGGAGGGATGGCGAGAAACGCCGTCTTTTCCGTGTGGCGCCACTGACCCTTTGGAACTCCCTGCCTCTGGACAGCGAGAGGGCGCCTCCCGCCTCCTCTTTTCTGAGCTGCTCCAGACACTCTCCTGCAGGGAAGCCTCCCCGGTTGCTCGCAAGGTCTGCAGGTGTTTTCACTTTGTTTTCCTCTGCTCTGTCAGGGTTCTCAACTCTCCGCATGTTTTAAACCATGCTGTAAATGTTTTAGCTATGGTTTTTCTAAAAAAACACACCAAATAAAATGGAAGCCCCTGGGAGGTTTCCCCCTGCGAGCAAGCGGCACCTAACTGTGAGGCGGCCCCGCCGCCCGAACCCCACGGGCCGCCCCACTTTCTGCGCGTTTTCTTCTGGGGCGCTTGGCGCGCGGAGAGCGCCCGTCCAACCAGGCGGCGCACCTGGCGCTCGGCGGGGCGGGGGGCGGGCGGGCGAGGGGCAGCCCGTGGGCGCCTCCCCTCGCCGGCCAGGTTGCCTCTGCCAGGTGCGCCCCTCCCGGCCGGGCGCGGGGGGTCCTCGTCAGCTGACGGGCCGGGCGAGCGCGGCGCGCTTCGCGCCGCCGGCGAGGGAGCAGGTTGGGCGCTGCCGGGCGCCGCCGCCGCCGCGATGCTGCCTTGGCGGGCGGAAGTGGGCTGGGGCGCCGACGGAGCCGAGCTGCCTGCGGGCGCGCTGCTGCCGCCGCCGCCGCCGCCGCTGCCACACCGAGAGCTCGGCCCCGCCAGCCGCCGACATCCCGCCGCGCCCGGAGCAGGTACCGTCTCGCCCCGCGGCGCGCCTTCCCCGCTTGCGCTCTTCCCTCTCTCCCCCTCTCTCTCTTTCCCCCTTCTGTCCGTCGCGGCAGCAAACTTTTTCAGGAGAGAAAAGTTCTGCTCGGGCAAAGCAGCGCCAACTCCGCCCGGGAGCGAGGGGCGGCCCTTCCTCGGGCTGCCCGGCGGAAAGAGCGCGCGCGGAGCGCCTGAGCCCGCGGGCAAAGTGCGCGCGATCCTGGCTGTCGAGTTCAAGGAAAGCAGCCGGCAACTTTGTGCGGAGCCTTCCGCGCCTCTAAACTTCAGGACCTGCCTGCTAAGTTTGTTTTTCTGGTCTGAGAGGTGATTAGATCTGTCTGTCTAACGATCGATCCTTTCAGAGTCCATGGATTCGATTGTGATCTGCCCGAAGGAGACAAGGTTTTGCTCCCCTTCTCTCCCCCTCCCCGACCCCCGGTTTCTGAAAGTGGTTCGGGGTGGAGGAATAAACGACAAGCTGCGCGTGGCAGGCTGGGGAGACAACTCGGGGGGCTTTGAATGTTGGTAGTGGAATGCTCTTTTATGAATAAATGTGGTGTTACAAGAATTTCATGATGATGATTATTGGCAATCCCCTCCTAAAAAAGTGGGGAGGAAGAACCCAATGTAATTTCTATTAATTTTCATAAAGATGTAAAAAAGAGAAAAAAGTGCCATAGATGTTCACTGAAAGATCCAAAGGGGGACTCGTGATGATTGACATCCCCTCCAGGTTTGCAGATGGGACCCCCACTAGCCCCATGGAGCAGAGGGAACAGGCTTGTGACACTCCCAAGGCTGACAAATTCACCATAGCATGAGCTTGCATCTACTTTATCAGATGTAACTGAGGCTGTGGAAGTTTATCCCACCAGTAAAAAAAGTTTCCTTGTGTGGCCCAGCACAACACCCAGAGAATAAGACTATGTTAACTGGAATCTAAATGTATACACTTTAAAGGAATCTTTAAATTTATGTGTTGAAGTTAAAGTACAGTAGTTGTAAAAGTAATCCAAGACTTAGAAGACACAACAGACAAGTTTGGCAGTTGTCAGAAAACTAGGTTAGATATGTAAGTTTTATTCAGAAGATAGCAGACATTTTCTTATCATTCATGATTAACGTACCGGAGGGGGGATTACACTTTGGATCTTCTAGATTGCACTTTAAATTTTATTACAGTTCAAGGAATGAAGTCATGTTTGCATGCCCCTGAATATCTTTGAAAGGTAAATAGATTCTCTAATATCATTAGAAAAACAAGCTTTTTTAAAGAGGTTTCCAGAAAGTTTATACCTTATTGTTGCTATATTAGCCACTTGCAAATAAATGCTCATTGCTATAGAGTCTGTGACACTTATATGGCCATGTGTGGGCTATGAAATTAGCATTCTTAAAATTGTTTTAAGTCCATGAACTGAACCAAAAATGGTTCAGAAGGTCATTTTCTAAAAGTAGCCCTACTGTAGAAATAGTTTCCATAGAAAGTTCTATGCAATAGATCTTTTCTGATAAGTTTACATGTAGAAATGAAGAGGAAGAATGAAGAAATTTACTGCACTTGCCATCAAGATGGCTGCTGATATGCTGTTGCCGTTACTTCCATGGACAAACATTAGAAAAGCAACAGGAGTGGAAAAAACTGTACATTTAGACCACACTTACTATGGAGTAAACCTCATTAAAACGCTAAAACTTAACAAGTAAATCAGCATAGGATTGCACCAAAAAAATTAGCACAAGATCAAGCCTTGCCAAACAAGCATTTTACTAGGCAAGATTTTAGAAAGTTCATATCCTAGATTTCTCCAATTATCCCAATTTCTTAATGTTTATAAGGCTAAGTTTTTCTCCCAGTCCATGAACAGGAAACTTTTGATCTATACAATTTAATTCATTGATGTACTGTGTGGTGTTGTTTTTTTAAAAAAGAATCATATGCACACCTACTTTGGAGCACGTTTAACTGAACTCAGTAAGAGCATCCAGGGGTGTGCATCAGGTTGAGCTGAATATCTGAGGTACTGAAAACAGCTGCATTAATTTTAAATCAATGGATTGTAGACATTAATTAGGGTGCTTAAGAGCACTGGATTGTATGCACCACTGGAACATTTTTTAAAGCACTTTTCTTCAGTTTGATGTTCTTAACTATCTCCTTGAAATGAACTGGAAGTAAGGCTGCAGTAGTTGGTCGTGAATGGGATTTACATCGGATGAAGTGAGATCAGCCTGTGAGATACCTTTAAAATACACAAAAAGTGTTGATCAGAAGGTTTAGGAATAAGGTTTTGCAATGCTTTCAGTTTTGGTCTTTGAGCTACACTATTACTTAAGTTTCTTCTTTTTGAACAAATATGATACCTTATGCAAAGGACTGAACCCAGGTTGAAGGGAGGGACTGATTTGATTTTCTCAGTTCCTACAAGGCAAGTAAATTTGTTTCATTTCATTCCTCATAATTATTTGACAATAACTAAATAAATAAACGGAAAAGCTAGCCAGTCATCAACAGGAAATAAGAGGTCTCAGGACACTTTGTTTCGTATTGAGTTAAGCTTCTTCTTGCAGCTCATAAACACTTTGCAGCTCCTCAGACTTTTCAGACCGGGCGTCCGTGTCCAAAAGGGAAATATGCTTGTTTTGGATCAAGGTAGGCAAAAAAGTTTATTTTAAGCTGATATAGGCTGTAAATATACAATCCATTTTTGAGGACCAGGTACTGGATCCTTCCCTTTCAAAATAGTGTGCATTAATATTATACACATGTAAAAATAGAGTTCCGGAAATTTATTTAAGAGGTTGCAATCTGAAATAAGTGGTGAAGGGCATGCTGGCAGATATTTCTGTCTTCTTTGTAGACAGTGAACTCATATTTATATCTATTTCTAGTTATATAATTGAAAATATACCAAATAGATTACCAGCTCAAAATAGTTTACATTTAATATGAGCTAGATAATAACTTGCAGTGATGATGTAACGTTGGTTATTTTAATACAAAACTAAGTTCTCCAGATATTTCAAACTGAACCTTGACATTTCAAGATTCAATTTATATTGCTAAGGTTTTGAATTAGTTGCAAACTCTGAAAATTAGAAGCATCACGCTACAGTTCTTCTTGGGAATGCACAATGCCATATGCCATACAGGGCATTTTTCCCTATTTGTAGGTTCAGAGATTGCTGCATCAAAATTATCTGTTGCTGTTGTACCAGTATAAATGAACTTCTAATTGGTACAATTAAACATTTTTAGATCTGTCAATTGATTAAATAATGTTCAGTTGATTGATTAGCCTTTAACGTATTACTTTTAAGCAGCAGTTACATATTACTGAAACCTCAAAATAGGTACTTTTTTTTTAAAGAAGAAAATATGAGAATTTAGAATTTAGTAAAAGCTACTATTCATTTTTGGTGGAAAATATCTTTAATATTTTCATTTTCATTCAACAAGAAAAAAAAGAAAGTGTGCCCTTAAATCTGGTTGATAAATCTACCAATTTAAATGTGCTAAGGTGTGCAACCCTAAACAATTATTAGAAGTGCAAATTCACACCAGGATGACCAGTTGGAACATATCAGCTTCACTCTGATAAGTGCAGCTCTGTTTGTTGGAGGCTCTCACAAAAAGGTTGCCCGAGATTTATTGGGGTGTTTGCCAGAGAGCACTATTTTTAAGAAGAAAAAGAAAGAAAAAGAAACCCCCACAGCAAATAAAGTTTTGAATCAGAGGCAACTTTCCACCCACACCCAGCAAATGTGTTTAGAAATGGGGAGTTAATTTATTATTGCATGCACTGAAGTTGTAGTGGGGATAAAGATATAATTGAGCACTTGCCACATATTATTGGACTACCCTTGAATGTTTCAGCATGTGCTTGATGCACCCACCATAAATTGCAGTGCTGTGCAATCACCATGGGCAGGGCCAAATCAAGTAAATCTACAAAAATACTTCACAAACTGAGGTTCTGCCTCCCCCCCCCCCAATAAATCCTGGCTTCGGCCATGTACATCAACCCCTCCCCTTTCATTAAAATTTGGTGGGGGGGGATTGTTGTTGCTTTTTAAAAAGTTGAAATAGTTTGTAGGCCAGCAGAAACGGTTTTGAAATTTGTGGCGATAGGAGAATTAGATTTGTAATGTTTGAAAGCAGGCTATTTTAAGGAAATAAACAGAAGCTTCAGACTCAGCTATATCTGCAGATATATTTTGGTGGACATAAGCTATTTACAGTTGTAGTCTAGAGCAGAAATGGCCAACTTTAGTTGCAATCCTATATACACTTCCTGGGAGTAAGTTCAATTGAATTAAGTGTGTTTTACTTATGAGTAGGCATGCATAGGCTTGCACGCTTCATCAGCAGGGGTGGACCTTTACAGTTCTGTTTATGTTAGTAAGTGGAATAAAAGCTATTTATTTTCCTCTGCTGATATTTAATTTATTTTTTATATTGGTATCCAGCCCTTAATACAAAGAGCTTAGAATAGCATTTTAGCCTTGCAGCAACCTGGGTGTGTGTGGCCCAAGGTTGCGGAGCCATGCTGGGTCATGGCAAAGGTCCATCATTTTGTTTCCAATGGTTTGGCAAATGTATCTGAGATGTAGGAAGGCAGACACATCCTTCCCACACATATGGCGCCTGGGGGTAGGTTTACTGCTTCTGAACCTGGAAGATCATTTGACTGTTTTAGTTAATAGCCAGCAAGCGATGGCTGGGTGGGGATTTGAATCTTGAGTTTCCCACACCCATACCTACCACTCTATTCACTACAGAATTTGAAATTGTATGCTTACATCCTAAGCAAAAAGGCTTGGGTCCCCATATTTTGCAAAGCCAATCATTGTAAGTATAGGTTACAAGATATTGCCATACCTTTGTTTACATTTAGAATAATTTCATATTGGTAAAGGGCAGGAAATCCAAGCTAAAATTTAATTCCCAGATAGTACTAAGCAGGACGTGGTTCAACATTTGTTATGACCAAGTTAGCAGCTACAGTTTGCAATCACATTTCAACCTTACTCTTTGCAGACTTGCAGAGCAGTCCTAGGGAGATCAGGTGGCAGGATGGGACGCGTTCCATGTCAGGGGAACCACCACTTCCTAAGGCCTTCCAGGCTCACAGCAGCCACAAAGGAAGACAGATGAGGAATGGCTTTCCCCCTAGCCTCTCCCCCCTTTTCTTGCAGTATCTTTCTTTTTAAAATGTTCTCTCCCACCAATTCCAATGGGAGAGAAAATATCCACATCAGCTTCAGGGATGGCATAGTTGCCTCCCCAAGGAACAAGGGAAGACCCATTGCCCTGGCTGTCCCACTGCTGGCTCTCCACAGGTGGTAAAAGCAAAAAGGGAATATTTGTGGAGGGATCCAAAGCTTCCCCCAAGATGCTTCAGAATGCCTTTACCACCTGCAGGTTACCACCATTAGGAAAGCCACAGCAGTGGGCCTTTTCAATCAGGATCAAAGTAGGACCTCCAAAGCAGATTGATCTCTGCCCACGGAGAGGGAGGTTCATCTAGAGCTCCTCCCAGGACCTAAGAAAAGAACATTTAGGGGATGAACTAGATACGTGACTGTGTGTGCACACTCACAAGTCCCAGGGTTGATCTTTTCAAACACTAATGATGTGGAAGTTTGCAAATAAAAGCATGAATCTCATTAGAGACAGGTAAACCCTGCTGCAAAACCTCTTTAACAGATTGTCAGCGCAATGGCTAGGAGTAAAGCTAATTACATGAGGCAAGTAGCCCTGTGGCTTGTGTGGCCCACCTGTTCAAGGCACGTGTGCGTTATGTTCTAAAAGGAAACAGGTATTTCTAGAACATTTTCATACAGAACAGATTGTAACCCAAATCTGCCTTAGCCAGGCCATGCATGGATTGGGTGATGATATGTATTCAAATGATGAGCCTTAGCTGGCCACCCATTCAGTTCAACGAGTGCTGAGCCAATAAGATCTTTTGGGGCACAGCCAGCTAAAAGGAAACCAGACCAAAGTACAGGAGAGTGATAGGAATAGTCTTTTTTTATCGCATGTATACAAGTGCCACGAAAATTATGTTGTGTGACTGGCTTGGTCAAGTGGATCCAGGCTGCCCTGGATATTATGTAGAAGCATTGGCTGTGAAACGGATGGTGCTTTCAGAGGATCCCCTTCAAAAGAGCTTCCCTTCTGTGTTTATGGAAGACTTGTCAAGAGGTCTACAAATGTTAGCAGCTTGCTCACTCAGTGTGCTACTCTTTCCTTCATCTAAAAAGTGTGTGTGTCTATTTATATGGAAAGAGGTGCACAAGAGTGTCATTTCCAGAAAGGCAGGGCACAGGACAAAATAGTCTTTTTGAAATTTCCTCTTTAGTTGCCTGAAGGAAACTCTGACTGGCCAGTTGACCAGGTGAGTAGCTGTCTACAAAAGGCCTCTCTGGTCCAGCATCCGTCCCTCACAGCAGCCAAACACATGGCTTTGGGAAGCCCATAAACTGGCATATGGCACCTGCTGTCAAATAAAAGCGTAACAGTTGCATGAATATGTGTTGCTGGCTCTGTAGGATTTTACTGAGACAACCTTAGGGCTCAGGACGATAGTTTGCCCCTTTCCCTTTTATTTTTTGCTGTGTTGTCCTCCACACTGGATATATCAGTTCAGAAACATATAGCTCCCATAAGCACATATCTTGGACTTCTTGACTCACTATTTGGGAATCACGTGATATAACCACTTCTTACACATGACCTCCAAAGTCAATCAGCTACACTATTTTCACTAGGCTACCTATCTATAACTTGCTTACCTGGGGCATTTGTGGCAACACCAGCAGCCCAGAGAGAAAGGAAGCCATTTATTGGAAGGCTTCTGTTGGTCACCTGGAGGAAATCCTTAAGTGCCACAGGTGGCCAGGCAAGAGCTGCTCTTTGTGACACTGGCAGCAGCACAGACCCTGTGAAACGGCCTCCGGAAGGGGTGCTTTGCAGAATCAGCTGCTGGACTGAGGTTGCTGCTTGCATTGTTCAAAACATCTGACAGCTAAAGCGATCCAGGAGGAATGCAAGCAAAAGTTTAAGTAGATTAATGTAAGCAGGGGGAGGGGAAAATAAAAAAAAGTAGTTTTTCTTTCTCTTCCCTTATCAACAGCGAATCCCTTCTCCGTGGAGAAGGGGGGAAAGTTGCAAATTGAAACAGTGAAAAGGACTGTCCGTGTAACGCCAGGTCAGCAGCAACTGCATTAATCATTTTAATCTGCCCCATTGAAATTAATGGGATGTCACTCGTTTAAAACCGGAGTCAGCAGACACACAAGGGCTGTCAGATACTCAAGTAAGCAAACTGGAACAAGCTGAGCAGGTGAACAATATGTTGATTGGAGGCATTTTCGGAATCCTTTTGCCTATCTACATGAGGTGCGAAAATGTGTCCAGCATTTCAAGTCTATGGAATCCTTTGTCACTTGAAATGCCTTGAACAGTCCAAGAAAAATTAGGAAGCAATGTCAGAATTAATGAATACAGCTCCTAAAACATCTTGGAACTGAACAAAACAAATAGACAGAAGACTCTTGTCCTCATCTCAGTATTTTATTCCTTAAGTCTTGAGTTATTATACAAGTTCCGTAAACTATTGAGTGTCTTCTTCCCATTCCACACCATCCTATTCATTTGTGAGCCAAATATTCCTATTTTGTGTCTTTGAGCTATGGTAAAGAGCACGCTGGAGCCTCTTCTCCTTTTTATTTTGTATTGGCATGTTCAATAAATAGGGAGTATTGGCCAATGTTAGTCATCCTCAGAGCGGAGCTACTGAAACAAAGGCTTATTTGAGTATGACTTAGTTGGGATACCAGCCATAGCATTCAATATCCCTTAGTATTTTGTACAAGGTGACCAAATGGAAAGCAGCACAGAGGCCCTGTACCAATTTATGTTACTGGAAAGAGGATTTTGGCCAATGCATCGTCACACAGGGAAGAGAAAAGCGGCCTCTGCCCAAACCCCATCTCCAGTTCTTCAAGACGCCAAGATCCCTGTCCTGTCCTCTCTTGCTTCTGGTCAGCTGGTTTTGTATGATGCTGCCTTTACTACTTGGGTTAAAATGAAGCAGAATATGTCCATAATAATATACCTTGCTGACCTCTGCAATCCCATTCAGATTTAGGTCCATTCATTTCTGTGGGGTTGTTGTGCCTGACTTGCCGCAGGGTCTGTACCTCTGACTCTTAGGTATTTTTGTATCATTTGTGTTAAAAAATGAAGCTCCCCCCCCCACCCCCTTTACAGAATTTCAAATACAGAGAAGTGAAAGCAAGAAAGGAGAGGTTTAAAATTATTACGAAGAGAATAGTTACCTTCTTTTATCACATATATTGATATAAATTGGCCTGACAAGAAGAAAGTGTTCTTAATAAACAATCTATTGGTTATTCTTGCTAGAATTGAAGTGCTGTGATAACGGATGACTACAAAAAATATAATTATACTGCATTTTCTGTAAATTATTTTGTGTGTGTGTTCCCAATTAATTTCTTCTTTATGTTAGTATTTTGTTTTTTTAAAAAGCCAGGCATATAAATGCTTCAGGTTTGTGGCCTATTCCTGTATGGTTTGCTTGGAAGTACCTTTGGTGGCACGTAGAGGATTGTGGCTTTAGTTGCATGTTGTTTGCCAGGCTGTGTGTGCAAAGGGACAGGGGCCACCCTCACCTGGTGTGCAGGTCCCTGAGGTGGAAGACATGTAGCCAACAGCAAATTCCTATAAGTAGCTATGGTAGAAACAATGACTAAACATTTTTTTCTATAGAAAAGTTACATATAGATGTGCCAACAGAGAAAAGGAGGAAATGAATTGGTCTTAACAAATTATAACTTTGTTTCTTACACATCTTGATAGTCCTGGGGGATGGGGAACAAGCTTAATGGAAATGAGAGAAAGCCTTTATGTTTCGCAGGTTTTGTTTCTAGAAATGGACCTTTTCGTTAGTTATTATTTGTGGTCTGCTGGAGAGGAAATTAAAAATAGAATTAAAATGGTTCTAAAGTAGAATCTTACATAGGAATTGAGAGGTCTACTTTATTAAATCCCCATAATAAAGTTAATTATGAGCTGGTGGTGGAGATATGGAACACTTTTAATTAAAGCCTGTTTGCAATTTTGGACAAGGATATCCAATACATTCATCCAGAATAAACTACATTTTCAGTTCAAGGAAAACTATGTGTGCGCTTTTTATGTAAGAGTTTAAAAAGTGCTGTTGGATCAGGCCATGGGCGCACCGAGTCCACCAGGCCAAGGTTCTGGAGAAGTCTGCAGCCAGGGATGAAGGCAGCGGTCCAGCTCCGAGTTTGGTCCTAGCTGTGATATTCAAGGTTTCCTGCCTCTGAAGGTGGAAGTACGATTTCTCAAGTATAGCTAATCGCCACTGATAGACCTAGTTCCCAATAAAAAAGTGTCTAATTCTTCTTTAAAGCCATTCAAGCTAATGAGACCCCCCCCATCTCCTGACAGTGAATTCCACATGCTTCTTTTTGTTTAGTTTCTTTGGGTGATCAGTGTTGATCATTTTGGTTTCCCCTTTCTAGGTCTGTGATGCTCTTTTTTGAGATGGGGCAACCAGATGAGAGCACACACACACCTGCTAGCCTTGACTGTTTCATAACAGTCTAATAAAAGGAAATTAAAGATCACTCAGAAAAATAAGGGAAATGAAAAGCAGGAAGTTAGGTAAATTTACATTCCTGGGTAGAGGGGAGATTTAGGTGCAAGTTTTTTTCCTCTCTAACTAACTTTGAGATTTTTCTTATAGAAAGTTTGTTAGGCTACCATTCCGTGAGAGATGGCATTAGTGTGACCTGGTAGTCAACCATACATTGATGGTAGGCAGAGTTCGGCTTGGGAGATGTGCCGACGAGGCTTAAAGGATCCAGTCACCAGGGGCCAGAGCAGCCAGGCATTGTCCATGTCTGTTCATTTTTCTTGGGGGCAAAGCTATCACTATAAAAGGCAGGAAAACAAACCAAAAATATTATCATTCATTTAAGGTTTAAATACTGTAATCTATTTCTCATTTGAATCATTTTAAATCAAAGTGTTGCCCTACTAAGTTGCTGAGGAGAAACAATTTGCTGGTATTACTGTGGCACAGAAAGGGTTGTCAAGCGGTGCAATCTGAGCAAGTTTCCTTGAAAGTGCATCTTCAGTGCTGCTTAATCCCAATGAAGCTGGCGTAGGATTGCAGCCTCAGACTGCACAGCTGAGCACAGTTACTTGCAGTAAATCCCATTGAATAAAGTGAGGCAGTTTAAACACAGACTTGGGTCCTGCAGGTTTAGCAGCCCACCTGTTGTTCAAATTCAAGCAATATGTTGCAAATTTCTTAGGCACAAAGTGCTTAAATCTTTCCCAATGAAAGAACAACACTACTTAACTTTTGTCAATCTGAATCATCCCCAGCACCTCACAACTCTTTAAATGTGCCCCAAATTTCATGGAAAGGTTTGTTGCATGGTTTAGATTGCTTTATTTTGAATCCAGGTTGTTCATCCTGATTTTTACCATAGATATTCCATAGATTCCCCCTCAACACTTAATGCACGAGTGAATTTTGCTCCAGAGTCCACCTTCTTCACTTACTTTAATCAAATATGAACCCTCTGTGTAGTCGAAGGCTTCATAAAATACCAAGCACAAAGACAGCAATGGGGGGTGGGGTGGGGTGACCATTAGCTTTGCAGAAGTTTACTTTACTTACTGAATTCCTAATAATGTCAGCATTTGGTGGGCTGGGAGAAAGCCAGTCTTGTCTGGATGGACATACTTGAAAGTTATCCATTTCAGTAAATAGCTTGTAGTCTTACCTTGTAACAAGATATGTTTCTACCTTAGAATGATTGTTGTTGTTGTTGTTATTCTGCCCTTCACCCGGAGATCACAGGGCAGTTAAAGATCGAACTCCCTTTCTGGAGGTTCTCCATAGTTCAGGCAGGGGAGCACCTAAGCACAGCCCGCAAGCTTCCTCTCCCCTGTGTTCCCCAAGGGTCCAGGGAAGACGTGGGGCAGGAGGAAGGTTGCTGCTGATTTCAGGCATGTGGTTTTCTGACGTGTTATAACCATTGGATGTGCCTAAATTTTTGTATTAGCACTATTACATACCTGTGATACTTGTAACAAAAATCCATAAAGAAACCTTGGAGGGAGGAGCACAGAGTAGTAAAACCACCAGAGCCTAGGGATTTATTCATAGAATCCCACAATGGTAGAGTTGGAAGGGACCACTTGGGTCATCTAGTCCAACCCCCTGCAGTGCAGGAATCTCAGCTAAAGCATCCAAGACAGATGGCCATCCAACCTCTGCTTAAAAACCTCCAAGGAAGGAGAGGCCCCCGCCTCTCGAGTCAGTCTGTTCCACTGTCACAATAAATTATTCTGCTGTCACTCATATCAAACACATTGTCGTTTTCAAGCACTGAGGAATTGACTTCAGATAATCCAAGATATACTATTTTAATGTTTTGGATGTATCATAAAGAGACTCATAATATTTAGTGAATATCTGAGTAGTAGAATACACTTTGCTGCCATCAGAGCTTTGAATATATGGTGTTTTAGATATTTTTAAGTCCCGTGATTTCAAAGAGAAAGCAATTGCCCCATGGAAATCAACGGGACTTTTAAAAATAGCACTTGTCCCTGAGCAGAATGTACTTCCCCCATCAAATACGGTTTATTCCCCACTGATTGCTAGCCTGAAATAACTTGCATGGAGATGTTGATGCAAATTTTGGAGCACAAGTCAAGCTTGGTTACTTTTGTCAAACAACTGTGTGATAAGAGTTTTTATCAATTGGTTGGAAGAGAATGGAAATGGTGATGGGGCAGGAAGACATTGCAGAAATTAGAGCTACAGAAGCAGTTTCCCATAATAGCAGGATAGCCAGCAGCCCTACATTTAGCCCTAAAATACACCCAGCCACTTTGGTCTATGGAACTGGCAGCTTTACCTATGGCATATAAAGTTTGCTCCACATGTACAAGGAACCAGCCTTTTACTGTGGCAACACCTGGGACTCCTCCTTAGGCCAGCATATGCAGACATGATATTTTATTTAAGAACCAACTCTGTCGATTTTGTCTATATTTTGACAACTTCATTATGTCTCCTTGTTCTTAAAGTCTGTAGATTTTATCAGTACAGTGGTATCTCGGGTTACATACACTTCAGGTTACAGACGCTTCAGGTTACAGACTCTGCTAACCCAGAAATAGTACCACGGGTTAAGAACTTTGCTTTGTGAGAACAGAAATCGTGCTCCGGCGGCGAGGCAGCAGCAGGAGGCCCCATTAGCTAAAGTGGTGCTTCAGGTTAAGAACAGTTTCAGGTTAAGAACGGACCTCCAGAATGAATTAAGTACTTAACCCAAGGTACCACTGTATTTTTAATGAATATTTCATACTATTTTACATAAACTGCTTAGAGGGTGTTTTTTCTTTCTTTTATTTGTTGTTTATAAATCTTGTGTAAAATTAGGAAGTCACGTCTGCTGAGGCTCAGACCCGAAGAGTCTGCATATTCCTCATGGCAGAGCCTGATGAGTGGAGCAGAGTGACAGCTCAAAGCTGAGAGCAAAAGCCAACCAGAAAGTCACCTGCCTATGATTCCGGCTCCCCCAAGAAGAAGGCTTGGACCCTGATGGTGCAGGCATGAGCTCAAAGTGCACTAAGCTCTGTAGGGGCACCTGCCCAGGCACCATCCTCAACACCCCCCCCATTCCTGACCTTTGTGCATTCAGTGCAAAGATCTGAAGGGAAATTCCGTGTGCATTCTGCTGAACATGCTCAGAGGCCTCCCAGCCACCAGGAACCCTGGTAGTACAAGCTGAGCATTCTGAGGGTCTGGCATCAAACCTTCGCCCTAAATGCACAAATTTCAGGAGTGAAGGAGACCACATCCGTTGCATAGCTTGTGCCACCAGCTGCCCAGCCATGAGGCGCTTGCAGGCAGCAAGGCTTCTCTACACCAGTTGCTGGAAACCTCAGGAGGGGTCCTGTTCTGCTCCCTGGTTTCCCACTGGCACGGGGTGGGAGACTGTGAGAACAGGATGCTGGACTGGATGGGCCTTGGCCTGATCCTGCAGATGGCCATCCAGCCTCTGCTTAAAAACCTCCAAGGAAGAAGAGTCCCCCACCTCCTGAGGGAGTCCGTTCCCCTGTCAAATAGCGCGATAAATTTTTCTGCTGTCCCTCTGTCATTCTTCTGAAGCACCATGTCTACCTTGAGCAGGTGACTGATGGCGCTCTTTTTCCTTTCCTTCTCGCTGCCCTCCTCACAGCTGCTGCCACTCGCCGCCGCCTCTTCCTGGGACGCAAAGCTCCTCACAGCCCAGGGCCTGGGATGGAAATGGCACAACAGGCCTCTCGATCTCAGCCAAGCTGCGTGCAGAGCATTTCAGCCCCGAGGCTGGGCTGGGCAGCCAACATGCAGAAGCATCTTTTTCCCATTCAATTTGTGTGCGCCCTGGAACTTCAGGTTAAAATGCTGAAATCTGGCAACCCTGAAATGAAACAAAATGGCTAACGGACACATTTCCTTTATTATTTATTTATTTCAGAAAATTTATATGCCGCTTGATTGTAAAAAGATAAAACGATAGAATCAAGGAAATAGAAAACAATTATTTTAAATCATACGAAATGCTAAAATGCTGAAACATCAAAATTCCTACCAGCATTTCTAAGCATCTGGGCAGGCTTTTCTAAACCGGAATGTTTTTAGCAGGCATCAAAAATAGTAGAGTGAAGGTGCTCGCTCGATATCAATAGGCAGGGAGTTACAAAGGACAGGTGCTGTCACACGAAATGACTGAGTTCTTACAAATGCGGAATGGGTATCACGGGGCACCTGTAGCAGCGCCAACTCCACTGACTGAAGCGGTCAAGCGGGCACATGTAGGGAAAGGCAATTTCATTGGTGAACTGGTCCCAAGTTGTTAAGTGCTTTGTAAAGAACAGCAGCATCTGTAGTGGAGATCTCTGAGCACAGGTGCAATATGCTAGCAAAGCCTCACTCCTGTCAGCAATTGCGCTGCAGCATCCTGCGCGAACTGCAACCTGTGGATCAAGCGCGAGGGAAGCATGTTGGAGAGCAATCCTGATGTGAATCTGCAGTGAACCCCTTTAAGATGTAGATGTGTGCATTTCAGAGTGGAATGGAGCCACTTTCCAGGAAAAGCTAGCTCAGCAGCCAGGATGGGTGCCCCAAAGAAAAGGGTAAAATAAAAATGCAGCCAGAGCCCCCATAGTGTTGGGTGTGGGGAATGCGTGATAGAGACAGGAACCTGGTGTGTCAGAAGACAAATGAGGGAAGATGCAGCAGGATAAAGGGGGGGGGGATAAAAAGCAAGCCCACCCCATGACTGCCTCATGCCTAACATGAGTGGGTTCCTCCACCCCAATGCCCCCTTGCATAACCTCTCCTTCAAAAACCACATATTAGCCTCCTAAGACACCTCTGAGTCCAGGTCAAGAGGGTGATTTCCCCTGCAAACTCTATTGATATGGTTCTCTAGGCTGGGCCTGCATAGCTTGTGACCCAGCCCAGCCCTTTTGGCTGGCCAGCCCTTTACTGTTTGCCAGGCTTCCTCAACCTCGGCCCTCCAGATGTTTTTGGCCTACAACTCCCATGATCCCTAGCTAGCAGTACCAGTGGTCAGGGATGATGGGAACTGTAGTCTCAAAACATCTGGAGGGCTGGGGTTGAGGAAGCCTGCTTTTTGCAGTCCAAGGAAGGCATCAAATGCAGGAGATTTGTGGAGGAGCCTCTGCTTGCTTGCCCTCCCTGGCTGTGTTCAGCTTGGTGGGACTGCTCTGGTGCATCTTGCCAGGCTGATTATTTCAAGAAACAAAATTCCGTCCCTGGGAACTGTTTGGTAAGCTGGCTGGAGTCAAATTCTCCCCAGTCTCCATCTCCTGTTCCTTTGTGAAGTTTCCAGGATGTTTGGCTACTGGAGGCATAAAGCCTGGAGCATAAAGAAAGGGAAAAGCCCAAAGCCTCCTGGTTACAGAAGCTGCCCTCAACTGCTTTCCCTGAAGTGAGTTCCTGCAAGTTGCCGGCGACTCGCTTGCACGGAGCAAGTGCGTTGCTGGGATGTGTTGAGAGTAGCTGCCTCCACAAAGCATTTGTTATCCAGAGAGGCACCAGATGTCCACCCAGGCCCTCGAGACCTCTTCAGGCCCATAGCCTTGTGCTCCAAGCAGAGGCTTTTGGCTTCCATTTCCACCCCACTGACTCTGGGCATGCTTCTCCCTGGTGTTTGTGGTCACTTTGCAACTTTATTCTTTGGAACATTATGTGTTGCGACAGAAGGGCAAGTGGCTTCCCAGTATTTGTTACAAATCTGTGGAGCCGAGCCATCTGTCAGCAAAACAGGAAGGTCTGGGTTCCCTTTCTCTCCAGGGCTCGGTTTGCTATTTTGGGGAGTGCCCCCTCTCCCCGCCTAGAAGGAAGCCGGTGTGGTTCGAAGCGCAGGACTCCTGGGCGAGAGAGGGCCCACGACTGAAGCGGCTGCTTCTTCTTCGCCCATCTGCCGCGGCTGGAGGTGTATTCATTATTGATGGCAGTAGCGGCGGTTGCTGCTCGCTATGCAGGCCTGCCTGGGTAAATGAGACATTCTTCAGCAAATTGCTTCGTTTTTTGATTGCTGATTGTACGCGTGTCACCAAGCTGACTCAAGGTTCATCGATGCATGCTCAGTAAATTAGAAAGAACATAACTATGGATCAGCCAAGAGAATGAATTCTTTGCCTACAATGACCCGGGGCCATTTAATTTTCTGCTTAATTTTGTTGCAGTCAGTTTGCATTTTGGGTTATTATGCAGTAGGAAATTAACAATAAATAACAAATTTGGTCCTCCTGTGCTTGTAATGATATTTTTATAAATCTTTGTAATGCTCTTTTTAAAAGGATCAAGGTCTGTGCCAGCCTGATACCCCCACAAGTATGCAGGATGGGAAAGAAAGAGAGAGAAAAATACATTAGCCCTGCTAGATAATCTCATAGTTAAATAGCAAAGATTCCCCCCCTCCGTCTCTCTCTGCCCCCCACCCACTTTCTCTCCTGTGATTTTGCATTTCACATTAAACTTAAGGCTTTTCTTTTTCTCTTTCCTTCAGATAACTTGAGGAAAATGGAAACAGATGAGGCTCAAGATATGTCCCAAGTTTCAGGTGAGATCACTAAAAAATATGACTTAGAAAGGAGGACACACACACACCCTGCTTCCAGCCTGGAATCCATTTAGTTCTCTACCAGAACACAGTGTTGTTATTGTCAGTGTAATTGCTTTGGGTCTTTTGCATTGCCAGAGTGGAAATCAGGATATAATTAATGTTTATCACTTCATATCAAGCCCAGTAGTGCCTGGATTTCTTTTTTTAGTAACTTAAAGATAAAGGAGCCAAAGAGAGGGGAGGGGGACATATCTTAATCATTCATTCATTCATTTAGTTGATTTCTATCCCAACTTTCCTCCAAGGAGCTCATGGTGGCGGCCGATATGGTTTTCCCCTTCCCCATTTTATCCTCATGACAAATCTGTGAGGTATGTTAGGCTGAGAATCACGGATTGGCGCAAGGTGGGTTTCGTGATGTGAGTGGGAATTTGAACCTTGGTCTCCAGGTCCGAGTCTGACCTCTGACCCCGACATCATATTCACTCTCAAATCAGTCACTTGCAGATTGTAAATCTGACACAGCGTACTTGAAGTTTTAAAAAGCTTTTGTTCCCTGAGTAAGATTGGCAGTCATGGAATAAGAAGAGAGGTCCTCATATGGATCAGGAATTTGTTAAGTAGCAGGAAGCAGAGACTAGGAATAAATGGAGGGAGGGATGCACAAAGTGAAATTCCCCAAGGATCGGCACTTGGTCTGTGCTGCATAACTTGTTCATAAACGATCAAGAGTTAGGAGTGAGCAGGGAGGTGTCCAGGTATGCTGATGCGACTACGTTGTTCATGGTTGTTAAAACAAAGAGAGATTGTGAACAGCTCCAAAAGAACCGCTCCAAACTGAATGAATGGGCAGTAAAATGGCAAATGCAATTCAATGTATGTGTAAAGTGATGCATGTTAAGGCAAACAAACAAACAAGCCACCCTTAATTTCGCTTATACACACAGGGGGGCGGGCAGGTCTGAACTGTGGGTGACTGATGAGGAATGAGACTTAGGGGTTGTAGGGGATGGCTCAGCGAAGATGTTAGCAGTGGAGCAGCAGCTCTGAAAAAGGCAAAAGTCCATGCTAGGAAAGGAAAATAAAACTGTGACTATCAAAATACTGTTATATATTGTACAACTGCATTTGGAAAACTGTGTACGGTTCTGGTCGCCTCACCTCAGAAGGGTTATTGTATTGTTGGGAAAGGTTCAGGAAAGGACAACCAAAAGGATCAAGGGGGCGGAGCAACTTCAAGGAAAGGTTGCAGCATTGGGGCCTTTTTGGTTTAAAGAAAGGGTAAGAAGTGACAAGATAGAAGCATGGCATGGAGAAAGGGGAGAGAGAGGACGCTCACGGAGAGCCTGCGAAGCTGAATATTGGAAGACAAAAGAAATTACTCACCCTGTGCGTAGCTGAACTATGGAACTCCCTCCCCCAGGAGGCAGGGATGGCTTGAAAAGAGGACTGGACAAGTTCATGGAGGAGGAGAGGGCCATCGATGGCTCCTAGCCAGGACCTCTTATTTTCTGCCTCCACAGAGGCAACAATGCTTCCGAATTTCAGGTGCTGGAACCCACAGGAGGGGAGAGTGTTGCTCTTGTGCTCAGATCCTGCTTGTGGGTTTCCATAGGCATCTGGCTGACCACTGAAAGCAGGAGGCTAGACTAGATGGGCCCTGGTCTGATCCAGCAGGCTCTTCTTCTTACATTATCATCTCAGTTCAACTCTCCTAGTGAGCAATTGGTCACATGTCATGGGTGACTCTGGACAGAGATCTGCATAAGCATTGAAGGTTCTCATGGGTTTCAATGAACTTCACCATGTGCCTTGGAGACATACAGCTGGATTCATCTTTGCCTCACCTGTGTATATGGTAGCCTGCTTCTTGCATCTTCCTTGCTGAACTGGTGTCTCCGTCTGTGAGATATTCATATTTCGATCAGTGTAATATTTCTGCAGATCCGAACACTAGGGACCCTAGCAAAAATAAATTGGGGTGGAATTATTCATTTTTAGTATACCTTATTTGTCAAATTGCTAGTGTTCCTCTGAAGCTGTGATTTCATTTTTAGGATAAAAATCTGAGATGTACTGTGTTGATTTCATGCCACAGTTTCATGTATGGATTCAGGGTTTCCTCTTTCCCTGAAGCTGCTCCTGCAATGGTTATGCAAACCACCTTTTATACTGGGCAGCAAGAAGCCTGTCAGTTGCAAGGTGAAGGAGTTGTGAGGAGAGAGTTCTCTGTGGTTCTTTTTTGGTGTGATGAGACGCAATATGATGTGAAGGTTGCAGACCTGCCAATACTTTAGGCCTCAAGTCAGCTGCCGAGACTTGAAAGCTTCCTGGTCCACCTACCATACATGGTTTTGGTGACTATGAAGAAAAAGATTTGGAGAGATTGCAGTTGGGGCTACAGCAGGAAGCAGACCATTTTAGGAGATGCCTCTTCTCCAAGTTCAGTTGCCAGGGTCAAGGCCTTGTAAGAACTGAATGCAAGGTTCAGCAATCATATCTTGGAAATGTCAGCAGATCTAAGGGGTTTCCCAGAGGATATCCTTGTGTGACACTCTTTGGGGCATATAGAAGCATTTATAATTATGGCAGCTTTGTGAAAGAAGTGGGGGAGTCATATAAAAAATGTTTAGGGGTACTCTCATTTTGACTCAAGAAAATCACAATTTTATAGTTCAAATTGTGGAAAATAAATACAGTAAATGGACAAAAGTACAAAGATTCACAAAATGTTTAGGGGTCTTTGTCCCCCCAGAAAAAAAGCACTGATTAGGAGATAGGCACATAAAATAACCCAGTATTTTTCTCCCTCTGAATATAGATGTGCATATATCTACACTGTCATTGTTAACTTTCTGCCCTCAAGACCCAGTTCTACCCCCTGGGTGGCATTTCTCTTTGGGGTCTACAGCATTTGTTCCTACCATACCAAATGCAGCTTATCAATATATTGGGGGGGGGGGCACCAGTGACCAACCTCTTGTTTTCCCCCACTTCCAAGGGCTGCTAAAACTGGGGGGTTGTGAAGCACCAGGCGAGCCTCACAATGCACAGCTTGTGAGCTGTGTTAGCTTTGTGTCACATAATGCAGCACTATCACAACGCAAAGTTTCATATGGACGGGAGGGGGTTTAAAGTGACCTTTTTGATAGCTTGAAGAGATATGCCTGGGCGAATCCTCTTAAAAGCAGCCTGAATAGGTGATGAGGTACCATTTTTGGAGCATTTCCTCTTGTCTGTGGTTTCCTGTAGAGACACCTGCATGAGAGGCTGGGGGTGAGGATTGGGGTGGCAGGTGAGTTAGACTGTGCAAGGCTTCAGCAGCTGGATATTGAGGAAGGAAGGGTTTCTCATCTCAGCAGGCATCCACTGCAGTTATTCCTCCAGAACTGTCTTCACTCCTTAACAGTGAGCCTCTGTGTAGCTCGCATCTCCATAAAGACAAAACTATGATAGCAACAGCAGCACATTCAGGTTGAGGTTGTACACTTTTCCAGAAGGGCCAATATCATGAAATGAAATCTCTACAAGCGTAGGCCATATTCCTCTGGATATCCTGTGCTGGGGGCAGGGGAGACAAAAACAGCGGTACTTCAGACATCCTCCTCCTTCTCATGTTTGTATGCCGCCTTTCCATAGTTCAAACCATGCTCAAGGCAGCTTGCAACATAGAAAGATATACATAATTAAAACATAACCACAGTAGTCACAAACAATAAAACACTTTAAAACTACATGGGCAAATTGCACAGTTGCCACATATATCATGGTACGATAAAAAAATTAAAGATACCAAAAAAATATCAATAACCTAAAGGAAAACACCAACAAAACCCTCTGAATGAAAACGGTCTCAGCTTTTGCAGCTGGAGTCAGTCTGGGCTCCATCTTCCCGAGCAGGTGGAAAAAGGCCTGTCTAGCAGGGAGGAGGTCTTCTTGGACTCACAGCCGAAATGGCCTCTGCTTGTCTAATATTATTTTCAACAGAACAAATAGAAAGCAAGATGCCTTGCTGCAAAATTATGTTCTGCTGCCATATGACTCTGGTGAATTTTAACACTTGTGAATCGGGTTGGATAACCACACTTTTCTGGCGGTGGAGACTCTTGTATAAACTAGAGCTGAAGGAAATAGCCAGGGTTGTCAAAGGCTCGATCCAGCTAGAGGAGATGTGAGAAAAAATTCCTGGTTACCAAATGGGAGGGTAATTGTGGGTGGGGAGGATCAGTTAACCTTTCAGTTGAGTTTGTGCTACCCATATCCTCTTTTCAAGTCGCTCACAGCAGGTGCGTGCCATCTTTACGCAAGACCTCAAACACTTGGTTGCTGTGCTTGGCCTGGGCGCAACTGGACATTACAAAGGAAACGCAGGATTGGGAGGTGGGGGTGGGGTGCTTGAAGGGGGAAGGGGTTAAACACACCTCCTGCTTGCCTACAGATCCTCCTTTCCTGTTATCTCTGTAGAAATAGGTTTGCTAAGATAAATACTGATTTCACAAACCTATAGAAAAGTAACATCAGGGCTACTAAAACTTACACTGAATGCATCCCCAGCCAAGAGAAAATGAGATCCCTTCCAGGTGGATGTAACCCCAAGGGGAAATGGGTCAGGGAAGAGGGAAATGCCTCTTCCTTAATTTATAGGATGGGTCCCCGAGTTAATTTCACCGTCCCACATGTAGTCCTCCACTTGCAGTTCCCCATCCCATGGCCATAGTTTCTCAGTCCCTGCAGCTTCAGCTTGAAAGGAATCTCTCCTCACATGGGAACTTTTTTGGTGGTGTCTTTGGTTTATCTTCAGCAGCACAGAGGCCTTGAGGAAAACGAAACCTGCCATTTCTGGGCTACTCACACGTCCAACATTTAAAGCACACTCACTCACTCCAAGTACCCAGGGACTGTAGTTTAAGGGTGCTGGGAGTTGTAGCTCTGTGAGTGGTAAACTACAGTTCCCAGTATTTGGGGGAGGGGGGAGTATGCTTTAAATGTACAAGACCCGTACAGCTTCCGTTCAAGTTTGGTAAACCATTTGCTGAATAAGTCAGAGAATCTCATCTCTGTTCTCCGTGCCTCCTTCGTTGGTGCCATATGCAGTTCTGCTAAATGCATGCCAGCACTGCTGTGTCTCCAGTTTTAATGCGGCAATGGCTGCCTCATAAAATATTGCTTTCAGGAGGGGGATATAAGTGTGAACTCTGAGCTTATCATGCAGGCTGGAGAGTTCCGTTAGGAGCCAGCGATGGCCATATTCCAAGAACTGGGAACAGATGTGCCATTCTTGTCTCATTTACAGTTGCTGGCTTGCTTATCTGCTGCCTTGAGCAAGACTGGATCCAAATCTGCCTAAAGCCAGAGAACAATTCTGTTCTCATAAGAAGAACTAAGTTTATGCTCTGCCTGCTTGTGTTCCACACTATCTAAAGTGACTTTCTCTGTTATGTCTTGCAAGCCCATGTAACTGGGAAGTGTGTGTATACTATATAATCTCATATATCAATATGATGTAGGTAGAGACCCCTTGTGTGGATCTTCCCCACCCATGTATCCTCGCTGGTTCAGGCTCCACCCACCTGGCTACCCTTCCACCCACCTGCCATCTCCTCAGTTCCCACCAATGCCCAGCTTCACCCAAGCTCATATCTGTGGTTCACTTATCTTGAAATCAGTTAGAGGTCAAGTTGCCAACCCATTTTCTTCTCCTACAGTCTGATATTCAATGTGTCTACTGGGAAGTGAATATAGTCCCACTAAGTTCAACAGGACTTACTTCCTGCTGAGTATATGTAGGATTTGAGCCTCTAGTCTCTGTGGATTCCCTTCTGTGTCACCTCCACCATGAGCTCCCCAGGAGACCTAGAGCAAGCGGCTGCTCTCTCAGCTTCCAGCCTCTACCTGCAAGATTTACTTATATTTAAGATTTATACCTTGCTTTTCAGTATTAGCACCCACAAGGCGACTCACAATAGTCAGTAAGAACAATAGGATTCGGTTCAATACAATTTTTAAAACAGCAAAATATTTTTTGTAAAAGAACCCAACAGAACCAGCACATTAAAAATATCAGCTAAAAATAATTAAAAGAATCTCAAATATATATTTATTTAGGACATTTGTTGGCTATCCAAAGTCCTCTTAGCGGTTCAAACATTATACAGTATCCAAACATTCTATAGTTCAAATTTTAAAGCATTAATTTAAAAATCAAACTCAATCATTCAATGTTCTGTCTTGTTAAATCTAGAGGTCGCAATGCTGATTTATCTTACTGACTTCTTGTAAGGATTACCAAGATAATATATGTGCTGTGGTTTGAGTACTGCAAAAGCTCCATCAAAGTGTTAAGTACGGTATTAGTAAAATAATATTTCAGATCCTAGGTTCTCTTCTCAGTATCCACTACGACCCTAATTCAACTGAAGTTGGTTGCAACAAAGTCCCCTTGAAACGAAGGGGGAGGCCTACTGGCGTTTGCCCCCATTTTTGCCTTCCCATTTGCAGGTAGAAAAAATAGGACATTTCTGCAACTTGTGGGGAGTACAGAATAGGAGCAGAAGGGCTCCTCTGGGTGACTGGTGTCTGCTGTGGAACTTAAAGTATGTAAAATGGTGAAATGGGGAGAGTTTGTCAGGAAACCCCCATCCTATTTCATGCTAAAAGTTCTCAAAAAAAGAGTTTCCATCTCAGTAATTGAAATCAATGGAGCAAATTAACTACAACCAGGGAGTAAGGAAACTTACTTCTGAATATGATGGAACTGGTAGTCATGACTAACTTGAGCTTAGATTGAGGCCTCCTGTAGTGTGTGATCAGTAGGCTTGCATTATGGAACCAACCTTCAACTTTGGTTACGCTAACAGTCTCCTCTGTTATGACTGTGGACTCGTCATAGGTTGAAGGGAAAATTGCAAAGACAGGACTAAGTTGTTCAGTTTCTCTGGCAATACCAGGCAAAGGATCTCCCAGAAATCCTGCCTCCGAGTTTTGTATGAAAAGGTGCTTAGAGAAACATTACAAACTAAAGGCACAGAGGCGAATTGTGGCACCTATTTTGTGTTAAGTCTTTATTGAGCAGCAAAAGAATGTATTTGGGCCTCAGACTTTTTGATGGCGTTTTAATACTTCAACCCAATATTTGCTTCTTGTTTTGCAATTGCATACCTAGCCCCAGTTAATATTCTGTGCATGCCTCTTAGAAATTAAATGGAGAATGGCTATTTCTCCCCATCTTTCCACTTTAAAAGTCATTTGCTACAAAATGTTAGTATGATTACATATCTATAAAATTGCCATGCAGGAGTGAACTTATCAGGGTATAACAACATAGATGAAGTTAAGGCATGAAATATGAAATATCATGCTCTGGCATCCAAGAGAAGAGGTGCCCACATGGATTACTTCGAATGAGCTTTTTAGAAAAGAAAGGCTTTGCTGGGAGACATACTGGGTGGAGAACAAAGCCCCGTTAGGTGACAACAGCAGCTCAAGCAGAGCTCAGAGACTGCAATAGGGGGTTTGCCTTCACAAGTCTTGTAAGTGGACATTTCACGAGCTGCTTCTTGAACTTTCCTAGAATGAATCAGGTGGACCAGGGTTCAAGAGGCCGTGGACTTCCCCTTCCCACCCATGGTATTTTAAAACAAAAAACCATGCTGCTTTCTCATCGCACAAAAAATAGTTTCTCATTTGAGCTATGGAAGGAGACTAGACATGCAATACTATTATTAATAATATACATTGTATTTACATACCACTTATCTGTCAAAATGGCTTTTACGTGCTTTGCAGGTATAGAAGCGATTACAAAGAATAAAGCCACACATAATTAAAACACACAGTGAAACAATTTTATCAAAACATTAAAATAAACACCAACAATTAAAGCATAGAATAAACAAACCTATCAAAACAGCAGGACAATTGCAAGTTGAAACAGCAGTTACAATGGTTTAAATAGGAGGCTCAAGTCAGGAGACTGGGGAATCCTTGTCAAAAGAGTCTTCAGGAGCTGGTGGACGGCCAGCCAAGCGGGATGAACCATGAAGCAAAATAAGCCCCTGTTGAGGGCATCAAGGGAAGGGGCACTACAGAAATCCTCCATTGCTGGATTTACCATGGACCATATGGTGCAGCTGAACCAGCTTCCACAAAAAAGGCTCTCACAATAAATGGGGAAAAAATAAAAATACAACAACAACTTAATAATATAAATTAATGATATGTGGTTTATTTTTGTTTATATTTTGAATTAGATATATAGGGGGGCACCAAAATCTTTTAAGTGCTGAGTACCCGTACTAAGGGGGCCTCCTATGTTTCAGCAAGGAGTACCTTTTGCAACACTGGTGTAACATAGATACTGTCCTGGAGAGAACGGATTCTCTACTATTGTGGGGGTGGGGTGGGGATGTAGGTAAAGCATCTTCCTACTTGTGGAGGTAGGAATTACCCAAATTACCCATGATATGAATCTCTTTGTGCATTGCTCAAGACACAGCGCTTGTTGTGTGTCAGGGGCCCCAAAGTGCAACTGACACAGGCTGAGTCCAATCTAAGTCATGAGAAGCACAAGCTGCGCCCTTTACCCGTCCCCCCTTAGTCTTCAGAACTCGGCTGCTGTGACTGCCAGCCTGGAGGCTAACATGAGGGCACATTCTATTTCGAAGGTTCTGGAACCTTGAGGTCATTCATTTTTTATTTTTTTTTAAACGATATTTATTAAAGTTTCAAAAAAAGGATACATAGATAAGAAAAAGAAAAATAGAGAAAAGAAAAATACAAAAAAAAAACAATTAAAAACAATTCCATCTTTTCATCACTTATCTTTCATTTACTTGTTTCCCGGACCTCCTCATGCCTCCCTTTTTTGTATTCCAGTTCAATTTATTAGTTCAGCAATTCCTTTCCCTCCTTATTTTATCCTGATCTTTAATCTTAATATATTATAGCATTAGGTTTTTACGTATTCTATTTATTTATTTTATTTATTTATTTATTTACGGCTATTAGCCCATAAAGTATGTACAAACATAAAAGCACAGAGGCATAAAGACTAATATATTCGGCACCAGAAGGTGAACACCATGATGCAGGGGTGGGTCATTGAGCAGAGCCAGATAACAGCTTGGGGCCCGGAGAGCTCCAAGGGACGGATCCCAGAAAAGGAGAACTGAAGACGGGATCCGACATGCACTCTCTTCAAAACTGTCCGATTAGTTTTTGATGTTGTTGTTTTTGGTGGTTTTTGTGTGTGAGATAACTGCATTCAGGAATCTCGCCACCTGCAGAGTTACAGAAGGATCTGTATCCTGCAAAAGTAGTGCGGCATGTGACTCAGCAGGCCTGCCAACCAAGCGCAGTAAAGCAGGGCCCAGGAATTTAGTCCTGGCTATGCTATGTAGGGGACAGTTGAACATTATATGTGAGAGAGAATCAACAGTTTTCCCGTCACACACGCATAGCGGAGACACCAAACCCTTGGAAAATCTGTGGCTCAGCAGGTTCGATGGAAAGACATTGAACCTTGCACGAATAAATGCATGTCGGTGTGGTACAGATGAAAGAGATGACATGTATGATGGAAGGCCAAGTGGTGAGGTTATTCCGTGATACCTGGGGGGCAGACACCCTCACCCCCGGCGAGGTTGTGTTGATTTTCAATGTCTGCTAATCTCTGCTCAATAAGTCTTTTGGCTGAGCGTAAGTTCATCTTTAAGGAGTCCGCTGGGGAAATTCCGATGCTCAGAAGTTTGGCATGGATTTTTCCTACCCATGGATTGACAAAGTCGTCCCGCCAGAGGCACTGAAAAGGTAATGGTTGGGAAGCCTGTGCCAGCTGGACAGCCAATAACCAAAGACTCGCTTCCAGATGACCGTCTCCAATGATGCAATCTTTAACTCCAGACGTATGGCTGCGTTGCTCACACACATGGGGAGTTTCAGGAGGCGACGGAGAAACTGATTCTGCAATGTCCCCAACGATGTTAAATTGGACCCTGGGGCCCAGAGCGGGGCAGCATAACAGAGGGTGGAAACCACTTTTGCATGGTACACCTTCAATGCAGAAGGGATGTGGGAGGCTCCGTCGGCCGCAAAAAATTGGAGTAGAGTATAAAGTATTGTTTCCCTTTGTTTAGTAAATACTGTATCTGTGGCTTCCAGCTTAGGTTGTAGTGAAAAAGACTCCCAGGTATTTAAATTTGAAAACTTGTTCTAATTGGACTCCATCTAACTTCCAGCTGTAAGTTTTCCGAGACCTGGTAAAGACCAGGACTTTAGATTTCCCATGATTAATTGTCAGATGGTTGAGTTTGCAATAAGCCGCAAAAATCTTTAGAGCTCTGCATAAACCGACTCTAGAGTAGGAAAGGATCGCTGCATCGTCGGCATATAAGAGCAGAGGGCAGCGAAAATCAGCTAGGCGGGGGGGCATGAATGTTGGCTTGAGACTCATTCAGAAAGAGCTTCATATCGCTAATAAACAAGTTAAAGAGGAGTGGGGCCAAAATGCAACCTTGGCGCACACCTCTATTTATTGGGACCTCGTTGGATAGGTTTCCCGCCGGTGTGAGTCTCACTCTAGCCGACGACCCATGGTGTAATTGGGTTATAAGCCATAACAGCCTTCTATCTATGCCCCATCTCTCTAATTTCTTCCATAGACAGTTTCTTGGGATACTGTCGAAGGCGGCCTTTAGGTCTATGAAAGCGACACATAGGCGCCCCCGACTCGGGGCAGAATATTTTCTGGCAAGATGATACATGATTACCATATGGTCAGTGGTCGAATAATTGTTCCTAAAGCCCGCTTGCTCGTGGCCAATCAAATTTGAGTCGTTTGCCCAATTGGACAGCTTGGACAGCAAAAATTTTGCATAGATTTTCCCGATGATAGACAAAAGGCTGATGTTCCGATAGTTCTCCGGGTCAGCAGGGGGACCCTTTTATGGACTGGCACGATCACGGCCTCCTTCCATGACCTAGGGATAAGCCCCGTAGAATTAATTGCATCAAAGACTTTGGCCAGGATTTCAGCCCACCACCTCGGTTGCGCAACAATAGCCTCAGCAGGGACTAGATCCAGCCCGGGGGCTTTGCCCGTTTTCAGATCTAATATCAAGTCCATTATCAGGTCTGGGTCGGTAGAGGGCCACAAAGGTAGATGGTCGGCTCGGAATTCAGTGGATGAGTTGGATTCCTCTGCCAAGGAGAAATATTTGCTCAAGAATTGTTCCCATGTGGGCGCAGGGATAATCGTCAGTGGGTACTTCCTTCCTCTTTTGTTTATCAAAGCCCAAAATTCCTGTGGTCTGCGGGATCTAGAGGCCGCAATCAAGGCTCGCCAACGCTTTAGATACCACTCACGTTTGGCCAGCTTTAAAGTCTGTTTGTATGCTCTTTTGGCTTGTAAATAGGAGGATGGTAGAGCCTGGGCATTAGAGTTTTTGTATTCATTATAGATGGAACGAAGAAGGGATCTTGCTTGTTTGCAAGAGGTATTAAACCAAGGGGCCCCAGCACTGCAATGCGCTACTTTCGCCTTTTGAGGAGGTAATGTAAAAAAGTGGTAAGGTTTGTTGTAAGAAGGTTAAAAATTTCAAAACCGAATTGGAATCTTGTAAATCAGTAGCTATTTGAGGTAGATAGGCAGTGATTTCCCTATGGAAAAATCCTGGTATTTTTGGGCCACAGCCTCCGACCATTTGATCCCACTTATTTTGGTCGCTGATGAGGTTTCCAGAGGGACTGAGTGTTTATAGTCCTTCTGGTACCGGAACAATGACAAAGTGGTCACTATTGGGAGGTGATCACTGAAATGTTGGTTTTCAACCTGGAAGGAAAGTACATTGACGGCCAAATTTGCGGAGATCAAGAGGTAATCGATAACACTGTTAGATGCTGGTCCCAGGTGAGTGAACTCCCCGGTATATCGGGGGAAGGTGCCGTTCAAGAATACTAGATTCAGGCGAATGGCCATTTGGTAAAGGGTCACTCCAGCTTTGTTTACTCTGTTGTCCTTTGAAGTTCTAATTCTAGCATGTTCCAAGTCAAAGTTGCCCAAACATGGGGAGTCCACCATTTGGACTTGATTAGTAGGTCCCAATTTGTGGCAATTCGAGCATTAAAGTCTCCCCCAATTAAGGAGTACGAGTTAGGGCATTTGGTATGACATGACAATAGGTGATTTTCAAATGATTCCCATCTCCAATCAAGATCAGGTGCTGAGCCTTCGGGGGAGATAACCATTAGTAATTAGTAATGAGGACTTCCCTTCTGCGATCAGTCCAGAAAGAGCAAAAGGCGGGAAGCCCGTACCAGGGTGAATTTGGCGCGAAGTTGGAGTGAGATCCCAATCAAAAGACCCCCTTTGGGGCGACCACCTTTCAAGGAAGGGGAGGCCGGAAGTGTTAGAAGATCAAAACCGTCTATGGTAATCTCTTCCTCATCCCATGTTTCTTGGAATAGGATGATGTTAAATGAATTTATGTACTTCCTGAATTCGGGGTCTGATTTTTGGTTCTCCAACCAGCAATGTTCCAGCTAAGTATTGATAATGTCGGGTCCTTGTGCTGTCCCGGTAATTGTCACTTTGAGTTGTTTAATGGGTTCTTGGAGGTAGAGCGAGGACCCATAAGGAAATCAGTAATTTTAGTTTGTGCGGATAAAGTCTTCTTCTGTGTTGATTGAATCCGTGATTTGGGAACATTAACAGGCAGGAAGGGCTTTGCCGGGGAGAAAGAATTAGGCAAAGTTGGTAAGGTCGGATGCTGTTCATTGAGGTGAGTAGTAGCAAGTCTTTGATGGGCTATACTAGTAGATCCATCGGAGTTATCAGTCTTAACCAGGGTAGCACTAGGAGGTGTTCCAGTCATCACTTGTAGTTGCTGCGCAGCTGGAGAAGAATTATCGCGCAGATGTATAGAAGGACATGAACGCGGAGATGGTACATGCATAGTCATTTCCTGGTGATCTTCAGACAGGGTAGATTCTAGCTCAGGCATTGAGGCAAAGGAATCGTCAACTTCCGTATTTTGATTGGACATAAGATCTAAGACGGGAGTATTGAGTTTATCAACTTCCTCCACGGTAGAATGGTGCTGTTGGAGCTGTTGGTCAACAGGTGATTGCTGATTCAGATCAGTAGGGGTAACAAAGTAGCAGGTTGAGAGATTATCAGGGCATTTGATGGAGACGCCTTGTGGGACGTGGAGTGCCTGCTCTCCTCTCTCATCGGCATAGAGGGGTCCCCTTGCGATAGGAGTCTTTGTTTGAGTAGATCCAATCTATCGAGAATAGCCTGCTGTTCTTCTGAAGGGAGTTTTCCATAGGAGAAGATAAGATTTCTCTCTTCAGGGATATTCCAATCTCCGCTTGCAATTGGATCATTCCTCAGTGTAGCTAGATGGGCACTTGAGGTCGCAGATGGAGCAGGAGGTACCCAGCTAGGTGTTTTCCCCTTTATTATAGGAACAGAAGGAGGAAACGAGCGTTCATTGCCGGTTAAGGTGTTGGCAAAAAGAGGTTTAACACTCGTGTCCTTAAAGACTCTTGATGTTACAATCTCCCAGGGTGCCAGCCGATCTTTCTCTCTTGCAAGGAGATGTGGGATCCTTGCAGACTGGAAGGAGAGCATAAATTTCCTTGGCCAGGGCGTGGCAATTAGGGGTACTACAGATATAAGATCTATCTGGAAAAAAGGAATATTTAACAAATCACGTAGGTACCCTTTAGCCATCCTCAGGTTATTCCACCTAAGTCTGGGGGGCGTCACGGGAAAAAATGGCTAGACATATTTTATTAGGTTGAAAAATCAAGGATTGCCTATTCCTTTGGGGCAGTGGCGGCCTGCATCTTGAGCTCTTAAGGTGAAATTTCTGGTCAGGTTGTCTCTTTAAGGCACTTACAAGCTGCACAGGAGATTGATGCAAATTAGATAGCTCAGTTGAGGAAGGTAGATGAGCCAGAAGGGCCCGTGAAAGATTATTCAATGTCAAAGAAATCCCTCCAATTCCTTGAAAATGAAGCTTAAAGTCCTGATTACCAGTTGTATTTGATCAGGTACTAATTCATGGGCAGTTTGCCCTAATGCGTCCCGTTTCAATGACGGAGGTGTAATTAGGGTATCAGGGAGGAGGGCTTCCCTATGGCTTCCGTCCCCGCTGGATCAGCTAGCTTTTCCGGCTCTCCTTGATCATACAGAGGCCAAAAGCGGTTGTATGTTTCGACCGCAGAAACAATTACTTGCTCTGTTTTGCTGTTATTGTTAGTAGATGGTGGGGAGATTCAAGCTTCGACTGCTTTACTCTTGGAGGTGAGCAACCTTTCTCAGCAGATCTTGGTCGCTTGCCATGACCCATTTGTCGCTGTCTCACTAACTACGGAGGTTCAAAGTAGAGATAAACGGAGATAAAGAGAGAACTTATCTTTTATGGGCGCAACTCCTCTGCTACTCCTCCTCCTCCACTTCTCAACATAGCCCAGTCTTCAAGGCGGCGTTACTAATCAGCGACAGGCTTTCTCAGCAGAGGGTTTGAATATCCTTGTTGATACGTATATTGGCACCAACAGGCCAACCGTAGAAGTAAAACGATTAAAAACTTCTAACAGAAGTAAAATAATTTAAAAGTCTAATAAAACAACTATAAAAACAGCAGTAAAAAGCTATAAAAGGCTATAGAAGGTTTGTAATCCGGAGGGTTCACGAAGGAGAAGTTGTTACAGCCGCCATCTTAATTCCGAGAGAGCTTACGTATTGAAAATCCAATTTTTCCATATTCTTTTATACCATTACAGCTAGAAACCACTTAACTTCAATCCAACATCATTCTAACATTCATTAATTTTGCAATATTTCTGTAAATAGTCTTTAAATTTCTTCCAATCTTCTTCTACCGACTCTTCTCCCTGGTCTCGGATTCTGCCAGTCATTTCCGCCAGAGGTCATTCATATGCTGTATCAAATGGGGGCCTGAACTGAACATAGATCTTTCTCAACTTACTGGGACTATTCCCTTTATCACCAGGAAAAGAAAGTCCTCCGGTAAGCGATGTCCCGGATGATTCTGATGAGCCCATGCCTGTGCCAGAAGATCTTTCCACCAGCACAGGCGGACAGCAGAATTCTCGCAGCGAGAGAGTTTTGGGTAAGAGCATTGCTATGTGTGGCTTGCTGCTTCCATGCACGAGGTGCTTCTCGATTCACTTGGAGGACTGAGAATGCCTTACTTCTGAGGCAGGTGTTTTTGTTTTGTTTCTGTCTCGAAGGTAACAGGCCCCTTTTAACCTAAAAGGTTATAGCCAATAATCTAGCTTTACAATACGTGGTTCCATCAAAGACGGTTCCCACGCTCGTTCTGCACGGAAATGATTTTATGACAGAAAAGTAAAAGCATAAGCATGGGGTTATGGGGGAAGGGGGTAGAAGAACACACAGAAAACTTTCCTGCCTCTCTGTTAGATTTCCAATGTTAACCTGGATTATGCTTTGTAAATTTAATAGCTCTTGATTTGAAATAGATAGCAAGCATCTGGAATAACTGCAATACCATTATCCCAGTCTCAGTTGTCTGTAAATAATTTCCAGTAATCAAAATCATTGGTTTTCAGCTGATTGATGGCTTGCAACTCACACTTGGTCACACCCTGACCTGAAGTGGATTGCAGCAGTGGGACTGCCCCAAGTTTCTTGTCTGCTGTTTACATTTTAAAAGACTGGGGAAGCAAGAGAGAGATGGGGAGAAAAGCAGAGAGAAGGGATGTGGGGGAATGTAAATATGGGGAGGAAAAAAGATGGTAAAAATTAAAAGTGTGACCCATTTGTTAGAGATTGGTCTTGAAGGTGGGTCCTGGCTCTGAAAAGACCACTCATCTAAATCCAAACTTTAGCTTGCTTTCTGGTGCAATATAATGTACAAAAATATTATCCTGATCAAGGAGAACTTCTGTATAACCAAATGTTTGATTACCAAGTGATTTGTGAGGTTTCTCCAGTTGTTTGGATTTAAAAATAAACAAATACAGGATGTGATCCAGGTAAAGTACATCCAAAGGCATGTAGACCCCACTGGTTTTCATAGGAAAGGGTTAAGAATCCAATAATAGTAATTAAACTGTATATGTGGCAGCTGAAAAAAGTTGTCTATTCCCTAGGAATCCACCGGATACATGCGTGATTGCCACTTTCCTTTGCTGGATTTAGTTGATGAGTGTCTCCTCCAGTAAGGCAGAACGACAGAGTAAATTTGTCAGAGGCTGCAACTCATCCTAGTTGTTGCATTTAGAAAATGCTCCTCCCCCAGGAAGAATAACAGGTTTAAATAATTTGTCCTCTTTCATTCTCGATCCCTGGGCTGGTTCCTCATCCATTGATTGCCCAACATTTGATGACTCACTGCTGGATTTGCAAACAACCTCCATTGTAAAGCAGGTTGTGTTTGAGGTGCCCTGAAAGCGCTGCCTGGGGTCCTTGTCAGCTTGGTCACACATGCAAGTTGCTGTTCAGCACCGCAGTTCTGAAGTCACGAACATGCATGAATGTGTGAATCAGCCCAGCCATGGAATCTGATCTCTTGGGATCCAGAAATGCTTCTAAAATGTGGTCACACGCTTGCTTCCTTAGTATGGCATCTGGGCTGCAGGGGAAGAAGTGGTCCCTTCCCATTCTGCGCTTCTCTCGATTCAGTGATGAGCTGCAACACAGATTAGGCAAGCTCTTCTTATCATGGCAGCTGCAGCACAGCGTGAGGAAACATTCTTACATGGCAGATGGATGAAGCACCACTTTTTCTTTTATCAAAGATCTATAGCTTCTTCCTTTCCCTCTTTATTATCAGAGAAGCTGGCAGAGCTAGCTGAGTGATTAGAGGGAAGGGAAAAAAGAAACGAAAATGTAATTCAGAGCTAACGCTCTGATCAATGGGGCTGCAGCAGGTGGAGCCGTGCTCTTCCCCCAGCTGTGCTCACGGTGGGGAGCAGGGGAGCAAGGCAGGGGGATGCTCTTGAGGTGCCCATCCGGCAGCAGAGCTGGAGCTCCTGTCACCCGTCGCGCACTGCGCTGAGCTCCCCACTTCCTTGCCCTTCCTGGTAAGATCAATGAGTCCTGGTGTTGAGAAGCAGGAGAGCAGCGCAGACCCACTTGCCCTCTGCCGCCAGCTTCCACTGGAACAGTCTTGTACTCTCAAGTTTTACACATAAAATTGGCTTCACAAACTGTAAAGATTGTGACTTCACGCCCTCAGGTGATGTGAGGTCCCGGGCAGTCTGACCATGCAGCTCTGGCTGAATGAGGCGAGTTTGGAGGGTATCATTCATGGGTGGCCAGCAGTTGCTCATTTTGTTTATTACTGTATTATTATACATTTAACCACCATAACTGGAGGGTGTGATTTGGATTTTCTGCTTTGGGTGTTGAAACGTGCTGGGCCATCTCTGGGCATTGATGAGGGAGGTGGGGGGGCAGCTGAGGCCAGAAAGAGGCAGACGGGCCTTAGTTTTTTACTTTTGCAGCATGTGTATGAAATAAAAACATGATAGCAATGTTTATTAAATATACACATGGTTTCATGCGTATTTTCTTACAAAAGTAAAATATGAGCCATGTGACTACAAGAGACTATGGCAATACTCAACTTCCAGCCTTGGAGGCGTTTGCCACTGAAAACCATCTACTGGGAAGCAACTGTGGAGAGGGATGTCGCCTTTATGAGCTGCTTCGGGGCTTTCCGGAGGCATTTGGCTGGCCTGTGTGGAAAACTGTGGATTTTATATAATACTGTTGTGTAAGTCATTGTATGTGGTTGCACCTTTGCCTTAAAAATGGACTAAAAGTCTATTAAATAAGTAGGATGCTAACATGCATAAATGAAGGCCATGCTAAATTTCTCCCTGAGGCCTGTTCAACTGAAGCAAAAAACTGAACTGAAGCGGGGGGTGGGGGGATTACGCAGAAAATCCTTTGATTGCCACAACATTCTTGGAACCAGAATACTATCACAACCCTGGAATGCCATCCTTGAGAATATTCCTGCTGACAGGGCCAGGCCGCTCGTGAGGGAAGGTGAGGTGGATGCTTCAGGCAGCAGGATCCACAGGGCAGCAGATCCCGCCTCCAAAGAACACATCACCCGCTGTCGCCGCCAACCCATTTGCTCTTGGGAGGCTGGATCTGTCCCCCCCCCCCAATGCTGCCTCCACAGTGGCCTCTTGGCCCATTGGAGGCGCTGCTTGTCTCCTCCCACCCTTGTCCACAATGTTGGTCTTTAATCCGCCCCCCTTGTTCCTGATCTTCACTCCCTCCTCCTTCATTGGCAGGGGTGGGGGGCACTCCTTTGAGGTTCGCCTCAGGTAACAAAATGCATTGGGCTGGGCCTGCTTGCTGGTGTCTGTGCGCTCACTCCGCTATGGGCAGCTTGGGAATTGTGATTTATAGTAGTTGCTTGGGGGGAAAACCCAATTAGAAAGGAAGGAAATCTGGCCAAGATCAGCCGATTTTACAGTAACCAAGAGTCAAGTGCTTCCATACTTCTTCCATTGAAATAAATGGGATTTAGAAGAAGGCTGGAGTTTTGCTGGATCGTGCCTGGGTTTCTTAAAAACAAATCTCTTGCCCAGCCCTTCTCCATCCTGGAGCCAGCCAGGATAATGGGGGTGTCTGCTGAGGAGCTCCTGTCTTTTCTAGGAACAATTTCTGTGCTCCTAATGTTTGATTACACTCCCAACTAGGAATGTGGGAATCTACCATGTGGAAGTGCCGTAGGATTTCCACATAGCTAAACAGCAAGGCAGTGTTCACATTCTTGTTTCCATTAGGCTCCTACTGGTGTTCTGGAATATGGTTCCAAACCTTTCAGATTAGAGAAATCCTTAAATGCAGAGGCCGGCTTCAAATGTAGGCAAGAGTATAAGGAAGGTGGCTTGGTAGAAAAGGAAGCCAAAAGGCTAAAGGGGAAGTGCTCCACCCCAGATTGAGAAACACAATCCACTCAGCGGTGGTGTTCTAGAGGCTGTTTTGACAAAGGTAATAAATATCTAGTGCTCTTGAGTAGCGAGAGTGGCTGTGGAGCTGCTTTCTTACAACTAACCGGTGTGCTTCCAAACAAACACATTGGCCATGCTGGTAGGACTGGTGGGAGCCTCAGCTCAGTCACAACTGCAGGGCCAAAATCGCCTGACACCTGGTGTGTTGCTTTGCAAAGTGCAGAGTAGGTCAATTTGCCTGTAAATGTGAACTGAATTGCAGTCCTCCCCACCAAGGACTGTGTGGGTCACGTGCTCCACTCCCTTTCTGAATAACAGAATTACCCAGTGATCCTGTGTCCTTACACACATTACAGCAGATGCAAAGCAACAGATGACTTCACTATCTAAATCTCAGGATTGTGATGCGGCGGGGGGGGGGGTGCAGCAAAGGGAGGGGAGGGATAAGAGAAGCAAAGGAACAAAGGATGGATGGGTTCAAATGCAGCTGATATGTACTCAGCCCTTGGTGCATTTGCAGGGTGAAGACTGCGGAGACAAGCTAGCCCTTCACAGAAAACATTTTGAGACGGGGCTCTAAAGTGCTTCTGGGTAGATATAGAATAAGCCGCTGTTTCACACTTCCATTTTACAGAGCAGTCCTGTACAGTATACATGTCTATTCAGAAGTAGGTCCCATCCAGTTCAGTGGAGCATACAGGGTTGCGGCCTTCATTACGCTGCAAAACAGGTGTATTTTTCAACAGCAAAATTTATCTCTGCCCTCCCCTCTCCCACTTTCTGGTACCATCCCTTACATCATAGTAATGCTGCAGGTGTTGTGATAGTTTTCACTAACCTAGAGGAAAGAGAGAAACTTACTGTGAGTCTAACGTGCTTCTGGATGAAAAGAATCAAAAGATTCTTTGGCTAAACTGGAGATACTGTGTGTGCCTCATTGTGTGGCTTTTTTCAATCCGGATAGTGAGCCTGCTGATCTTATCTGCAGTGGGAGGAAGTTGCTTTTATCTGAGAAGCGCATCTCTCCCATTCTGATAAGTCCTGCTTTAGCTGTGGAGTTATATTTATCTAGTGGGATCACTGGCTCACCAGCCGCAGCCGCAGCCGCAGTGGGGCTGTTACTGAGGGGAGGCCAAGATGAGCCAGGCAGGATCCTGCAGAAGGAAGATCAGCCTTAGAGTAAGTCTTGGACTCCCTGGGGAGCGAGAGGCGAATGAGCCCATCTCTGAAGGAAGGCTGGGGGAGCCCAAGTCCAAGCTGTAGCTCTCGCAACATGCCAGCTCAAACAAAGCACTTTTCCCCAGGGCCCATCCCAAGGAAAAGTTGGCGAGACCAAATTCCAGGTCACTGTTTAGTCCTCCATTTCCTAAATTGGGTAGCTAGAAAGTGATTCCTTAAAGAGGAACACCAGTTTCCTGCCCCTTTCCCCACAAACCATTGAACTGAGGTGAAGAGGGACAATAGCAGATTTTTTTTTCTTTTTAGAAAAAAATAAAGAATTCCCCAAGCATGCAATATCAGGAGAGGGATGTCTATGTAAACAAAAACACACAAGGGCTATTTGAGGATGAAGTGGGACAAAGCAGGTGAAAGGAGCAAAAAAGAGAAGTTTAGTCAAAAGGATGTGATAAATGCTCCCTGTGTTTACCCTTTGCCCCCCCCCAATGTCTCTGGCCTTTGAGTGAGTTTCTCATTCTACAGTCAGTTTTTCAGTTTTTCTCTCTGGTCTGAGGCATTTATTTATCCCAGCCTTTATTTCTGGTCACCACATTTTTCTGCCCAGCTCTTTGTTGGCAAAAAGCAACTGTGAACCGATGGGAGGACCAGTGAGGTTGCTTGAGGAACCTGACTCCCCTATTTTATTCATTTATCTATTGCATAATGGGAGGCAATGATGGAGCATATTCAGTAGTCATGCTTTGCAGTGCAGCTTCGTGTATACAGAAGAAGGAAGGGGAGAGTGTAAACGTACGTAATAGCAGAGCTCTTAAATAGTGCCTCTCAAGCGCTTCGCATATATCAGTAAGCCTTTGAGCAGCCCTGCGATGCTGGCCTTTATTAGCTCCACAGCACCTTTGGGCTGCCCACTGTGGACTTCCTTCTCTGCCCACATGCCTGTCAGGCAGAAATGTAACAGGTGGATGCTTTTCCCACCACTTAGCCCCATATCAGAAAAGCTTCAACTGCTTAATTACATGGTCGGCTCATCCACTCTTCCCCTTTCCCCATGATTTCTTCTGTTTGAACCATCATGGACATTTGCTCCGATTCAGCCATAAACGGGGTTTTCCGGGGCGGGGGGAGTGGTGGGAGAAAAGGAAAACCTCTCAGACGCATGCTGAGAAGTCATGGATCAAACGGAAGGGTGGGTGAGCCCTGTGTCCGGCTGGTCCCAAAGGCCCAAGAGCAGAGCAGCCAGCCATGCGGGGGGCCGGGGGGGGGGGAGTTAAACTGTCTCGGCATCCCTGCCTGGAGGAGGGGTTGAGAGACTGTCTGCTTCTGTCCCTAACCTCCACCTGCGGACTGAGTTGCGCAGTGTAGGCCCTAAGTGCATCCTCCAGGCCCTCCGCTTTTTACAGCCGGGCGCATGGGGCTGTACATGGGCTCCCTGCAGAAACCTTGCTTGCCATCTGTGAAGAGAGGGAGGGGCTGGGCCTCAGGTGCACTTGCAGCCCCCCCCTTTCCTCATTTCCATCCAGTGTGACCATCCACACAAAGCTCTTGATCATCTCAGTCTGGATAATGAATACTCTTCTTGTGGCCAGGCAGGCTGATTCCCGGAAACCGCAGGGGTTCTTTCGCCTCTTGGCCCCCACAACAGAAATTAAATTAAGAAATGTTAATTCATGGGGGGGCAGCAGAGATTTTGTTGGCTTTGGAGCCCATGATACCTTGAAAGGATGGAATAACAATGATAATGAGGTATTATCTGAATCTGCAACACCTTTTCTTAATTTTATCTCTATGTTGCTGGTAGATCCTATTGAAATTGGTATCCTGTCATGGGCTTTATATTAATGCTAAATGGATTTTTTTAATATACTTCCACCAAAATTGCTTGAGCAAAAGAAAATAAAAAAGTGTTTTGTTGTTTGCGCTTTATAACTAAACCCAGGGGGACTTCGTACATTTATTGATCACTGCTGTAAGCGTTTTTCATATCCACTTTAACCTTGACAATAAAAGCCATTTAATTAATTAATTCAGCTTGTAGGCTGCGTTACTATTGGAGAAATACACAAAACAAATAAATATTTCCCCTCAGTTCCAGTTACGCTACACTCAAGCAAGCAAGCAACAATTAAGTACAAAGTGCAATCATATTCTCAAAGCAGCAAGTAAAACAAAGGCATCATTTTAAAAGTACCTTTTTTGAAGAAGCCTGCCTTATGGCGATGGAGGGGTGCCAACCTGAATGAAATATTCAGGGGGTTGGCGCTGCATAACTGATCACAAAACACTCACAATATTTCAATGGCAATGCCCATCAACCTTGGGAGGGTCCAGCCCCTCAAATATTTTATTGGTGGAGGGGCAAAGAGACCTGGGCCCCTAGGAGTTGGCTCCTATGTGGCAAAACGCCATTTCAGAGGAGACCAGCCGATCCCCATGTGTAGTTGTGGGCAAAGAGAAGGGCCTTTTCCTTGCCAGCCATGCCTCAGGGCCCAATGAAGGGCAAAACTCCTCTGAGCTTACAGCCGCTGCTATCCATGTGGAAAACTGTGTCCGGAAACACACACACACACCCCAACGCCAAACTTCCGGAGGAACACTTTGTTACCCAAAACTGGTTCAGTTTTTACTGACATGTTCCTTATAAATACTTTCCACACTGATCTCTTTAAACCTCCATACAGTAGTCCTTTTTATATCAAACATGGAGTTCTTTTTTGTATCATAATGCCATACGCTTCGTATATAACAGAAGTTGAGCACCTACAAGCCTTGAGCTCTCTTCCTAGTCTTCACTTTACTCTTTTTGGCATCTGCTTAAAACATTTATGTTTAGGCAAACCTATCCAGGCATATAGAAGTTACATATTTTATTTCTTTTTGGCTAATGTTGATTTTAATAATCTTTTAAAATAGTTTTAATGCCTTTTTTACTGTTTTCTGTTGGTAAAGTTAACATTTTATATTGTTTTTTTACATTCAAGCAGTATACACATTTGGTAAATAAAAAATTAATAATATTAATATGGAGGTAAGGGAGGGAATATGCAGCAGAACAGGCTGATTATCTGCCTCCAGGACCAACGAAGTCACACCAAATAGCTGAGCTGAGTAGCACAATTCCAAGCGTGTACTCCACAGTAAGAATGCTTAGAACTGCGGCCTTAATTGTTTTAACTGTATTTTATCCCACCTTTCTCTCAAAGATCTCGAGGCAGCTCCATGATCTTTTGTTCTCACAACAACCCTGTAAAGTAGATTAGGCAGAGAGAGAGAGAGAGCCAGGAAACTGTGCCTGAGCTGGGACCTGGACCCAGATTTTATGGAGCAAGTCCAACACTCCAACCACTACACCACACTGCAATAAAAACAATTAGCAGCACTGCTCAGGAATATATCTCATCCTCCTAAAATAGATTTCTAAAAATCATAACTGTGGAAAACTCACAATGAATCCTGTGCATCCTCACAAATCTATATGCCTATCCTTGAAATCTATAATTTAGCAGAGGCAGGAAATGTAAGCCTAGCAAGCAGGCAGATTATGGGGGTACAGTGGTTTCCACTGAGTTCCACACAGCAGACAAGCTGGAAGGTGTACAGAGGAGGGCGACAAAGATGATCCAGGGTCTGGAAATCAAGCCTGATGAGGAAAGTTTGAGGGAGCTGGGTTTGTTCAGCCTGAAAAAGAGGAGACTGAAAGGAGACAGATATGATAGCCAACTTCAGACATCTAAAGGGCTGTCAACATGGAGGATGGACCTGAACCAATGGCTTCAAGTTTACAAGAAAGGAGATTCCAGTGAAACGTCAGGAAGAATTTTCCGACAGTAAGAGACAGTGCAAGGTTGTGGACTCTCCTTCCTTGGAGGTTTTTAAGCAGAGGTTGGATGGCTATCAGTCATGGAAGCTTTAGCTGAGATTGCAGGGGGTTGGACTGCGTGACCCTCAGGGTCCCTTCCAACTCTACAATTCTATGACTCTATGAAAAGGGACATAGTTGGAGGGGGTTAAAACCTGCCCTCTGCTTCAAGCAATACTGCCAGGAATTCCCAAAGTATATATGCCCTCCTTCTGCACAGCATATTGAATAGCTTTTTATGTGTCTTTCATATACAGCTTGCCTCTAAAAGCTCATAGGTGGCCCTTAATCAACTGGATGCTGTTATATAAGATGTTTCACTGGCTGGCTGAGTGCAATTGTTGTTTAACAAAGTGAATTTTTAAAGAAATAAACAGAATAATCTCCTAAGGTGATTAATAAACTAAGGTGACTTTCTCGATTCTGTAGAAGGTCACAGGTCATCTTGTCCCCAGCCAGCACAGTCAAGACCACCGTGTGCCCCAAAGCAGAGAGCAGGTGCACCAGCAAAAGTTCCCTGCAGAACAAACAACTTCAGATGATGTAGGCCTTGAACTCCTAAGAAAAACCCAACTCTTCCTGTGTTGACTGGTGTTGCCTATGTGAAATTCATTCTTCCTCCTCTTTTTTACCGTCACAGTGCTTAGATTCTCAGATACTTGCGCATTTCCTGAGAACAGAGTGATCCACACATTTGGGGCTGTGGCTTTGCTTGGGTTGTGTTTTTCATGTTGAGGCACTGGATGGGGGAGATTACGAGATAGGGGTGAGAGAGCTCTCGCTAGTAGCACATTTATGCAGCTGCTGCTGCTGCACCAGGTATGCAGGGAGTCCCTGTGCATATGTACTTGATGGCCTGCGTAGTGCAAGAAAAAGGTGTCCTCTTGCACTGCCTCATTTTTCTGGAGCATCACATTCCGGTAAATGGAGACTCGTACTGGGTCAGTGGTTTTCGGATTTCCTTCTCTCAGGGAACCCTTTGTGTTGTGCACCAGTTTATGTACTTGCCCAGTTAAGAGCACATCTGTGTGCAGTGATGTTCCTCCTGCTCCCTGCAAGTACAGAAATGGAGCCAACCTGGTTGCCAAATAGCATTTACCTCTCCTTGGGGCCAGTTTACACAGGCATGCTCATCATTTTACACATCATAAAGCAGAATGTGTGACTCCGCCACCACAGATTCATCATTTCAGACTGACCATTCATGTACTTTTTAATGGAGACAGTTCACACATTCAGTGGTCACCATGCTGAGTAATTGCGATAGGGGATGTGCGAAGGGACCCAAACACATGTTGGTTTTGAGTTGGGTCAGGAGACACCTGCTCTAATGGCTTGGATAGGAGGCAGATCCTGTGTTCAGATCACCTGGGTTGCATATATTATAAAAGCAGGGAGCATCTGGCTGAGGCTCCATTCAGGTTTCCTTAGTTGGCCAGCAGCTTCCTCACCACTCCCAGCTGCAACCTCCAAAATAACCCGTGCTTTCTTCCTCTGGGTGACTTGACAGTACTTTAGACATCTGTTACAGAGGGACTTTCAGAAGTGCCTCACTGACGTTCCCTTTTTAACATTTTTTACATAGCCAGCACTAAGGAATGCATTAAAAACAAAGACCTGCCCCAAATTAAGGTATAAAATCAACTATGGCTCCATCGAGCCTTGTATTCCTTGCTCTGAGCAGGAAGCACTTCTGCAAGGTCTTTCCCCCCAGCCCTGATCCAGAGCTGACTTCATGATTTTGAGAGAATGCTCAGCGAGAATCTACAACCCTTAGTCTTGCTACATGGAAGTTTCTTCCTGAACAAACAGGATGCTGAATGTCACAATCTCTTTGGAAAGACCTTCTCTGCTATCTGGCCCATCAGGGATGGCCACTTCATCTCCTCCTCTGTGTGTTTTGCAACCAGCACAGCAACATGTTGAGGGGTTGCTCACAGGCCACATTTTGCAAATGACTTGGCTGGGACACAGCTTGATTGGTCAGAACAGCAGGAACAACATTGCTTGATTAGCTGTGTCCTTCCAGAAACATAAGTTTTGTGGTGCCTTTCTGTTAATTTGGGAGAAACAGGCAGTAGCAGCAGAAACAGGTGAAAAGATCCTATTGCCTTATCTGAATGGACAGTTTAGAGTGGACATGGAGAGAGCAGAATCCCACCCCCTGCTTTTCCTCTTCTTTCTTGTTCCTCAGCTGCTGTTGTCAATTCAATACAGTATTTAAGGGAACTTCTTGCATTTGGTGGGGGGGGGAGTCATCTTTGTGGCGATGTTTTGGTGGGTGTCCTCTATCACCGCACCCCCTAGTTCTATTTTCTCCTCACCTGAACACAACCAGTCATTTTGTCTCTGGCAGCCCAAACTATGCAGGTGTGCCTATATCCACCTCCGGATTTCAACAACCTGGTTCTCAGAGTTCTTGCTGTTGAGTCACTTCTTTTTGGGAGTGGGGAGTGGCGGCGGGGGCAGCCGTTGATAGCAGTCGAGAAGTTTAAAAAATGATATAGAGGTCTCATGGAAAAGTGGGGTTTTTTCAGTGTGAAAGTGTTCTGCCCACCTTTTTTATTCCTGGGTTTGCTTGTGGCACATGAAGGGGAAACCATTGATCCTGAGGAAGGGGACACTTGCATCCCTTGCAGCTGCCTCTTCATGTTGTCCTGCCATGTGAGCGGCAGAGTGTGTGGCATTTCTGGTTTGTGCTGGAAACTCTGAGGTGTTGCCCTGACTAGAGCTGCCATTTCCCATCCTGCAAACAAGGAGAAGGAGAATTATGGCACTTCCGAGGATCGGCTGCTTTGGAATCGGATAAGGGGGAATGCCACCACTTCCGCTTGGGTGAAATTGAGAAGTGTGGAGATGAAATGGACAGTCTTGGGGGGCGCCTCTGAAATTGACAAGTGCACATAGTGGCAGCACCCTGACACTGCCAGAGTCCCTTTCCAAGAAGCCACTTGCTTCTTTGTCAGGGAGGCTGATCCGTGCAAGGAGGGAAGGGCCAACTGCAGCCCCAGCAGCTCACTTGCAAGCTAGAACACTTCACCCCATTTCCCCCTTCTCCTTTTGCACTGCTGGTCAGGACTCAAGCGCTTGGCTGCCCACTGCATCCCCATCCCCGTCTTGCTGTCAAGCAGGGAGAGGAATGGGCTTGATCCTGCAGGAGAGCAAAAACTCGCCTCAGCAGAAGTGGCAGCTATAATTAGATCTGTGCTGCTCATGCACACTTCCGGGGGGAGGGGGAATGAAAAGGTGCGGTGTGCACAAGTGCAAAAATATCCCCTGGAAAAAGGGAAAAAATAAAAAGCCCCCCACCTCTTGCAAAGCATGAAAACTAAGGTGTGGTAATAACTAAGCTCTTGCAATGTTTGCTCTTGTGCACTTGCAGTGAATTTCCCTCTTTCTCTTTTTTTATGAAGTGTCAATGCACAGACACAGAAACGCTTGCCCAGAATGGAAAAAGATTGTGGAGGGCAGAGGAGGAGCGCTTGTCAGGAGGGACAAAAAGCACACTGGGGGTGTTTTCCAGCAAGCTTGGCCCACTTTTGGGGGTGGGCAAGAGGATGAATAGCAATGAATGCGGTGACTGGGGGGGAAAGGGAGCGTGTGAACCTTTGTCTGCAAATTGTGCACACAGAAAAATGGATCTGAATGGGTCCATTTGTGAGATAATGCACATTCTTTATTATTATTATTTATTAAATTTGTATATGGCCTTTCATCCAAAGATCAGAGGGCTGTTCACAGTAGAAAATTGCAAAATGAAAACACAACCTCCCTCTCACAGATACATATCAAAGGACATTAATCAGCCAAAGGCCTAGTTGAAGGGAAACCTTTTTGCCTGGCGCCTAAAGGTATATAATGAAGGTGCCAAGTGAGCCTCCCAGGAGACGGCATTCCACAAGTGGGGAGCCATCTCAGAAGAAGCCCCTTCTCATATGGCCACCCTCTGGATCTTGCAGAAGGGGGCACATGAAGAAGCATAGGAGCCAATTCCTAGGATACCCCCCTAAAATATTTGAGTTGATGGGCATTCCCATTCCAATGGTGTGTGTGCACTGCGTCATGTGATCGATTATGCAGGGTGGAGCTTACCTGGGCCCCCACCATATTTTATTCAAGTTGGCACCCCTGTGAAGAAGGAGCTCAGATATCTGGGTCAGTTGACCTGGAAGCCCCCTCTGTCTTTTAGAACAGCTCATTACAAAAGTTAACCAGTCCTCATTTGGTCAACAGTTTTTAAACTGTGCCGTGGATCTTCCCTGGAGTTTCTTGAACGATGACCAGGGCTTCCTCTAGGGTAAGGTAAAGGTAAAGGGACCCTGACCATTAGGTCCAGTCACAGACGACTCTGGGGTTGTGGCACTCATCTCGCTTTACTGGCCGAGGGAGCTGACGTTTGCCCACAGACAGTTTTTCCGGGTCATGTGGCCAGCATGACTAAGCCACCTCTGGCGAACCAGAGCAGCGCACGGAAATGCCGTTTACCTTCCCGCCAGAGCGGTACCTATTTATATATAAATACAATATATATAGTGTATGTTATTTTCATGCCAGATGCATTTCTAAGCGCACTTCCCCCTAGTAGATGCATTTTGTACACGTTGCTTGGCTGGAGAACTGTGCTGCAAAATTTTGGAGAAGTCCCTATTTTGACAGATGGCCATGTTTCAGTTCAGGAAAATGTGAATTAGGTAGGTTCGTCTTTAAATGTGGACAGATTCGAATTTCTCCCCCTTGTCCAGCTGGAGTTTTACAGCATGTAAGTCATTCAAGCAGAGCATGGAAAACTGTTTCAGTGCAAAGGAGGCCAGTTTTCTCCTGGCTTGGTTGTTGTTTTGCTTCTCGGCTGAGCCACCAAGCGCCATTCCCGGCGTGGCTTCCCTTTCTGTCACTTCTCCATAACTCTTCACATTTCAGTTGGGCTCTTGGTTGCCTTCTGCTTCCTCTTTTTCCTGCATTCCTATATTTCATTATTTGCAGCTTCTTCCTCTTCAAGAGCTTTTTCAACAATGTGAGGAGGATGTGGAAACCCAGTTACATTATGAGCAGCAAATTGAGAAACTAACAACACAATCCTAACCATGCCTACTTGGAAGTAAGTTCTGTTGAATTCAGTGGGGCTTACTCTCAGGTAAGTGGGGTTAGAACTGCAACCTAAGACTACTTACACACTGTTGCTATTTTGCGAGTGGGATATACTGACAAATTTAGGTTGCACAAGTACAGTAGTGAATTTGGTGTTCTTGTGCAACAAACCCACAGAAGAGTTTCGTGCAGGAGGATTTTGTGCAAAGAAAACAGAGTACAAAAATCACATTGAAATAAATCCACAGCAGATACAGATATGTGGACCTGGAGTTTCCAGCTTCCTGGTGTTTCCAGACCTAAGAAAAGGACTCAAGAGATGAGATAGACTCTCCAAATCATCAGCTGGGGTTACCTGCTTAGATATTTTCAGCTTGAACACTTACATTTCACTCATTGCCCCCTGCACAATATTTAAGCCAACAGGAGCAAAGGAATATAGACACCTGAAGGCCCAAGAAGATGATTCCCTCCAAATCCCAAAACCCATTCTTCTTGCTGTAGGTCATTTCTACAGACCTGCAGGATTGATTGAAAACATATTGGTGCCTGACGTGCTTGGTCATGAGCAGATCCACTAGCCTAAGGGATTCTAGCCTGCTGCTTAAATCAGAGGGGTTTCCAGAGGGGATTTTTTCCCCCTGCAACCCTTTCTAAAAGTGCAGTATTTCAAAGAGCTCTCTGAGCCAGCAGGCTTGCAAGGAAGCTCTGTCACTCCTTGTGGTAAGCTTAGGGTGCTCATTTGTGCATAATAATTTTGCTACCCATTGTGGATGCAAAGTGGACACCTGCGGAAAACAGCAGAAGAAAGTTCTGGGAAGTGGAGAGGTGTGGATCAGCCTTTCTCCCAGCCCACAACTCCTTAGTGCAAGCCACCCACCCTGAGATCTGTGGGGGTTAGCATGGCCGGGATGAGGAAAGAAAGCAAATGCCCAGAACTGATGCATTTGTGGATTAAGCTAGAGAGGAACAGGAGCTGGAGGTTTCCTGTTAAGCCAGACGGGGAAGCTGCGATGTGCTGTTTCAGCTGAACTACCCCAGTTCCCTAGGGAACTCAGAGTTCTTCACCTTTCACCTCAGAGCAGCTTTTCTGGCTATTTCACTCTGCAGTCTGCGGCCTTCTGGAAATATGCAGATTTGCAGCACTAATTTACATTGGAGATAAATCAGGATCCAGCTCAACAAAATGGTCAGACATTAACTATCCATGGGAAAGCCCAAGTACTGAATCTTTCTGACATCATTGCAAAGATGGGTTTCCTCTGCCCTCAGCTTTCTTCTTGAATTTCCGCAATGCTTCAATCCAGAGGAGTCGCTGGTTCAACCACAGCCTTCCTTCCCCAAGCTGAGACCGGGTGATAAAACCAAAGGAGGAGCATTGTGGGAGGCGCCACAGTTTGGTCAGCTAGCGCCATTGCATTTGATGGATCCATCTATTCCTGTAGATAAGGATGTGCTTACTTGTGGTTTCTAGTGCTAACTGGGCTTACTTGTGGTTTCTAGTGCATTTATCATGAGAACCCTTAGAGCAGGGACAGGAAATATGTGGCCCACCTGAAGTTGGTCAGCTACAGTGCGTATCACCCTGATCACTGATACGCTTGCAGGAGCTAATAGGAATCTGATTCCAACAATATTTGGTGAGCCACGAGTTCCCCATCAATTGGAACCATGTGGAAAACTGTGGCTCAGGAGAACTGATGTAGAATTAAGGAATGACAAGGTCTCTGAGTATATACTTGGCCTGGAGATTTGTTTTCAGTACTGAAAACAGAATTTTTTGTCCTTTTATGCAGAAATCAACTCATATCCCCCCGTAATATTTTTTTTGGGGGGGAGATGTATTTTTGTTGTTATTGTTAAAGAACAGAGAAATCCTTGTTGCTCTACCGCATATCACCTAGAAATCTACTGATAAATCTCAGTCACATCTAAGCTACCAGATGCAAGCCTACTGACAGAACAAGGTTGGGATGGCTACAGTCATTGCATTGCAGAATCATAGAATTGTAGAGTTGGAAGGGACCCCAAGGGTCATCTATTCAAACCCTCTGGAATGTAAGTGTCAGAATTAAAGCATCCATGACACATGGTCATTTTCATGAATATAAGCCTTAGCAATTGTTTAAGCTTCTTGCCAGAATTGTGGGTTGTTGTTGTTTTAATGCACTTCACATTTTTCATTTGTGCAAATGTTATATCCATTTGTTTTGTGTGTTTCATCTAATGATGAGAGTTTATCAACTCTACAGACTTTAAGGAGTTCCCAAGAGAACTCTGGGTATACAGTATGGGGGTGAGGGACCTCTAAGAGAATTCTTAGCACCCTTGCCAAAGGGCAATTCTCTGGAACCTTTGGTAGATGGTGGGACAGTTAAACTGGTTCAAGTTCCATTGAATTGAATGGGAGCTACACAGGACCCGGACGCTGCTCTTGCCTAACTCCTGCCCATTTCAGTGAGGCTCTTCACTGAAAACTTCCTGATGAGTTGTGACTATGTTTGCTTGTCTGTATTTTTCCCCAGAGGAATTCAAAATGCTTCCTCTGAAGTTATCATTAACTTACTTCAGAGAGTTAAGCTGCTGCAGGATTGAAATTGTAGCTATAGATCTGTTCAAAATAGTTAAATACAGCCAAATAAATAAAAGGCCTGTTTGCCACATGTTTGCCATTCTAATTCTGAGTATATATGGAGAAAGGAAACACCAGCCTCTGGGTTGGGTGGAGCTCTCATTTCCCTGGTTGTTCAGCAGAAGATAACTTATCTGTGGTAGGCTTCTTTGCAGAAATCATTAATATCTACTTGGAGGAAACACTCCAGAGTCAGGGAAGGAATTAATGTACCAAACTGCTTGTCTAGATCTTTAATCGGTGAGAAAAATTCAGTATTTTCTGGAAAGATTAACCAGAATTTGCTGTTATCCCTCATAACAAACTCCTTGGCTATGCAGAGTCCCAAGCCCTAGGAGTCTTGTGGCATATCTGCTTCACAGACTTAAGCTGACTTAAGCTACAGTCCTGTATGCACTTACCTGGGAACAAACACCATTTAACTCAATGTGACTTTCTTCTGAATATACATGTGTAGTTTTACACTTCTGTTGATAGTCATTAATCCCCCATGTTTTTCTGGGAAGTGTACTGCAGTTCTTTTCAGGGAGCAGAGGCGAGGATGGGCTGAGCTAGGGCTCTCTAGAAGACCATTTTCAGCACTCATGCCAAACTGCAGCTCCCACAATTTGGGTGTGTGTGTGACAGTTAAGCTAGCATACAATTGATGTAAGTTCACAATGTAGATACACTCCCAGGCATTGGCAGTTGTAGCCAATGTAGTGCCCTTTTGATCTTTTGGACTACGGCTCCAAGTATCCCTGAGGATTGGCCATCCTGCCTGGGGCTGAGGAAGCTGGAATTCAACGGACATATGAAGAACACCATATTGGCCACCCCTTCTCTAGTGTTTCCAGCTTATATCTCCAGCCAACTCGCTGGTTCTACCTACTGAGTGATGGTTATTAAATGGGCTTGTGTACTGCATATGCATGCTGAAGACACAAATCCCTTTGCTTCAAAAACAGATCTGTATTGATACAGTTGCTGTCATTATAGTGCAGTATCAGAAAACAACACAGCAAATGCTATTAAAACCGGGTGGGGGTTGGGGGTTTTGTTTTGTTTTTTGCAACTGATCATTTCCAAGTGCAAGTCTTGGTCTGTGTCTAGACTGTCTCCCACCCTGAAATCTGAAATGGTTTTCCTGGTGCAACTGTATATTAGATGCCAGGGGTTTCTTAGATTCCAAGGGCTTACTTCTGTGCTGTAATTCCTTTCTGTATTTTATCTCTGTGGTCGTGGCACTTGTCTTTTTCTTGGAAGCAATGTCCTTTATGGTTCTTTGACATGTTGCTGATCGCCTTACAACCTAGCATCCTCTTTGCCTTCTTTATTGCAGCTGCATATAGGGCTGAAGTCTTTAGGGATTTTCACAGCATCATCCCCAAATCCTTTTCCCGTAAGTATACTGTGCATGTGTTCTCAGTGTATTACCAAGTTTCTCCATCTTGCACGTTATTTCTGTCACCCCTGTGTTTCCATTTGTCTGTGTTTTGCTGTACTTGAACAGCCTTGCATTTATTTCACTTCCTATTTTTCTTTTTGCAGCTTGCAAATCTTTTTTAGTGCTACAGATAGAATCATCTGTTTAGAGAGGGCACTTACGCGATGACTGGCTAGAAAGTGTTATATCCTTACTGGTATAAACTCTTGGAATCATGTTCACAAGGTGGCTAAAGTCCAACACTCCCCCCCCCCGAAATGATTCTGAGAATTGAGTGCTTAATTCTGCGGCTTAACTGTGATTGGATTGGGCCCTAAATATCCAAACAAATGATTTCATAGGTTAATCCATTTCTTTTTATTTTGCTGACAGATTTCTGCTGTTGTCATAATTGTCAACACTGATTTGGATTTTATAATAAATTATTTAAATGTCAACCGATCACCTCTGTTTGCTTGTTGACACTCTCGAAGAATTCAAAAACCCTTACAGAAGCCATGATTTAGCATGACCTGGTTGGCATTCAGTTGAGTTTTCCTCGGAATAGACCTACTGAAAACTCAGCTGAATACCATCCTCTGTTTTTAACAATGCTTTCCATGATTTCCCTTGGAATAGATGTTGAATCAAAAATTACATCACCAAGCTCTTCTTGGGCAGAAGAAATAATTGTATGCAGCCGACTGGCAACTTGTGCACAGTTAACTAGTGTGATTGCAGCTTTACACGCTTGGCAGCTGGCCAGCTGAAATCACACATGGAAGGCCAAGGGCACATAAAGAGCTTTTAAGCCCTCCGACTTCCTTAACGGGCTCTGGAAAGCTCTTTTTGGAACTCTGGGAGGTTCCCTCAAGATCTTGTGGGCGCCTCTTGGGGGGGGCAAGGCCTGCTTGGGGTCCTGGCTTCGGAAAAGTGGGGGTGGTCATGCGGCAAGGTTGTTCTGACTAGACACAATTTTGTCTTTACATGCAATCCCCCGGAACATAACCCCCACCCTAGTTGTGAGCCAATTGTAGTTAACTTTAAGACCACCGCCTACTCAGGTCTCTGTATGTGTACATACATACTCCAATGGAATTGTAGCCTGGTCTTCCTTATGAGTAAAGAGATGAATGGCTCTCTAATTGAATACAGGCAGCATTAATTACATTAGCATTAATTTCAACCTGAGGGTGCTAAAGGCAAATAATAATAATAATAATAATAATAATAATACCAACAATAATAATACACTATTAATGAAATAAAAAATATTAGATAACACTGGAAGAATCCTGATAGTTCTTGCAAATGTTTTCAGATTGGGCAGGACAATGCTGGTTCTTCAGGAGGACTTACTGCTGAGCAGACGTGGTTAGGATTGTGCTGTAACTCTGTACCTGCCACATACATTAACTAGACAGTAGTTATTCACTGTGCTGAATAGTGGGACTATATTTGCAAAAGCTTGAGTCTGCAGTCCTAATCCCACTTACATGGGAGTAAGCCCCACTGAATTCGATGGAAGTTACCTCTGAGTAGTAGTTCTGTGCAGGATCCCAGCCTCTGTCCCAGGCTTGCTTTTGAGACTAAGGCTGCAATGCTATACCCACTCATCTGCGAATAATAGGATTTACCTTTCTGTAGATAAGGTTAGGATTCAGGCAGATTGAGGCTTCCCCCACCCCATAGAGCCCCTGAGCGGTGAGCCAAACCTGCCTCTAGAGCCAGTGGGGAAGGAAAATATGACAGCATTATTTATGTAAAGTCCTGCCACTGAAAAACCCAGAAACCGAACTGCAGTTGATTATGCAAAATGCAAAGAAATGCAAAATGGTTGAAAGCCTTTTATTTAATGAATACACTTTGGACGGAAATGGACAAGGTGTTACATCCCTGCTAAACATGCAGGAATCCTCTTGACTCTGGTGTTACCTTTCTTGATCTGCGGTAACATGGCAGCTGATTTTGTGGTTTTAAACAACCCCCAAGCATTTGGGAGACTTTCTTGACTTTTCCTTCCAGCTTCCTTTTCCCCAATTCCATCCTTTTTGGGCAGTTTCCTATTTTGAAGTAAAATGTGACCATATTGGTTTTGGGGTTGTTGTTTTCTTTGCCAAATGTATATTTACATATATATTGGATTTGATAGCACTATGGTTCATGTTCGCAAGTGGGAACCATTTAAGATTCAGAACAGGGTTGCTGCCTTTTCTGGTTGGTTCCATGAACAACTGTTCTAGGGCACATTTAGGGTACCTAGAAATTTCACTCCTTTGCTTTGACCAGAACAGTCTCTTTGAAGGTAATCGAAGTCTCCTGTTACGGCAGAATTTCCTCTTTTGGATGCCTCCTTGATTTCATGCTGCACCCTCAAGGTCACCCTAAACATTTTGACCAGGCTCTTGGGACCTGCTATCTTTGAAAGGGTCTGCCCTGTTACAAATTTCTAGCTTGATGTCCTCTTGGATGTACAGGGGTACCTTGGTTTGCAACCGTTTTGGACTACAACCACGTCAAACTCTGAAGTGTGTATCCCTTTTTTTGGATTACAACCAATTTGTTTTTTGGAGGCCCCATTGGCGAAAGTGCGCCTTGGGTTACAACCTGTTTTAGTTTACAACCGGACCTCCGGAACAGATTATGGTTGTAAACCAAGGTATCACTGTACAAAGCAGCAACACCTCCAGTACACCCAGTACATGGAAAATGAGCATTTCAGGAAGCATAGTGAGGAAGCTGCCTTGGTCAGCAAAAGTTGAGAGGTGCCGAGTGCACAGAGCTGTTTGTGGCATGGGACCAGTAAACTGCTGGCTTTGTTGGCTTTGGTACGTGGAATAGGTTGGTGGTGGGGACACCATTCATAAGCATGCCTCAGTCCACTTCAACATTCATGCCCTTTCATCTGGTGTTTTCCATTCTGTAGCAACTGGTTTATTTTGTACAAGTATTTCTTCCATTTTGTCACCTGCTTATGTAGAAACATATATTGTACAGTGATAGACAGGCACATCTCCGTCATCAGCAACAGATATTTACAAATTGGTTACCTTCCTGGTAGGCATGCTGGCTTGCCCCCACGATTGATGGGCTCACACCACATGTTGCAACATGCTGACGTGTCATGTGCGTGCTTTGCAGTTTGCACGCATGACATGAGTATGTGGCATGGCATGCACATGTCGCCATGGGATATTGAGGGGCCCGGGGCCCTCCTTGAAAATTGGAGGGCCCAAGGCCCCCTGCCGCCCCCCAGCTGACACTGCTGCTTCCTTGTGTATTCCCTTTCAAAGTTACTCAATTTCCAGGGGAGTCCCCTGATAGTCATTTGCAGCCAAACAACAAAGCATCTTGTGGCACCTTAAAGGCAAAATTAATGATTTGGCTAATGACCCATCCCAAAGCCATCTATGGCTGCAATTCTAACCGTGTCTACTCAGAAGTAAGTCCCTGAGTACTAACTTCTGAATTTAGTTGGGCTTACCCCAGGTAAGTGAGGCTAGGATTGCAGCCTCACTGTCTTGATTTTGCAGTTTAGCATAAACTTCATCCTGTCCTGTTTCCCTCACTCAGGCCTTGGGAAGGGCAGTTTAGGGCCCTGCTGATATTCTGTTCTTCCTGTCCTGGATTGTCTCAATTTGTAGTCACACATTTTGTAGTCACACGATACCACTTACCTAAGTCCTTTTTGTTGTGCATCATTTTATTTGACCAGAGCAAATTTAATTCAGAAAATGGTCGTGTGTGTGAATCTGTTGAAGCATAATGCTGAAGCTATTATATGTTTTAAAACATGTCCATAGTATAGAAGGTTTAGTGTTTGGCAGCTTGAAATCTACAGATTTTAACTGAGATGCACAGATAAAGTCAACAGGTAACAAAAGAGACCACTTCTTTTCATACAAAAAGAAGAACAATGGAACAAAATAATAATAATAAAAGCATTGGGTGTTTTTTTAATTCGCATTAGGAAGTGATTAGGAAGGCTACAGTCATAATAATCCCACTAACCTTGTAGTGGGATCCACTTCCACATAGGCTTGGCTAGGACTGCAGACAACAACGTAGATGCGCACTGAATCAGCAAAGTACTTCAGGAAAAAGAAAACCAATGAAGCCCCTGGGAGAACAGCAGCAATTATGCATTGATGAATATGTGAACGATTGCTTTGTATTTTACATGTCTATTTACATATGATGTGTGTGTGTTTGTTTGTTTTTTTAAATTGTAAGTTGAGTCCGTGTCATGATGGGGCTAGAGGATAGAGGGAATGAAATCCACTTGGTAATCCACTTTCAACAGATTATTCCAGCATCCCTAGCATGAGCTGAACCATGTATATGGTTTCGTTCTTTCTTCAAAGTACAAATCCATTCCCTAAGCCAGGGCTGTACAATTTGTGGCCCATCAAGTTGGATTTAGCTCATCAGTCATGTGTGCTGGTCTCTGAGGGGCATTTTGCTGCCCACCTGGCAACTGGTCCTGATGTCCACACACCTTTCTAGAGAAGCAATACTGGCTATTCCTTAAGGGGTCCCTGTGGCCCTGCTAGTACTGATATTGGGACTTAAGGCATAATGATATGAAACTTTAAGGTATCCATGTAATCGTAATTGTCTAATACTTCACATGCGCTTGAAATAATTATTTGCACACATAGAAATGTAAGTGCCATAGAAGTGTTTCATGAATCCTGCTGAGAAATGCTTTCCTTTGTGTGTTTACTGTTTTTTGCCACAATGTTTTTTATTCCTTAAATTTATATATTTTTAAAAGCACTGAGTGGCATCCCTCTATTATTTCTTTCAGCCAGTAATATTAAAATAGAGGCACAGAGTGATGAAGAGAATGGGCGTGCCTGTGAAATGAATGGGGAAGAATGTGCGGAGGATTTACGAATGCTTGATGCCTCTGGAGAGAAAATGAATGGCTCACACAATGGCAGCAAAGCCATGTCAGGAGTTGGAGGCATTCGACTCCCTAACGGAAAGCTAAAGTGTGATGTCTGTGGGATAATTTGCATCGGTCCCAATGTTCTTATGGTTCACAAGAGGAGCCACACTGGTAAGGCCTAGAACAGTTCTTTTCCCCCCATTTAGCCACACCAGTAGGAAGAGATTTATTTATGTGAGTCTGGGGAACATATTCTTTCTTGCATGCTACATAGAACCTCTTGAGTATTTATGGTTTCATCAAACACAAATTCTAATCAATTTGAAGTCATTAAATCATAAGTCACAAATGTTCCCTTCCAGTAATAGAGAGAGAGATAAAAGAGACAGTTTCTACACATAAATTTCCTTGATGTATTGGGAACTGTGCATGTACGCATTCTCTCTCTCTCTCTCTCTCTCTCTCTCTCTCTCTCACGCACACACACTAGGATGCTCATCTGTATCACAATGTGCATTTCAACAACAACAAACATTTGTTGTGGTCTTCATTCACACTACATGGATGGAGGTGTGCCTTTCTATTGCTCTCTGGATGAAACAGGCCACCTTAAACATAATCAGGCTTTGTGTGCAATAATGCACACACTTGTATTTAAAAGTTTAAAGGAGCTTGAAACTGACATTTGAAGTCCTAACTTTTATATGTGGGGTGACAAATATAGTTATTCTGCTAACAACTATTGAAAGTGATCCTAATGATGTTTATAAAAATGTCTGTTTTATATGTTCTGTTTCCATCACACTTTTCAGGGATATCAGTTCCAAAATCACCCTAAAATTAACTGAAACAAAATACATTGTTTTGGACAAAAATTTCATACCTAATAAATGGATCAATGACCTCAGTGGTGTAGGACAGGGCACCAAATTTGCTATTGGTATTTTCATATCTTCCTTTAGAAAAAAGTGATTATCAATTTTTATTATTTTTGTGAGCCCTGTAACATGATCAGTGTATGATAAAGTTTACAATAGACTTGAGTTCCCTCCTGATTTTTATAAAGGGCTGACATTATTAAAAGGTTTTACTGTTAATTGTACTGTCCTAAATAATCTATGTACGTATCTCAATTTAGGCATATTGTGTAAAGTGATGTTCTGAACAATTAGGTCATGATCCAGTTACACCATGGGCACTGGGCCTGCACTGTGAATGGATCATGCCCAGATTAATTTGTTGCCATTTGGTAAAAAGAGAATTGATTCTCTTTTTATGCAGGCGAGTTCATACTGTTCTGTTATGGGTTGTAAAAATTCTTACTGGTTTTTATAAGAGCTTCATGGCGTAATTCGAAAAACAGAGTAAAAAAGAAGAGAAGAATCGTTCCTGAGGCACAGTCTAAAATACTATGGATTTTGAATTTGCTTGGATTGCGCTCCTTGTTCTTAAGAAATAATTTGTGTTAATATGTGGAGGGGGCTTGCTTTTCATAATTAAGCAGATAATGAAGGAGATAACTTTTCAAAATAAATATATATAAAAAGGAATATAGAGAAGATTTTGTAGATCGAGCATCAAGATAATTTTTTATCTAAAATTGGCAGGTTTTCCATCATAAAAATACTTATATCAGAAAGCAAACTCACAACAGAATGTGAAATATCAAAAACAATAGGATGCTTTGGAAATAAATATTACTTTTGACAAAATGCAGAAGGAACTAGCAGAACAGTTAAAGCAACTGAGTGATAAAATAGCTAAGCATAAGAACATAAGAATCAATTATTAAACAAATTAACTGTAAGTTGAAGAACTGGAGAATAAATCCTGAAGAGACAGAAATGTAATATTGACCTTGTTCACATGTAGTGTTAAGCTATGGTTTGTTTTAACCATGGTTTGTTGAACAAACCAGGAGTAGACCCACAGATGCCAAACAAATTGCACTTTGTTTTCCCCAAGCATGCCTTGTCCCCCCCCCCCGTCTTCTCTGCCCACTGGTTTATCTTGAACACCTTCATGGTGTGCTAGTGCTCTCTTTCCATTGGCCAGCTGCACAAACAGGGCAGGGAGATCTCCTTGGAGGTTTTCAGCCACATTTGGCAATAACTGTGCACAATTCTCTTCCCCCTTCACAGGAATAGCCAATGTTTCCTCAATACAATACAATCCTTTACCCTTTTCTTTCATCCTCATGGAGTGAAAGCATTTTTTTCTCTGCAGGACTCAAGGCAGCAAATCCACCTTTCCTTTGCTCCTTTTTAGCTAAAGTAGATTGCTGGCCAAATATGTGACTTTGTAGAGCAAAAAAGAACAGGAGGATAGGTTTCCAATAAACAGTCATAGAATCGTAGAGGTGGAAGGGACCCAATGGTTATCTAGGTCAACCCCCTGCAATGCAGGAATCTCAGCTAAAGCATCTCTACCACTAGTAGCCAAAGAGCAGGAAGCAACATAACAGTGTATTTTCCCCTCACAAACCTCCCTGCCCCATCCCACATGGCAAGTTGTTCCATGCCGTTCCCTAATAAGCCACCTCACCGATAGCTATTGAAGTAATTTCAATGCACAGTTAGTGGCTCATCCTCAGAATTCGCACTTCTCCTATGCTGCAAAGTCCAAGATCTGGGGATGAGGATGAGTTTGCGCTCTTGGACTAGGCTGTTTGGAGGGACGTCGGTGCAGCAGGAGAATTCAGCCTCAGAAGCTGAGGCAGAACCAGCCCTAAGCTCACACCATAAGGAGAAGTGCCAGACTTCAGGGAAAGAGGAGTCAAGGTCTTCTCATGAGTAGGGTCCTGCTTGAATTCCACAGCGGGTGGAATTCAACTGGATTCTGGGTGTGGTTCTAGCAACTCTAGCTCAGTGCTAGGCTGGAGGCCTGTCTGCCATCACTGTGTCCTGAGCCTGGCCTGGAATCAGACCGCCCCATGATTTGTCACTTGCTTGAGCCCATGCTTGATCCTCTGCTTGCCTGGCATCAGAGGCACCAAGCTGTGCTAAAGATGGGAGGGGGCAAGACGCACGCGTGGCGTTGGGAGCATCCAAGGGACGGAGCCAAATGCAGCAGCAGCAGCACGGGTTCAATGGCTCCTCCTCTCTTGCACTTGGCCTCCTCCTCCTCCTCCTGCCACCATCACCAGCCCAGGGCTGCTTTGCCCATCTTTCCCTTACACGACAGGAGGATAAAAGGTTGTCGGCTCCATGCTCCACCTCCTCCACCACATGAGAAGAGACCCCACAGTTGCTGTGCCTCTGCTTTGTTTGTTCTGAACACTGGAAGGGGAGCCTAGCCCCTCTATGTTGGTGCCTATGCCTGGCATTGGCCCTCAGACTGGCTTTGGATGGTTGTGGTGCTATCAAGACCTGGGACCCAGCTGGGGGAGGGCAAATACTTGAAGAGAGGACTCTCTTCATGGGCTTTGAAATTTTGAGGTCACTGCATCAGCCAAGTGGCTTTCAATGTCATTTGGAAAATGTGGAGATCTATGGACAAGACTCCAAGTTAAGGAAAGGAAAACATCTGAAGACATATATGATATTTATTAAGGATTTGTGGACTGACACTTCTCATACAAGCTGCTCATACAAAAAACTTAGTACCAGTGAGTGGTGAAAAGGCAAAAATGCTTGGACACATCTATCTGATTTGTTTTGGCTTTATTATTTCTAGAAACAGAAACGTAAACTGGGGAGAGGTTCTTCCAGCATTCTTGTGGCTCTGGGCGTGCCTTACCTTCCTGATCTCTACAGTTTCTCCTCTTGCACCTGGAACTCTGTGTGAGAAAAGACATTGCTAGTCCTATTTATAAGGTTTTCTGTTTATTATGCTAAGATACCCCACAGTTGCCGTGCCTCTAAAATTTGAAGAAGAAAGAGCAGAAAGGAAAAGCTAACATTTTCCAAATGACAGCAATTCACTTCATGTTGCTTGTAACTGATTTGGAGCCTTCTGAAATAAACAATTTTTATAGTCTGATGTCCAAAAAACGTGACTTTTGAATCACAGCTCTGACTTCACCCATTGGCTAAAAACACTTAATGGTGGGAGCAACCAGGCTGGGTCATCTCACAGAAATGTTTAGGTTGCTGGCATATTTTGCTTTATAACATTCATTTATAGAGGACTGGAGACTTAAAAATAAATAAATAAATAAATAAATAAATAAATAAAATGAAAGCACTGAATATGTTCAGGTTGCTGACATGGGCCCTAGTGCAATTGCTCCAATTACACCATTATAATATGACAACGGGGAGGTAACAGCAAGCAGACATAACTCCTCCCTCAGCTTTTGTGCAGCCCTGTTAAAACCAGAAGTAAAAAGGGGTGCTCTATTATTGACATGTAGTATGTGCCTGATGAACACGTGAGGCTTGCAAAACCCATTAATTTGAGTAAATCCTGTATATTGCATTCCCTTAAATAAATATTTGATAAATGAATACAACTCTTGCATGGCAAGTGCCAAATGTGATGAATGAGTGACCCTGGTTAAAAGGCATAATTACATTTAATAGACACACCTGCCAAGTGAAGATATGCAAAATAAGTACCTGATATTTTTCATTAAAAGTGAGGTCTTAAATGTAAGTGGACTGATCTTATACTCCCCCTGCTTTGCTATTTGTAGCACAGAATACAAACCATAGCACAATGCAGTCAGGGTCTTCCACCAGAGTTCCCATACATTGTAGGTATCCTATTGTTCGTTAAAGTGGTCGTCTCAGATCTGTTCTAGGCTAGCCACTGTGCAGTCAGGATTGTGCTGAATATTTATTTAACAAAATGCACTTGGTGGTAAGAAAACCTCTAAGCAATTGACGGTGAATCCTGCTCTGCTTAGCTGAATGGCAGGCCACATAAGCTCTTCGTAAATGACTTCCCACCACTTAACATGTCAAATAGTGGCCTGACCATTTCTAAGCTGCAGGGCATGTACTTGAAATTGCCCTCGCATTAAGATTTTACGATAATACGTATGTTTGTTATGTTTGTTTATTTATTGAAATGCTGAATAGGGTCACCAGGCTACTATCGGGATGTGTTGTGTTTCCCTTTGAAAACTGATGCTGTGATTGTTTCATTCTTGTTCACGCTTAGGGAACTATATGAATAAGTGCCATCAGGGGTGGGGAATCTACAATATATTGTTGTTGTTGTTGTTGTTAATATACCGACCTATACGCAGAGGTCTCAGGGTGGATGTTGGCCACTGGTGGGCCCAGTTTGACTTTCATCTGAATATTATGAGCTCTGCTCCCCTCTCTATTTTGCTCCTCCCTGTAAAATACTGAAATGGCTCCTGAGTGGAGCACACAATTGGGGTGACTATTCAGCCCAGTTGCCGGTGAAGCAGAAGCTGGGAGAACTGTAAGCAGACCTCCCTCTTCCCTTCTTCCTGAGGCTCCTCAGCCTGCTTCCTTGTATCCTCATTCTCATAAAGTTAGCTAGCCATTTGAACATATGTATGAGATTTACTTGCATTATTGTTTAATTAATTTTCTATGCAGCCCTTGCACCCAAAGGAGCCCAGGGCAACAAACAATTATGCAGCACAACAATACAAATGAAGAAATGAATGAATAAAACATTTACAAATATTAAGAGCAGCTAAAAAAATTATTTAGCTTCCCATTCTAATATGGTAGGAATAGGTGCCAGTCATATGGGCGGGGTACAACAGCAACAATAATAATTACTATTACTATTATTACAGAATTTTGTATCGCATCATTTTGCAGCTGTGATAATATACGAGATCATTTCACAATGACACATTGATAATTTTTTTGTATAAGCTGACATGAACAGCAGATAGTCCAATTCTAATTTTATCAGATTGATAATTCATATTACATCTCCTATCAGTTTCTAATAATGATAATAATAATAATAAATTTTTATTTATACCCCTAGTATAACATAGCAAATTTGCATGTTCTCTGCATATCAAAATAGCTTCAACATTCATCTGACATTTCCAATACTTGCTATCTAATGCACTATATAACTTATGAAAATGTTCAGGAGTAATGTATCAACTGGACATTACTGTAAAACAAGTCTCCCAAATTTAAGCACCTAATTAAAGGTTAGTACCAGAATCTTAGCTATGTTCTCATGGCAAATGTTATCAATGACACTGTATCTTTTCCCCAATTTAGAATATAGTTTTAAAATTGTTCTTTGTAATAAAGAATTTGCAATATTTTATACAATTTAGCCTGACACATGCATCTTTTCCAAAGCATTTCACTTTTGGTATACTCATTTTCCTGAAGTATTAATGAAACTAAATATTTCTAGTCCAAAGTGATGAGTATCCACTGGAAGTTCAAAATATGACCGGAAGTAATTGCGATGAAACAGATCTTTGTGTCTATGTTGTTACAGCAGCGTCAAAGTCATAAATTTATGCTAAAAGGTATTTAGGAAGGCTAATGCTCTGCATATAAGTATCCCACAACTTTGCTCTAGTTTGCTTCCGAATTTGAATGTTTCTAGTCCTTCAAAGAAAAAGGGTCGTTTAACGTTGTCTAGGAACATAAATATTGACGCTAAGCTTCTTAGACGCTAAGCTTCTTCTTAGCCTATGGATTTTTAGAGTTGGAGGGGACCCTGAGGATCATCTAGTGAGGACGAGGGTGCCAGTCCCTTTCTGTTTGTTTCAATTTGTGTTTATGGGAGTGTTGTGGTGGCATGGGATGGATGGGCACTCCTTGCTGAGAGGGAGGAGTTCTGCAGGGAGGGGTTGTGTGACCTCCAACCTATTCTCTGGTGAGAACGTAAGTTAGGGGCGAACAACCTAGGTGGGAGTGGGTTGCTCTCCTAAGATGCAGTTACGTGATGGGTAGGAGTGCTCTCTGACTGGGAGTCTGCCACTGGGGTGTGGGTGGGTGTGTTGGAGGTGTTTGTGCTGCTGTCCAAGGCTTGGAATGGAAACGGAATCCCAGCCAGATGGAATCCTTGTGGGTCCCCAGGGCCAGGAAATTAGCCAGTTGTCTGTTCTGGATGGGGATGCACTCCGTCTCCAAGAGCAGGTGTGTAGCGTCTGTGAGTGCCTTTTACCAGCTTTGCTAGCTCCCACCATTCCTGGGCAGGGATAGCTTGACAACAGCCGTCCTCACATTGGCAACATCAAGGCTTGATTACTGTAATGTGTTTTATATGGGGCTGCCTTTGTATTGTTCCAGAAGCTACACTTAGTGTAAAAATCTGCTGCACAGTTGATCTCTGCAGCAGCATATAAACTACATGATATTTATGTTGAATGCATTGCACTGGCTACCAATTCAAGGTTTTACTTCTGGTGTATAAAGTTCTATATGGCTGTCTACCAGCTTGTCTGAGAAGCTCTCTCTCCTGTGACACCCACACTGTCAACTTAGATCTGTAGATGGAGAACTTGATAGTGTCACATGACCCTGTCGCAAAACAACGCTGGGGACTCCAGCACATGCTTTTAGAGTTGTGGTACCAGGTCTCTGGAATTCTTAGAAACGAAGCTGGTGTCAAACTTCCTTATGTTTTAGATGTTTGTTAAAAACTATTCCCCAAACTATTCCAAAATTAGTCTGTTTTATTGCTAGTTTTTGTTTTAATGCTGTTTTATGATATGTATTATGTTTTACATTCTATTTCTGTACACTGCTTAGGTGCTGTCTGAGTGTAGTGTGGTTTTTAAATTCCTGAAATAAAGAAATAAGTGTTGTAAATGTAACTAGTGTTAAAATTAATTAAAACTTTAGTTGACTAATTAACCAATAAAAATGATTAATCACAGAGGTAAAAAATTAATTGGCCTGTACCGAGAGGTAAGGGTACACTTTTTTGTTTTTTTGGATTTTTTTTTGTTTTGGTGTGTTACTGTAATATGGAAAGAAAAAATGATAATAAAGATGGTCTTTCCTTCCCAAAATGCTTGGTAACTTTAGTTTATTGTCAGTGTTTCCTGGCTTACATTGGTATTTTAACAAATATTGAGTTCCTGGAAAAATGTACATTTATTGAAATCTAATTAAACTATTTAAAAGGCAAATGCTTAATCAATTTCAAAATATTTAGTTGACAAGCCGTGCTTGTGGAACTCAGTGAAGTGACCCAAAGAGCCTACCTTCCTCAAAAGGCAATCTTGCAATAAAACAATCGCATTTATAAATCTTAGTATCCCCAGTCAAACTGGATAATGTGTGCTAATTTGCCCCAGTTGCACCGGACTACTTTTCTAAAACAGAAGAAACACAAAGACACATTAGCAGAAAACCTGAGTTGTCAGGATCCGGCCTCCAAGGAGGGTCAGGACTTCTGAATGGAAGACACAGCTTCCTTTGCTATGTCTTAACTTCTCTTTTCTGCCCCCCCCCCCCCCAGTGCTTTTCTCTGTCTCTTTCCTGATTTGGCTGCTTAGGGACAGCCAGGTAATGGAGAAGAAATTGAAAGGGAAAATACAGGGAAAATGTAAATGAAAAGAAGTTATTATAACTGTTATAATGAAGTGCCTTTCATTTAAATATAAGAATGTAACGCTGAAATGAACTTGTGATCCTGAAATGCATTTTTAATGAGTTTCCTTTTTATTTTGCTGCTTCAGTGGCATATTTTAAAGACCCTTTGAAAAAAGCCACATTAAAAAACCCCACCAAATGCCACAACATGCAAAATTGGATATTGGTTTATTCCAAAACTGCTGATCAGGAAGAGTGGCTCTTCAACACAAAATGTTGCAGTCACTTTATTTAAATGAGTTTGAATTTGCATTGTGATGTGCCATTCTGATTTAGAAAAAAAAATTAGATTTTCAGATCAAATTGACCCAGCCAGTGAAGCGTTAAGGAACTGGCAGGTTTAGTCTGAAAGGCTCATGTTATATCAAACCTGCAGCCGGTGGAAGTCATAGAGCACCAGTTGGAAAACAACTTTCTCACTGAAATCTTCCTCCTGTAACAATGTAAGAGTTTTGTTCTCACATATTTTTCCCTCTCATTCTCCCTGTAGGCGAACGCCCCTTCCATTGTAATCAGTGCGGGGCATCCTTTACTCAGAAAGGAAACCTTCTCCGTCACATAAAGTTACACTCTGGTGAAAAGCCGTTCAAGTGCCACTTGTGTAACTATGCTTGTCGTCGGAGAGATGCTCTTACGGGCCACCTGAGGACCCATTCTGGTAGGTGTCCACGTTAGAAATTCTGGAAACAATGTGCTTGCTGCCTGCCCAGGCCAGAGGTCAAGGGGTGCATCTGCAACTGGTTCAGGATAAAATATCTTTCACTTCATGTTTTCTCTGCCCTTGCCTTGAAATCAAAGGCCTGCTGGCAGGCAGATATCAGATAGATAGATAGATAGATAGATAGATAGATAGATAGATAGATATCTGTGCTTGTCAGTTTGCCTCCCATGTGTGCTTGCACAGCTTGACCCATTAAGCCAAGTGCAGCCCACCACCATGTAAGCTGGACTACTTGAGGGTCCTTCCATTCTTGCCGCCTGCTTGGGACTTTAAGAACTGGGAAACTGCCGAGTCCTTGGCAGGCCATAATACACAGCTGTGGGCTGTGTTCTGTTTGGTGGATCACAAATTGCACAGGTCTGGCAATTTTAGGGCCAACAGTTCATGGGAATTATGCATAAGAATGAAGCAATCCAAGCACCGGTCAATGCACTCACAATGTAAGTAGCACAGGGCAAACAAAAATAAATAAATGCTGAGTTTCAAAGGCAGGTTTAGAAGAAGAAAAACTACCCTTCCTCATGTGTTGCATGAAGAACTTGAACTTGACTGAATGTAAGCACTAAAGTGAATTCTTCTACTGTTCCTGCTATGAACATGAGGCTGTCCAAATTCACCTTCCCAAAGAATGTGTTAGGCTCAAGACGAAAGTGGAGGAAAACTGGAATCTGTGTTTGGAAATAGCAACGGTGTCCTACAACTTTACTACCCTACTTCACCAACAGTGGGTTTGAGTACTGGCATTTACAATATTTCTGCGACAAAACTACACAAACCTCCCATCTTCAGTATATGGAAAGCAAAATGACTGCTTCCAAACAATTTAAAGAATCAGCTGGGTGCAGCAGGACATCAAAAATGCATTTACCAGTAGATTTGTACTGAACACATACTTTGAATCAGGATTTGAACAAGTTCTAATTTGTCAGATTTAGGTCCCTTCTTATTAGTGTTCCAACCTTACAGGAAACTTCTACAAGAGAAGGTGGTAATTAAAGCTTGCAATCCTATCTCACTTATCTGGGACTAAGCCCCATTGAATTCAATAGTACTTACTTCTGGGTAGAAATAGTTTCCTTGTGACATTATGCACCCAGAGTACAAAATTAGTTGCTTGTTTCTTGTTTCTGAGTGGGTCACTGATTCTAGATGTTTGGATCCGCTTGATGCAGTTATTTGACTCTGTTATTATCAGGATTATTTAATTTAGCTTCTATAGTAAATTCCGTTTTCCCCCTGCAGTTGGCAAGCCCCACAAATGTGGATACTGTGGTCGCAGCTACAAACAGCGCAGCTCTTTGGAAGAACATAAAGAGCGTTGCCACAACTATTTGCAAACCATGAGCCTCTCAGGCGGCCTCTACCCGGGTAAGAGTACTTAGCAGAAAGGCAAAACTAAGGCCTCGACTGTAATCCGTGCCACTGCCGGAGCATTGCAAGCAGCAAAGCCTCCCTTCATGAGCCGCCCAAGCAGTCTCTCCCGGGGCACAGGTACATTAAGGGTCACCAAGGGCAGCAGCGGCACAGAGACATGCGGCCGGGGGCTTTTCAGTGTTGCAGAGAATGCTGGGATACAATCTTTATTGTGTGGTGGGGAAGTACTCTTCAGTTCCCACGGGAGCAGGTGGAGAAGCCCCTTTGTCCTCCTCTCTGACCAGCCATTCAGGCAAGGGATTCCTGCTCGGCTTTTGCACTCCTCTGCCTTTTATCACCAGCCCCCCTGGATGCCCCTAGACCATCTTTGCCTTCCTTTCTCTTGCTGTGCCTTTTTGTTTGCATATCCCAGTGGGAATACAGGCATTCCCCTTCCATGAGCCCACCAGCAGGGATGTCAGCAGGAATTCCTGAGCCGCAGACACTGTACGACGTGGATTGGGGCCCCAGCAGTTGGTTGGCAAGAGCCAGGGCCTGCTTCACTTCTCTGGGGGCCCTTGGTCACAGGGTATCCACATCACAGGTCTCACATGTAGAGAAATACAGCTTTCATATACGTGATCCATGTGAACAGACAGAGCACTGTACTTCAGCATGGAAACCCCCATAAAAAGTTCAGTTGATACAAGGAACCATCTTGGGTATGTAGTGCAGAATAAACACACCACACTTATGAAGATGCAGTGCTATTAACAAGGAGTTTGGGATGAAAGGTTGCCAAGGGGTCTTTCTGAGGATGGAGTGGTATTGTAAGGCAGTGCAACCGACCTGCCCCACAGACCTGCTTGTAAGGAAAAAATGAGCAGGGGGAGAACCTGGACCTCTTTGCAGGAAATCATAGAATCACAGGATTGAAGAGCTGGAAGGGATCCTAAGGGTCAACTACTAGTCTCCCTGCAATGCAGGAATTGCAAGTAAAGCATCCATCCAGCATCTGTGTGACAGCCCTTGAGATATCTCCTCTCAGTCTCCTCTTTTCCAGGCTGAACATTCCCAACTCCCTCAACCTTTCCTCATCCGGCTTGGTTTCCAGCCCCTGGATCATCTTTGTCGCCCTCCTCTGCACACCTTCCAGCTTGTCTCCTGTGCAGAACTCAGGGGAAACCAGCCCCATAATCTGCCTGCTTGCTAGGGGTATATTTCCTGTCTCTGCTAAATTATGGATTTCAGGGATAGGCATATAGATGTGTTAGATGCTCAAGATTCATTGTGAGTTTTCCACAGAGTTTTGAGGAGGAATAGTTTAGGTTTCAGCCTTACATAATGACATTGTTCTGTTCCTACTCTTCCCCCCTCTCCCTGCTCTATTTACAGTCCTGCTACTGTTACTGGATGCCATTGGATGTTTGGGGAAACAAAACAAAATATCATCGCCTGCTAAAAAACAACAACCCTGTTTAGACAAGCCTCACCTTTCTCAGCATCTGGGCAGGCTTGCCTAAACAGGGTTGTTTTTAGCAGGCGTCAAAAAGAGTGCAGTAAAAGACCTGCTTGATCTCAATAGGCAGGGAGTTCCCAAGTGCAGGTGCTGCCACTCTGAATGATCAAATTCTTACCAAGGCAGAATGGGCATTACGTGGCACCTTTAGCTGATCAAACTGCGCAAGAGGGCACACGCAGAGTAAGGCCATCTCACAGGTAAAACGCTCCCAAGGTGTTAAGGGCTTTATATACTTAATACACTAATAGCATACAATGGCTTTATATACTAATAGTAACATCTTGACCTTGCCCTGTAGCAAATGGGCAACCAGGGCCGCTCTCTGAGCACAGGTGTTCTATGCTGACAAGGCCTTAGCCCTGTCAGCAATGGTGCTGCAGCCTTGGGAAGGATGTCCCTGCAAGGAGGGGAGATCCACAGCAGGACATGCGCTGCAAGGAGGGAGAGGAGTACAATTCTCGCCTTCACTCTCCATTCCCATGCTTCTTGCAAAGCTTGTAAAAATCATTTTCTTTCAAAAAAAAAGTACTATGTTTAGACTTATTTATTAATATAAAATAAGCAACATTGGCAATAATTGTTATAGAAAGGTTCACATTCTAAACATTCAAGTTAACGCAAAATGTTTGTGCATTATGAAACCTCAGCTCTGAGGGAGAGGCTGGATTGCAGTGATCTCTGTGCTCCTCCATGGGGAAAGGGTCTACATTGTTCCCCCTTCTGTATAAGAAATGAAAAACATGATATTAATATATGATGAATAGATTGTGAGAGATGAGATTAAAGAAAGCTTCTGTGCTCTGTAATATATGAGACTGTGACTCAGAAGCTCAGAGAACCCTTAGTCCCTTTAAAATGTATTTGCTTACGTATTTATAAAGCTAACAGTACTACAAGCACGACAACCTTAAATGCTCCCATACACATAGGAAGTCTTGTAATGGAGAGACAGGGAGACATGATAAGAAACAGAGCAATTAATGTTAATGGCTACCATCACTGCCTCAACAAAACAGAATTCAGTGGAATACACATTTGAGAAGGATAACTCCAAAACAAAATAATTGTCAGAAACCAGAGTCAGGTGTAGGTCAGCAATAAAAAACACTGGGGTCCGTGAAGTTAATTATTCAAAGAAACTAAAACAGAGCATGCCTAGTGGTCACAGCAACCCTTCCCAGTAGGTCTTGTTTCAATGACGGCCCTTCCTAACACTCCTCCCTCACAGCAGGAGGGGGAGACACCCTGGATTCTTCAGCAGCCTGCCTCCTCTTGGCCTCTTAACCCCCTTCTGCTTCTGCCTATTGGTCTGAACTGCTCTCTGCCCCAGGTTCTGCCCACTCACTAAGCCCTGTTTCCTCTTCAGCTTCCGACACCTCCTCCTCCCAATCTGCTCCCTCTTCTCCCTCAGACCTCTCATTGTCGTCCCACCACCAACCCCCGGAGCCTTCTTCCCCAGGGGGTTGCCTTAGGGGTTCCCTGGATGGGGCCTCCCAACACTCCTCTGCATCCAACCAGCCTGTGACAGTATCCAAAACATCATTAAATATTTCCTGGGTTCGAAAATACTGTCATTAAGAGTGTGTGTGTGTGTGTGTGTGTGTGTGTGTAAAATTGAAGATCACTAGTGCTCACCACATAGGCAGCCAGCTGCAGAGCTCACATTTGACTATTGCAAAGTTCTCCGCCATCCCTTGTCATATCACAACCACCAACTGCAGGTGGTGAAAAACGACAGCCTTGCTTGACTAATCTCTGGGTTCACAGAGTAGCTTAAAATAAAGTATCTTTCTTACTAATAAACTTTTGCTGCTTTGAAGAGGATGAGCCTTAAATTTCAGGAAGCTTTTATAAGAGTGCCATACAAGCTAAAGTCAAACACGAGGCCTCACTCCAAGTCAGCTTGTAAAACCCACTGAAAGCTAGTTTCAGTTTTAAAAGAAAACATCTCAGGAAGTTAATCTTCACTGGAATCGATCCTGACAAAAATCTCCACTCCCAGGGGACTAAACAAACTCAAATCCATCCCTCTTTAACATTCTTACTCTTTAGAATTGGTTGAGCTCAGGAGTTCAGCCCCACTTCGTTACAGAGCCATAGAATTGGAAGGTAGTCCAAAGGAATCACAGCTAAAGAATCCCTGACAGATGGCCACCCAACCTCAGCTTAAAAGCCTCCAGCGAAGGAGAGCCTGCCACCTCCTGAGGAATCTGTCCCAACAGCTCTCACTGCCAGAAAGCTCTTCCTGATGTTTAGTCAGAATCTCCTTCCTTGTCATTTGAAGCCATTGACTCAGGTTGTCCCCTCTGGAGCAGCAGAAGACTAGCATGCACCATCTTGCATGTGACAGCCCTTTGGATATTTGAGGGTGGTCATAATATCACCTCAGTCTTTGCTTCTCCAGACTAAACATACCCAACTCTTCAGCAACAGGGTGAGCAAGTCAGGGCACCCCCCCCCTTTGTGACCTAACAGATCCCAGCTTCCAAAGTTAACTAACTAAAGAACCAACAAAAACAGACATGAAAGTAGTAATTCAGCAGGGGCGTGGGGCCATCCAGTCTATTTCACAGAACGGCACATGTGTGATTGCCTGCTCTGCTGGAATCATGGGTTGCTGGGTAGAAGGAGCTCCCAGCCCTCAGGGAATTATTTCAACCCCATTAGTCCATGGTAGCTGGCCAGGAAAAGCTGAGAGACAGAGGAAGCCTTCACAGGTGTGGCAGCTGGATCCCATTCTGAGGGTGAGAGTTGGAAGGGACCCCAAGGCTCATCTAGTGCAGCCCATGCAATGCAGGAGTCTCAGCTAAAGCATCCATGACAGTTGCTTTATAATAATAATAATAATAATAATAATGACAGTTGCTTTAAAAGAGCAGTTATCCTCTCACACTGGGGATGCTCCATGGAATGAGGGGCTCCTGGTAGGAGGGGATTCATAGGGGTGGGCAACCTGTGCATTTTGGTTTCTCATTTTTCCTATCTTCAGTTCAGCTCTCCATAGTTCCACATCAGTTTGCAATTATTATTTCTTGAAATTTCTCACAACAGAAAATTTTTTAATGTAGTTTTCCCTAGTATTTCCCCAATACATTTTTTTAAAAAATGTTTTCACCAATATATGTATTTTATGCATAACTTACGGTACCTAGCATTTTTGTGCACCTTGGCTGGAAAACAACACTGTAAAATTATTAGAAGTGCAAATTCTGTAGGATGGCTCTGTTTTGGTTTGTGTATTGATTTGAAAAATGCAGATCAGGTAGCTTTGTCTTTCATGAGAGCTGAATTGAATTTCCGACCCAAACCTAGTTGTTCCATCATTAGGGGTTTGTGGAGATTTCCTGCCTAGTGCAAAGGTTTCAGGTGTCATGTGGAGAGCCTGATAAGACTGTGCTAGGGAGTAGTTATGCTGCCTCTTGACGTCAGTGTGATGGGAAGGAAATGTATTCATCCAGTCCTGAAAGCAAAATGTGGTTTGTTAGGTAAGCGTTTGGCATCCAGGACCTTCAGGGTAGCCTTCTCTGAAATATAACTTTTTCCATGCACAGAACACAGCTCTGTGATCTCAATACACGGATCAGATGGTAGTGTCAGAAGGAGGGCTTTGGGTTTGTTAGGCACTGGGGAACATCTGGGGACAAGCCAGGCCTGTATAAGAATTATGGGCTCCACTTGAAGGGGGGGTTGCAAAGAAGGTGGTCAAGGAATTGTCTGCATCTGTCTTCACCGCAGAAGATGCAGGGCAGACCCCTGTGCCTGAATTAACTTCCTTGTGAAGAGGTCCCAAGGAAGAGACAAATAGTGGAGGAAAACGAAGTTCTCTGCCTTGTTGACAAGTTTAAACCTAGCAAATCAGAGACTGAATGACACCCATGCAAGAGTTCTGAAAGGACTCAGATGTCAAATTGCTCATCTAACAAAAGTACCACGTCACTTGTCCCTAAGATCAGCCTATCTGAGGAGTGGGAAATGGCCAGCGTAGCACCAGTTTGAAAAAGAGGATCTGGGAAACTACAGGTCAGCTAGTTTAGCATCTGCTCTGGGAAGACTAGTTGTTTCTTTAGCATTGATAAAGATACAACTGCCAAACATATAGAAGAGCAGACCTTGCTGAAACAGAACCAGCATGGCTTCTGCAAGGGTAAATTATTGCCTTTTGGGGGGTTTGGGGAGTGAGAGTCCACAAGAATATAGATAGAGATGATTCAGTTTGCATTGTGTGCTCTAGACAGAGCTTTCCAAAGTTCTCATGTTGGTGACACACTTTTTAGACATGCATCATTTCACGACACAGTAATTCAATTTTACTAGCGAACCAGAGGTTAAACTAACCCCTTATAAGAGTGTTCGCATGGCACACCTGCACACTGTTTTTCTAACATGTCACAACACACATTTTGGAAAGCTCTGACTTAAGAGTTAGTGGCAATTGTTAGAAAGGTTAATTCCATGTTAGGAATCATTGGAAACAGACTGGAAATAAAACTGCCCATATCATAATGCCATTATACAAAGCTATGGTGAAAAACTGTTACTGGTTTTGGAATTTAAAAATGGTTTCGCAGTGCTAAAACAATTCATTCAGACTATGCCATCTGATTTGAGAATCTAGCCTTGGATATCCCAGACTGCTTCTTTTTGGGCACCTTCTCCCCCATGCCTCAGCAAAGCTGGAACTTTCCATGCCTGTGTGTTTAGGATATCTTGTTTCTTTTAATTTTTGCAGTCATGAAAGAGGAAACCAGCCATAGAGAAATGGCTGAAGACCTGTGCAAGATGGGATCAGAGCGATCCCTTATGTTGGACAGACTAGCAAGTAACGTCGCCAAACGTAAGAGTTCTATGCCTCAGAAATTTGTTGGTAAGAGTTAAATGTTTGCTGCCTCCTTTACATGGTTGGATTTTTCAATTTTGTTTTTCTTTATTGCAACAGGAAGAGCAAAGTAATTAATTAAGAGATTCAGTTCCAAGCTACTCCTAGCTCCAGTCAGTAATTTGTGAAAATTTTGGATCAGTCATTTAAGCAGCACTTTCAATCTCGGAAACATTTGCAGTGTTTTGTTTGTCGCAACATGATAAAGCACATATAAGATTTCAGATATATATCTGAAAAGACAGAAACAATTCCTCCTACCACATCTTTATTTTTTTTTAAGCCCATTTTTGTCTTTTGAAAGTTTCCAGTGGCTTACCTGGGGCTTCCAGTGGTTTCTTGTCCAGGAAGTGATCAGGGCTACTACACCTGTTTAGTTTCAACAACCGCACAGAATCATGTGCTCTAAGATCATTCACTAGACTGCCGAGTGCCCTAGATTTTACCCATTTCTGCTTCTCCTTCTCTAGGGCAGTTTACTGGTCTATTGCTTCTCCTACATTATCACATTCTCTGGTGTGTGTGTGTGTGTGTGTGTACACAAACTGAGAGAGAGACATACATATTAAGTTCACTAACGCAATTGTGTTTACTTTCAAAACATCTATTGGGAACAGAATTGCCAGGTCCTCTATGGAGAAGGTGGGTTATTGCACGTGGTGCACAAGAGAGGTGGGATAAATCATCTTCTCCTGCCTAGTTTTCACTAAAATTATTATATCCCACTTTCCATCAGTGCATTCAGAGTAACTTAACAAAGCATGAAACACAATACAACAATACATAAAATTCCATCAATACAAATTGAAGCATTCAAAATAAATCCAGATGCACAGCACAAATCATAAAACCACACAAAAATCAGAGTTGTAGAGCATGATTTCTTACTCCAAGCATTTTCACATAAGGGAGAAAACCTTCCTTTGGAGGAGAATGAAGTGGCCAGATAAACCTCCCTATTTTACTTTTATTTCTTTACCAAATTTGTAGACTCCCCTTCATCACATCATAACGATCCCACAGCTGTAAGATATAAAGATATAAAGCAAGAATTAAGAAACCAATCAATAAAATACAGCATCATAAGAAAATATAAAGCTTAGTAAGCAGCTATCACCAATTTACTCCAAATGCCCATGAGCGTTCCAGGCGTGGGGCATCACTGCTAAAACAGCTCTAGCCTTTGCTGCTCCCCAGTGGGCTTCTGCAGTTGTGCTTCTCCTGCAGTGCCTCCTGGGTGATCTTAACGCATGGCTGATTGAATAATGTCCTAATAGACTTTCCTAATGAGGACGCGGGTGGCGCTGTGGGTTAAACCACAGAGCCTAGGACTTGCTGATCAGAAGGTCGGCAGTTCAAATCCCCGCAATGATGGAGTGAGTTCCCATTGCTCGGTCCCTGCTCCTGCCAACCTAGCAGTTCGAAAGCAAGCCAAAAAGTGCAAGAAGATAAATAGGTACCGCTCTGGCGGGAAGGTAAACGGTGTTTCTGTGCGCTGCTCTGGTTCGCCAGAAGCGGCTTAGTCATGCTGGCCACATGACCCGGAGGCTGCATGCCAGCTCCCTCGGCCAATAAAGCAAGATGAGCGCACAACCCCAGAGTAGGTCACGACTGGACCTAACAGTCAGGGGTCCCTTTACCTTTTAATGGCAGATGCAGAAATGTCCCTGACATATTTTTTCCTTGCTTTCCCCCAGAATTGATTGGCAGGGAAGAGGGAGGCTCCATAGTCAAAGTACACGTCTATCCCATGAACGAACTAAGGAGATTTGACGAGAACATTTTTTGTGAAGGTGGTGTCCCGCTTTGGGATGAGGGCAGACTCTCACTTCCTTACCCTCGTGATAAGAAGAGCTGCCAGATTAGAAGAACAGCATTTCCTGTCAGTTATTCAGAGTGTGGTGAAAGAAGATACCATAATGACAGTACAAATTTAGAGAGGCACAGGCTCAGCTTCAGAAAGTAGGGCTCATGTCAGCATAGCACCAAGGGAGCCCAAATTCCGCCCCCCCGCCCAGCCTCAGCTTTGCTTTCTTCACAAAGTGGAATCTAACTTGCCCTTTGGATGATTTTATTTCTTTGTTCTCTTTTGCATGATCTTTATGTGTCATCGCAGTTCAGTGTAATCGGTGCTTAATTTTTAGAAAAGGGGATGCATAGATTCAAGTCTGAAATCTCACCCCCTAAATTTAACCCTTTCCTCCATGCCATTGTCCCAGGATAAATGATCTCTCCCTCTTCTCCCCCCCCCCCCCCGCTGTGCCATTTGTGCCATAGAGGTAAATATGCAGACACATCCAGACACATGCCTGCTCCTTCTAAGGAAAAGCAGTTTGGGGAGAGGGTGGCTTTCAGCAGTGGAAGCGGAAGGGCATTTAGACTTTCCCCTTGCCATCACCTCTCTTCTCCCTCCAGCTGGCTTTCCTTACCAGATGTTTTTGCCTCCACAAATGTGCATCTGGAACCTCTCTGAGAGGAAGTGGGGAGTTGCAGCAGAAAAGTGGTGGAGGAGAGAACGTTCCCTGCATGCGTCTTGCACAATGAAAACCGCCCTTTCCCAAAGGAGTCTGCATGCAACTTGTAGCTTGGCCCTCATATGGAGTCCCTGCTACCTGGCCTGATCCCCTGGCCCTGCTGAGCACGCGTTGTGTGGGCAAGGGAGATCTCAGGCTGAGTGCAGGACAGTTACAGGGGTCTTCTTTTCTTTTCTGCTTCAGTCCCGCCCAGTCATGGCCTTCATTCTGTGCCAGCAAAGACTGGGCAGCCTGCTAATTTCTATGGGGAGGAGAAATGGTGAAACATTTCTCATCCCACCTGCACTTCTCTGTGTGCAGGATCACCAGTGGGCTGTGTTTACAAAGGGGCAGCTGCTGCCGGGGGGGGGGGGGTCTTGCCAAGCCCAGCTGATGACCCACAAAGTTCACCCTTCCTGATAGGAAACACTAACAAGTAAAAGGAATTCCAAAAACAGAAGGAAGATTTGACATAGAATTACCAAGATCCTTTTGAAATGTGTATCTGTGCTGATCAGGAATGTAAAGAGGCAGCAATTTCCATCCCTTCCTGGGTTCATCATGGGTCCCTCACAATCAGGGCTGTTTCTATTCTGCTACGGTTCAACTTCCACTAAAGCTTACATTATTTGTCTCACTATCTGCAATGGCTGAAACATAAGTAATTAATGACGTAATAAATTTAGTGTAATGGAAACATCAAAAACAATGCAGAAAGTAATGTAATGTAAATGCAGAAATAAAGAAATGTGTAGCCTTAAACAACAATAGTGACTTATCACTCATATTCGATTGCATGATTTCTGTTCATGGCCTCCGACAAACAGGCAGATTGCGGGAATTTCCAGTCGTGTTTCCATTTTTGATGGAAGTCTCCAGCATCCTTAGTAGGGATTACATAAGCAAAATGAATTGCAAGCCTGAAATGAAATAGTATCATTCTTTTTTTTTAAGAAAAAAGATTCAATTTTTTAAATCTAGATTTTGAGATCAGTCACTGGAGTCCATCTCATGTATCAGTTTCTGCAATTAATTTCAAATGCCAGTCTAAAGAACTGGATATAGCCCAAAAAGTTGTTATTGAATATCTGATGTAGGGGATTCTGAATCTGGAATTAAAAAAAAATTGCTACTTAAATGATAAAAATGGCGACTTAGTTCATTTAAGACACCAGTTTCATGCCATTAGATCTAGGAATAATCAGTATAGCATTTATCTTTAAATATCTAGACTACTTTTTTGACCAACAGTGATCTTCCAACAATGGCTTCCAATCATGAAACAGGATAAATACAGTTAAAAGCATATGGCAATTACATTGTTGAAGTGCATACCACATACCAATTTCCATTACAAAATATTTACATCTCTACATATTTTCTCATAATAGCAAAAAGATAGCAGCAGGGCCTGAAAGCTGTGATATCTCTCTGTGTTGATTTGTCTTGTGTTCTGCAATGCCACGCTCAGGTCTGATTAATGGAGATGTTTCAAAGGCATTTCAATCCCAAGCCTAATTTATGACTATTTTGGATTGCAGGTGAAAAATGTGCATCTGATGTTCCTTATGATGCAACCACCAATTTTGAGAAGGAGAATGATATGATGCAGACCCATGTCATAGACCAGGCCATTAACAATGCCATCAGCTACCTGGGGGCAGAGTCCTTGCGCCCGCTGGTGCAGACCCCCCCAGGAGGCTCCGAAGTAGTGCCTGTCATCAGCCCCATGTATCAGCTTCATAAGTCCCTTGGGGAGACCAACCTGGCCCGATCCAATCACGCCGCTCAGGACAGCGCGGTGGAAAACTTGCTACTACTTTCTAAAGCCAAATCCATTTCTTCAGAAAGGGACCCTTCACCCATCAACAGTCAAGACTCCACTGATACGGAAAGCAATAACGAAGAACGCAGCGGCTTAATTTACCTAACAAATCACATAGCACCCCATGCACGGAACGGTCTCTCGATAAAGGAAGAACACCGGCCATATGACCTCCTAAGGGCAAACAGTGACAGCTCCCAAGATGCCTTCAAAGTAATAAATGGCAATGGAGAGCAAGTGAAAGTTTACAGATGTGAACATTGTCGGGTCCTGTTCTTGGATCATGTAATGTACACCATCCATATGGGCTGCCATGGCTTCCGCAATCCGTTTGAGTGTAACATGTGTGGCTACCACAGCCAGGACAGGTACGAGTTCTCCTCCCACATCACCCGAGGAGAACACCGCTACCACATGAGTTAAAACTACTTGTATAGAAATTGTCTGGAGCTCTGTGAAAAGCAGAAGGTCAGGTCCCTGGAAATGAACTCTTCTCATAGCATGCATGCACAATTCAGTTTTCTACTCTTAATATTGATGTTTTTATTGCAAATATAAGTCACCCAAATATAGTAAAGTAGGAGTTTTTGTAGTTAGGTAGAAGAAACCCATTCTTGCTAGCAACCCCTCCCCCGCTCTTTTCTTTCATCCAAGGCCTTTATTTGGGTATGAGTGTGCACAGTTTTGGTTGGAAACTAGAAAAACAAAATTAATGTTATCTTTTTCTGTGGTGACACTCTGAAAATACACTTCTTACACCATACATAAATTACGATTTCCTATAATGATTTGGTACATTCACTAACCAACAGCAATAATCCACATTTAGAGTAGGTTTAAAAAGCTCTTAAGTTTTTTGGGTGGTCCCAGCCGTATTGAATCACCTCTCGAGCAGAATTCGTTTGAGCCATGATCTCCAAAAGCTGAACAGCACAGGTGTCATCGTTGTAGATTATTCAGAATGTGCTTAGTTTTGGAACGGAGCAAGTCCAGAAGAATCAAGGCAGCATTGCCTCGAACAACATGGGTGGAGAGCATGGCTGCTGCTGTGCTTGTTAGGAGTGCTATTTTGTGGGTTATTCTAAACAGTCTCAGAAAAATCTGAGTTGCAGCCTTTGCATCATTTAACTTATGGGAAAAGGTCATTTGTGTAGGCTCACAGGGTTGTATGTAGGACCCTGTCCTCTATCACAAACTACTTGCTGAGATTATAAAACGATTTCTAATGCTGTGAATGTGAGTGAGGGGGAGCAGTTTCCCTATTTTTAAGGTGTGGGGGGGGAATCACCACACCTGTGCAATCTACTGTGGATATAGAAAGGGATCATTGGGCTAGGGCCATTTTGCAGGAGTCAGTCTTTGAACTGCAACTTCCACATGACAAATACTGCTGTTGTCAGGTTTAGGCTTAGAAATGATGGAGTAAATGAGGTGGTAAGTTAAAAGACAAAAGTTGTATATGTAAAAACAACTGTGCAAGGCTGTTTCAAACACATTAAATGTCTTTGTGTAACACACACTTTCCAACAGAGGTTGCACAGGTTCTGTTGGTGAATTTAGCACATAATTAATTAACTTCTTGTCTGCCTTGGCAAGACACTTTTAAATCATAAGCTGAATCTTCTTTTTAATGAAGCTTCTATTAAAAATGAAAGTGCATGGGGTTTTTTTTGGTCTTATTAATTATGGCGGGGGTAGTGTTTTAAATCCCACAGTTAAACTACATCTGCAGAACCCACACTTTGCCTACTTTACACTGGAAAGTGTCTTTTTTCATTGCCTGTGTCTTTCAGCGCTGCCCCACGTTTGCACACATGACGCAGCAACAAACCCAGATTTGCTGGTCAAGAGGGAGCTGTTTTACACACACATGGTATTTTAACATGCAACCTTTCTTTAAGAATGCACTGAAAAAAGGTGATGTGTGAAGAAACCTCAGAGGGGATGCTGCACAACGGCACAAGGCCATCACTGATCCACCCCATTCCTTCATTCCCAGCTGGGACTAGAAACCTATTTTAGAGCAGCGCTCGATGTCACCTTTATAACTGAGGAGAATAAGACCTTTATAGTTACAATTTCTGGCCTGTCAAAATGGTTCGGTCTGTTGCAAAAAATTATCAGTCTTATTCAGCCATTTTGTTATCAGCACAGGCAGTTTTGTGCGCTGTACACACTGCTCTCCCCTATCTGCAAGGATTACTCCATTCATTTCAATGGAGGAAACAGATCCATGTCCAAATTCCTTTGGCTGTGCAGCTGAGTCCCTGCCACTGAACTCAATGGGCACAAGTTTGGTGCAGTGCAGTGCTGCTCTATATATGAGAATTTGTGCTGCTCCATGCCGTTTTTAACATTCATGCATACCAAGAAAGTTCTGTGTTCATATGTATCATAGCTGTACTTAAACAGATATTAATTAATACATTATCAGTGCCGGCGTGTTTCTGGTTCTAGGTTTTTCTATTTATGTTGCAACCAGTGCTTTCTTTTCAGGGGGTGCTTGAGTACGCAGTACCGACATCTCTTTTGTTTGGGGGGGGTGTTGTTAAAAAGTGTGGCACTTACTGTAAGAACTTGATGGGTGAGTACAGTAGTACCTTGGGTTACATACGCTTCAGGTTACATACGCTTCAGGTTACAGACTCCGCTAACCCAGAAATAGTACCTTGGGTTAAGAACTTTGCTTCAGGATGAGAACAGAAATCACGTGATGGCGGCCGGCAGCAGTGGGAGGCCCCATTAGCTAAAGTGGTGCTTCAGGTTAAGAGCAGTTTCAGGTTAAGAACAGACCTCCGGAACGAATTAAGTACTTAACCCGAGGTACCACTGTACTGGCACCTATTTTTCTAGGAAAAAAACACTGATTGCAACTAAGTACATAGGTACTGAAAGCAAATACAGTTTAGTGAGTTAGCATATTAGTAAGCTACCCTTTATCAGAATTTGTGACCTGCTGTCTGAACTGTCACTTCTGCCTCCTCCAGCCTTACCCCTCCACACACACCAAACCCATAATGGTCGTTGTTTTGTTTGAAAATGAAAATGTCCTGGTAATTTCTTTTTTAAAAATGTATGGTTTTGAAAAACTGGACTCTGAGAACTTATTTTATTCTGGATTACTTATACTCTCAGAAAAGTGGGTGGCTTAGTTCACATTGATGTTTGTTATAATAGATTGCCTCACATCTGTAAATAACAGCAGATCAAAAAATGCTTTTCAAAAATCGCACAATGTCCCTACTTTGGCGTTGCCTGTTTGTACTTGTACTTAACACATTTTTTGTTGTGGATTTATATTGTAATTGCAGTTATCTTTTCGGAGCAATGTATTTAAAACAAAATGAAGCAAATTTCATAAAAAAATCTGAATGTTAGTAAAGTTTTGTCTGAAGACACAGACATTTCCTTTTGTAAACACGGGATACTTGGAATATTTATTCTAGGAAAGCGAAAGTGTGGCCTCTTGGGGCTGTGGTGGATCCTTGCATTTACAGCGTGCTGAGCTAGGCGAGCCCCTGGCCTGATCCACGCCAGCTGTTCCCAGTGCGCATTGCAACCTTCATCCCTGCAGCTTCAACCCACCAGAGGGCACCTCTATGGAAGGAAGAAACCTACAATGGCAACCTCCCCTCGTCAGGGAGCTGGAACTGACATTTAGAGGCAATTAAGAGAGACTATTCAAAGGCCAGCAACCGCCAGCAATTTTGCTGCTGGGTTCAACAAGAAGCAAACCACATTTTCACATCAGCTTCTAGCCATTAATATTTTTTAAGTCCTCTTGGAAGCTTATATTTTTAGTGTGAATTTTGCCTAATATGCACGTTTTTCCAAAAACAAAATGCATTTTATTTTCACTAATATATGCATTTTCATGCACACTTCACTCTAGTATATGCATTTTTTTGTACACGTGTGAATTTTGCAGGCTGGCTGTGTTTGGGTTCGCATATGGTTTCAGAAAGTGCACATTGGGTAGGTTTGCCTTTAAATGCAGACCGACTCAAATTTCTCTGCCATCCCTATGTATTCAGCTGGAGGCAGGGATGGCACATGAAAAAAAAGCTCTTGCTTATAGAAAGCTAGCATATTTTCCCCCTTTATATGCTAGATTTCTATATGTAGCATTTTATTTTGTTCAGATATGACCAGTATGCGCAGTCTGAAGTGGTACAGTCTAGCAAGGTTCCACTATATGATTTTGACACATTCCTTTGGGAAGCATAAAGCCAGACATAAAGTCAGCTGACTGCTGGGGTCAGTTGGGCTTCAGGGTACCAGGATTTTATGATTGGGGCTCTTGGAGCACAGTCCTGTTTCCCTACATTCCTTGTTTTGTTTGAGCCAAGATTCTGAGCATGTGCAAAGTGCTCCTCTTAAATGCTGAGTCACCACAAAATGTAGAAGCTTCTGAGTCTGACTGCATGGCTAATAGTGAGGCAATGTGCAAAAATTAAGCAGTGTTTACATTCACAGTAGCTTTATTAAGTCATTACTCTTTGAAAATCAAAATTTTAAGCATCTTGCTAAAGTTATGGGGTTTGTCTTCAGCGTTGCTGTGTAGCATTATGTAACCTCTGTAGTTAGTAGCTTTCTGTAGACCACAGCTGTGATTAAAAAACCAGACATGCAGGGAGTTTGAGCAATAGCGGTGGCCAAAGAATACTGTCTCTTGTGCAAGACGCTTTACACGCACACTCGGTCCCACGGCCAAATGTGTGAAATCCTCTGCTGAGGCTCACCTTACAAATCAAATCGTTAAAGGTTGATTACACATCTCTGATCAGTTAACCAATCACATTAGAGATTTTAAAGCCTTGACGTGGTCAATGCTGGGGGAAGGGGAAGAGACACTCCTGAAAGGACTTTGGCCTTAAGGGCATTTGTGGTCTAGTCCCAGCACCTGGAAGAGGGTCCAGCAGCTCACTGGGAGCCAGCGCCATGTCTTCAGAATCATCATAATGTGGCCCCACCTTTTCTTTTTTTAAAAAAATGATATTTATTAAAGTTTCAAAGAAAAGATTACATAAATAAAAAGAGAAGAAAAAAAGAAAGAAATAAAAAAGAAAAAAATACAGAAAAAAGATAAAAAAACACTTAAAAAAACACATCAATCTTTCCATGCCTTACATTTCATTTCCTTGCTTCCCTGACCTCCTCACACCTCCCTTTTTTGTATTCCAGTTCTATTGGTTAATTTAGCAATTCCTTTCCCTCTTTGTTTTTATCTTAAACCTTTAACTTAATATATTATAACTTTGGATTTTCACCTGTTAACAATCCATTTTTACATACACCTTTATAACATTGCTGCTAAAACCACTTAACTTCATTCTTACATCATTCTACCATTCATTAATTTTGCAGTATTTCTGTAAATAGTCTTTAAATTTCTTCCAATCTTCTTCCACCGACTCTTCTCCCTGGTCTCGGATTCTGCCAGTCATTTCCGCCAGTTCCGTATAGTCCATCACCTTCATTTGCCATTCTTCCAGAGTGGGTAAATCTTGTGTCTTCTAATACTTTGCAATAAGTATTCTTGCTGCTGTTGTGGCATACATAAAGAAAGTTCTGTCCTTCCTTGGCACCAATTGGCCGACCATGCCCAGGAGAAAGGCCTCTGGTTTCTTCAGAAAGGTATATTTAAATACCCTTTTCATTTCATTATAAATCATCTCCCAGAAAGCCTTAATCCTTGGGCACGTCCACCAAAGGTGAAAGAATGTACCTTCGGTTTCTTTACATTTCCAACATTTATCATCGGGCAAATGATAGATTTTTGCAAGCTTGACTGGTGTCATGTACCACCTGTATATCATTTTCATAATATTCTCTCTTAAGGCATTGCATGCCATAAACTTCATACCTGTGGTCCATAACTGTTCCCAGTCAGCCATCATTATGTTATGTCCAACATCTTGTGCCCATTTAATCATAGCAGATTTCACCGTTTCATCCTGAGTATTCCATTTCAACAGCAAGTTATACATCTTTGACAAAATCTTAGTTTTGGGTTCTAATAGTTCTGTTTCTAATTTTGATTTTTCCACCTGGAAACCAATTTTCTTATCCAACTTATATGCCTCCATTATCTGGTAATAATGAAGCCAATCTCGCACTTTGTTTTTTAATTTCTCAAAACTCTGCAATTTCAGTCTATCTCTGTCTTGTTCCAAAATTTCCCAATATTTCGGCCATTTGGCCTCCATATTGAGCTTTTTCAGAGCTTTTGCTTCCATCGGTGACAACCACCTTGGAGTTTTATTTTCCAATAAGTCCTTGTATCTTATCCAGACATTAAACAATGCTTTCCTGACAATGTGATTTTTAAATGCTTTATGTGCTTTGACCTTATCATACCACAGATATGCATGCCATCCAAATACATTGTTGAACCCTTCTAGATCCAAAATGTCAGTGTTTTCAAGAAGCAACCATTCTTTCACCAGGTGGCCTGGGGTCTGTCAGGAATGGGAGCGGCAGTGTTAACGGAAGAGATTCATAAAGATCAAGCAGGCTTTCTCCCGGGTAGACATTTGTCTGATAATGTGAGAAACATAATCAATATTTTAGAAAAATTACAAGTGAACATAAATACTAAGGCAGTTTTGATATTTGTGGACGCGGAGAAAGCCCAGAGGCAGGGCCGGCCCACTCATGAGGTAAGGTGAGGTGATCCATGCAGAGAGCAGATTTGGCCTCCAAGGAATGTATTGCGCACTGCCATCGCCACAGGGGCCACATCCACTGTGGCACGCTTCTTGGAGGCCAGATCTGCCGCTCCCATTCCTGACAGACCCCAGGCCACCTTGGCGAATTGGAGGCACTGCTGGGATCCACACACACACCCCCTGCGCCCAATGTCAATCTTTATTCTCCCCACCCCCCATTAATGATGGCCCTGTCCAGAGGCAATGACATTCTGCACCAGACAGTCTTCAGAAGCACATTGCAATAATCCAACCGGGAGCTTATCTGAGAACTGACTCCAGCAGCTATGTTTCCCCAGCCCAATAACAGCTGTAGCTGCTGAAGCAGTCAAAGCAGCAAAGGCACTTTTCACTCCATAACACTGGAATCTAGGAGTACCCCCCAAACTCTGTAGCTGTTCCCCATATCTAGAACAGGCTGTCTAGTCAATTCTCTGACCAAATAATCAGCTACTCGTCTTACTCAGTTTTAATTTATTGGATTCCACCCAGACCATCAGTGTCCCTGGTCCAGCACTTGTCTTGCACAGCATCCCCTTATTCACCTGCGTATCTGTGGCACAGCACTCCAGTCCCCCCCTCCCCAGGTGATGCCTCCCAAGGGTTTCTTATAGATGCTAAATAGTGTGGGGGAAAAAATGGGCTCCTGTGTATCCCCAGAGGACAACTGCCATGGGGCCAAGCAGATCTCCCCCCCTGCTGCTCTCTGTTAGCAGCCCCTGCAGACAGGAGCAGAACGGCTGCCACTCCCAGTCCACAGAAACATCCCAGGAGGAAGCTGGTCAAGGCTATTGAAAGTTGCAGAGAGGTCAAGGGAAAGAAGCAAGTGCTGCCTACCAAAGATGAACCGAGGTGGATTGGGCTTCACCAGATCTGCCTCAGCTGAGGGGTCTGGGGCAGCTCAAACACCAGTGACTTTGCCCTCAAGCGGCTCCTCTGAGAGGCCTGCTGTTTCTGCCCCAGGGTGGACCTTGTCGGTCCATTTCCCACCTGGAAGACCTCTTGTAAGGCAAGCCACTGCATGGGCACAAAGATGGCAGAGAGAAAAAGCTTCTTTGCTGCCCCCACCGCCACACAGCAGGCACATAAAACTATTAGAAACAGTCGATTAAAATCATGACGCAAAGGCAGGTTCCTCTTCTCAGGATCTCGGAGTCATAGAAACTCCTGGAAGCTCTGGGAGGTGCCCTGGACGTTTATCTTTCCCAGCCATACTTTAAGGCTCATGGGCAGCCGCCAGAGTTGCTCCTGCTGCAAATCTCACAAACCAACACCTTCCTGTCCCTTGGGAGAAAAGTGAAGGTTCTGGTTTGCAAGCAGCTCAGAAAAAGAAAAAGGGGAGAGAGAAAAAACCACCTGACAGCAGATCCCAGGCCTGGGCTGGCCGGGTGAGGAAGTTAATCAGCCTAGTGCAGCCTGTTTGGGAGGAGGCCCAGCAGATGGTTGGTCTCTGAAATGGCAAAACGGGAAGCAGATGTGGGCTCTGCTTCTCCCCATGCATAACTGGGAACCAGCCGGTTGGGGAGGAAATTTGCATAACAGGGATAATTTGGTATCAAAACTACCCCCTTGAAATGATCTGCATGGATCTGGGTGTAGTCGACGCTTTTCACTTCTTGTTTTCCAGTCTCTGAGTCTGGCCAGATTGAATTTTCATTTTCAACCTACCTAAAGCGAACTAGGTTTAGAGAATCTACTGCTTGCAAATATGAACTGTCCTCAGTCAGGAGAAGGAGCATCCCAGAAGGAGGGAAACTAAAATTCAACCAGATAGAAACGTCATTCCCCTGCCGTCTTTAGCAAAGTGGGCCAGAGGGAGGAGGAGGGACACAGGAGGGGTCAAGGTGCCTCCCCAGCATGCCCTGCCCCTCCTCATTGCAGCTGCAAGCCTTTTTTGCGGGTGTCTCTTGTAACAGCAGTCTGGCATACGGAATTTGGGCAAAATAAAACTTTTTTGTTACAGAGATACATGGCTGTGGGAAAACGTCAGCTGCTGAGTATCTTCATGGCAAACAGATAGTAAAGGTTAAGGAGCATTTGTTTGTTCCTTTGTTTTTTAAGCAGTCCTATTTTTAGACATGTGCTACATGTAACAGACAGCTAAGAGGGCAGAGCTACCCTACAGGTATATATTAGATGCCTGTCTAATTGGAAATTGTAGTTTTGGGGTGGGGTGTTGATTGCTGAGAATGATTAGTGATAAATTCATAGCCCCTCTCACAAATGTTCAGGCCTAAGAATTCCTTGGGGAAAGCAATCGTAAATCTATAGCCTGGGGAACTTGAAATTATGGGGTGGGGGCGAGAGAGAGAGACTATAACACCTCTATTAGATTTTATGGCCTAGCTCTTAGATCACTGGATAATATTTTGGCTATTCAAAGCAGAAGAAATGTACTGGAAGTGTAGAAAATGCAAGAAAGATGTACAGTAGCGGAAAATTGTGTGGGAAATTAAAGTCTCATATGTAGCAGCAGTGGCCTGAGGACTGCCTCTCTGCGCACCGGGGTGGCTATCCTGCCCAGAACCCATGGAATTCAAGAAGACAGCCACCTTTTCCCCTTGAAAAGTTCTTCCCGCTTTACTTTAGGGCAGGAGGGGTTAACTTGTGCAGCAACGCTCCAGATGTTGCTGAATTCTACCTCCCAGCAGGACCAATGTCTAGGGATAATGGGAGTTGTCGTCCCACAATATATGGAGAGCCGCAGGTCAGGCACCCCTACTTGGATGTGTTTTCACAAGTGTTGCGGAGGCCTTGCACATACGAGGCACCGGCCCGGTTCCACCTTTGAAAGAGCAAGTAGGAAGCCTTGGCCGTTCCCCACACAATTGCTTATCTTTTCACTTTAGCCCTCTCCCCCAAAGATAGAATATTCTCATGTGGTTGAAATTGGTCAAGCCACGGGGGAATAAATTTCTCACAAGGAACAGCGTCCAATTTAAAAGATTGCCGCACCAGCAGTGAGACGTTTTAAGCAGGCAGAGCAATCCTAAGCGGCGCTGGGCAGCAATTCTTGCTCTACATCAGAAGCTCTGCAGGTTCCTGCTGGCCAGAGGGGGACCTGGGGAGTTTCCCTCCCCTTTATCCACCTGCCCCTGTTTCTCTTTGTTTGCTTAGCCAATTCTGGGATGGTGCAACAGAGGGACCTGGATTGGGCCCATAGGAGCCAAGTCCTAGGGGCCAAGGTCCCTTCACACAGCCTCCATAAAATTGAGGGGGCCAGGGTCCCCCAAAGCTGATGGGCAGTGTCATTCAAGTGGTGTGCAAGCGCCGCTTCTTGTGATCAATTATGTGTGGTGAGGCTTACCTGCCCCCCTGAATATTTTTTAAGTTGGCACCCCTGAGGGCCCAGCTCCAGGATCCAGGGCATGAATGGCTGGCCCTGCCCCACCTTTTCACCCCCTACGTCAGGGCCCTATGGGCTCCCGCTGGTGGAGACAAGGTTCAAGCACCCCCACTGGCAGTGGGCACAGCAAGGGCCTCCGCCGTGGCTCTGATAGGCCTGTACTGCTCTAGCATCCCGGATCAGGGGACAGGATTGCAGCGCAAGTCTAGAAGGGCATTCAGACAAAGGGATTTTGAAATCAGAAGTGCATGCTATTGCAAATTAATGACACATTTTCATTTCACTTAGTGATATAGAAATGCAAACAGTTGAATCATAGAGTTGGAAGAGACCCTGGGGATCATCCAGTCCAACCCCTGGCAATGCAGGAATATCCAGCTGTCCCGTACGGGGATCAAACCTGCAACCTTGGCATTCTCAGCGCCCTGCTCTAACCAACTGAACTATCCAGTGGTGCTAACAAGCTAGCATTTGTGAAACATATGCCAGTTCTGATTATCCCCTTGCTTTTCCTGTGGAAACCAATTTGCAAAACAGCAGACATTGATTGATAACATTTAAAAGGAAGATTCCAATTGAGGCTGCAGTTGACAACAAATGGGACAATGTGGGCCTGCTGTTGTACAAATTGGGGCATGTGAGGCCCTGGTTGGCTCCTCCTTTTCCACTCTTACTTTATAATGTGCAAATGTTACATCCCTGTAGGGCTCCAATGAATGGTGCCAACGTATTCCACTCAAATACTAAAGCGTTACTTCATGAGCAAAGGCTCAGATGCCCCTGGACAGGGAGAAATAGCCTCTCTCATTTTTTCATCCAGATTCAGGCTGGTGCAGAGCATATTTGAGGCCAGGGTGGGAGTCTTGTTAGAATAAAATTATAAGCTCAAACCCAAAAGCCAGTCCCCCCACAGGCCAGCTTAGCCCTCTGAAGACTGGGGCAGGGGTACCCGGCTGCCCCCCCCCCGCCCTTTATGGGCCTGTTCAAAGATCTTAGTGTTCACTTCAACATCTTTTGAAAACCCAAATAAATACTGCGCTTTCTGAGGAAATAACCCCAAAGCACTGGATTTGGTTAAGACTACTAACTTGCAACAGAACAAATAAGGAAGAAGTAATTTGTACAAATGCTGATAGGCAAAAAAAGAGAAAAGAAACCCAAGATAAGCTGCGGGGAAGGAGGTGGGATTTCCAGAAAATAGGGAAGAACTTGCTATGCCCTGCCTGTCAGGTTCTGCAGGATTTGGAGAAAAAACAGCAAGAGGATAGGGGGAAAATAGCCTACCACTTTCCCCTTTGCTACTGCTTCTTTTAAAACTGCTTGCTTAATTTCCTTTAAAATTAAAGAAATGTTCCATGAATTCTCTCGCTCTCACACACAAAACAAAACAAAACAAAAACAACCTGGTTTGTAAGTTTTCAAAGTATGTCTAATTTGGGATAAATATATTAACTATTGGTGACCTCTCTAGAAACCTCAAAAGAAGAATAATCTGGAAAGGCTGCCTTTCTGAAAGTAAGTAGGACCCGGGGTGGCTGGCTGGCTGGATATGTCAGTTTTGGTTCTCTCTGTTTCTTACTTTTCCTATTTTAAATTCAGTTTGCTACATTTCTGCAACAATTAACTTTTAAAAAAAATATCCATATGCAGATTCATCCATTTGAATTTCTCCTAATAACCACATTTTTGTATGCAGTTTGTACTACTGCACAAGTGTGCAAGCAAATTCCCTTAAACTAATACATTTTTCGTCAGGAAAGCATTAATGTCTGGATAAGATATAAAGATTTATTGGAAAATAAAACCCCAAGGTGGCTGTCACCAATGGAAGCAAAAGCTCTGAGAAGGCTCAATATGGAGGCCAAATGGTCGACATATTGGGAAATTTTGGAACAAGAGGGAGATAAATTGAGATTGCAGAGTTTCGAAAAACTAAAAAACAAAGTGAGAGATTGGCTTCATTATTATCAGATAATGGAGGCATATAATTTGGATAAGAAAATTGGCTTCCAGGTGGAAAAGTCAAAATTAGACACAGAACTGCTAGAACCCAAAACTAAGAATTTGTCAAGAATGTATAACTTGCTGTTGAAATGGAATACTCAGGATGAAACGGTGAAATCTGTTATGATTAAATGGGCACAAGATGTTGGACATAATATTATGTTTCCTGACTGGGAACAGTTATGGACCACAGGTATGAAGTTTACGGCATGTAATGCCTTAAGAGAGAATATTATGAAAATGATATACAGGTGGTACATGACCCCAGTCAAGCTTGCAAAAATCTATCATTTGCCCGATAATAAATGTTGGAAATGTAAAGAAACTGAAGGTACAGTCTTTCACCTTTGGTGGACGTGCCCAAGGATTAAGGCTTTCTGGGAGATGATTTATAATGAAATAAAAAAGGTATTTAAATATACCTTTCTGAAGAAACCAGAGGCCTTTCTTCTGGGCATTGTCGGCCAATTGGTGCCAAAGAAGGACAGAACTTTTTTTATGTATGCTACAACAGCAGCAAGAATACTCATTGCAAAGTATTGGAAGACACAAGATCTACCCACTCAGGAAGAATGGCAGATGAAGGTGATTGACTACATGGAATTGGCAGAAATGACTGGCAGAATCCGAGACCAGGGAGAAGAGTCGGTGAAAGAAGACTGGAAGAAATTTAAAGACTATTTACAGAAATATTGTAAAATTAAGGAATCTTAGAAGGATGTTGGATAGAAACTAAGTGGTTTCCAGCTGTAATGCTTTAAGAGATACGAAAAAAGGTTTACAAATGGGTAAAAGCTTAATGGTAAGGATTTGCTGAACTAACAAACTGAACTGGAATACAAAAAAGGGAGGTACGAGGAGGTCCGGGGAAATAAGTGTAAGGAAGATATGCTTTGGAAAATTAACGTGTTTTTAACTGTTTTTATTTTGTATGTTTCTTTTTATTTTTCATTTTTTTGTTATATCTTAAAAACTTTATTCTTTTTTCTGTATTTTGTATTTTCTTGTATTTTTATTTTTTGTTTTTGTGTAATTCTTGTACTCTTTGAAACTTCAATAAATATCATTTTTTTAAAAAAACTAATACATTTTTCTATGTTGCTTTCACTAATATATCCATTTTATGCAGGGTTGCCATATTTCAAGAGGTAAAAATCTGGACACAAAAAGTTGTTGAACTTTTTTAGGGCAATGGCCCAGTGGCCCCTCTGCCACCGTTGCTGAGACCAAACCATCCGCACCAGAGCCAGAACCACTCACACACAATTTTGTTATTTTATTTTATTTTATTTTTTAACCCAAAGTCAGGACATTTGCTTTAAAATGTAAAATTCTCCCCAGATGGGTAGGTAAGACCCCCAAAAGAGGACATGTCTGGGAATTCCTAGATGTATGGCAACCCTAATTTTATGCACACTGCTAGTGCAGAATTCACCGGCCAGGTTGCTCACCAGTTTCTGAGCCCAATTCAGAGTGCTGGGTTTGACCTGTAAGGCTTTATAGCTCATATAAACAGCTCAGGAACGCAACACCTCAAAGACCGCCTCTTTCCATATGAACTGCCCTGGACCCTGAGATCATCTTCTGAGTTCCTTCTCCGTGTGCCTCCTCAAGAGGTCAGAGAGTGGCAACACCAGAAGAGGCCTTTTCTGCAGTAGCTCCCCATTTGTTGGTTTGTAGGGTTTTTTTGTATTTATTTTTATTATGTATTTTATGTTTTTATATTGTGATTTTATGTTGTAACCTTGAGGCCTGCGGGTAAAGGAGAGTATACAAATTTAATAAACAATAACAACAACAAGATGATGATGATGATTCTGACTAAACATCAGGAAGAGCTTTCTGATGGCAAGAGCTGTTCAGCAGTGGAACTCCCTTAGAAGGTGGTGGACTCTCCTTCCTTGGAGGTTTTTAATCATCATCATCATCATCTTATTATTATTATTATTATTATTATTATTTGTACCCCACCCATCTGACCATGTTGCCCCAGCTACTCTGGGCAGCTTCCAACAAAATATAGAAACACAGTGAGACATCAAACATTAAAAACATCCCTCTCCAGGGTTGGCTGTCCATCTGTCTTGGATGCGTCAGTTGAGATTCCTGCATTGCAGGGGTTGGACTGGATGACCCTCGAGATCCCTTCCAACTCTATTCTTCTATGATCCTTTCAGCTTTGTGAGCAATAGCTCTACCAGCGCATTCTCTGATTCTATGAAATAAAGTGCCCTTTTACAAGATTTTCTAACAAACCATCCAATGACTGGCATCCACTGAGTTCACAAACAAGGCTGTGACAGGGCTTCATAAATCTGTTCCAGGAGGGGCAGGGAAGAGAATAGGAGAACTTCTGTGTTGTATTTACAATTTGTTAGAAATCAATATTTTTAAAAAAAAATCTGGAGAGAACTAGAAAAGAACTAGAAAGACTTGTGGATTATTGCATCAGTTTATGTCACATAATTTTTGCTCCTGAATTTCCTTAGTGTTCTTCCTGTTTGCTTATACAGACACTTAAGGATATCGGTTATTTCCATCCCTCTCTCGCCTCCAGCTCTGGACTCGATGAATCTACAATTCTATGATTCTATTATTCTGTTTTCATGTTAGAACACAGACGGGGGAAAGGCAAGTGTTTTAGGGACGCTTATTTAAGTGCCAGCACAAATGTATTTGGGAAAATATCTCCACCTGGTGGCAGACTATTCAAAACTCTTACAATGATCCTTCAATACTGCCATTAAGGACAAATTCTTATTATTATCATTATTATTATTACTACCACTACATTGGGACAGCAAAAGTGAAAATAATTATATATGGACTTCTCCCTAAACTCATCAGAATATCTTACTTGTAGGAAAAACACTGAGGAGTGTTGTGGCACCTTAAGATTAGCTGCTGCTGAGGGCAGCAATCTGACCTCTTGGATGGATGGCCCACCAAAAAGGAGAAAATAATGCATTAAAAATGGAGAGTAAAATACATGCATATCTAATCCATCCAGGTATCTATATATCTACAGTGGTACCTCGGGTTACAGACGCTTCAGGTTACATATGCTTCAGGTTACAAACTCCGCTAACCCAGAAATAGTACCTTGGGTTAAGAACTTTGCTTCAGGATGAGAACAGAAATCGGGCTCTGGTGGCGCGGCAGCAGCAGGAGGCCCAATTAGCTAAAGTGGTGCTTCAGGTTAAGAACAGACCTCCGGAACGAATTAAGTACTTAACTGAGGTACCACTGTATATCTATATTGATATCTATGACTGCCATTTTAAAAACCACATTGAAGGTAAAAAGTAGTAAGATAATAATAAGAAAATGTGGTAATAATTAAACTTCGATATCATGGTTTCCTGTGTGTGTGTGTGTGTGTGTGTGTGCGTCTGTGTGTAAATAAAGTGTATGGTTTGTGTTGCCCCCAAATTTTGTATTTTGGT